AGTGGGGGGCAGATCAGGCAGATCTACTGAAATAACACTGCTGAGGGGAGCAGGAGGAGAGGTCTGCTGTGACATGTGGGTCAGCTCCCTGGCCAGGGATTCAGCTCAGGCGATTGCAGTGATAGCACTTGAGACTTGACCCCTAAGCCACCAGGAAGGCCTTATATAAGCATATTCTTGTGACAATACAGTTATAGGCTTCTGGGTTCCATTTCTGTATTTGGGTCTATACAAGTTTCAAGTGTAGCAAGTAGTGCAGTGACTTAAGACCGAGATCATGCACTATTTTGGTAGGGATAAAAAGGTGTGTAGGTGTATATGTGTGTGTGTGTTTAAGAGACTTTCTGGAAACAGAATGACCTGTTGTTTCTCCTTTGAAATATTAATGTATCACACACACATGAGCACACAGAGTATATTCCTTCTCTAGTTGGATACCCGCATTGCTTTGTCTATTCTACTCATTGGCATGTTGACTAAAGGAAACTTGGAATGAGAAAGGGCACGGCCCATTCTCCCTGTGTCCTATATAAGGATTCCTTGGGGTAGAGGAGGGGGGTTTAGAACAAAGTCAACAGGACCTAAGAACTCAAGACCAGCTGGTAGGAAGAACTGTGCAAGGGACAGTGATTACAACAGTGGTGAGAGCTGGGAGAGAGAGAAGTGGCACAGGTAGAGCAAATGACTTGTTCAAAGCTTTTGAGATGAGAACATACATACTCAAAAAACTGAAAGTCATTCATCATGAGGTCTTTTTGATGTTGCAATAATGACTTCTGGAACATTCTGGGCTATCCTTTAAACATAGCCTGGAGTTATTTGGTGGGACTTTTACAAAAACCAAGGCTGCCTTGTGATTAGGAACATTTTCTTTTACAAACAGCAGAAACTAAGATGATAATAACAAACCACCACTGTCATAAAGCTTATTTGGGGTGAAAATGCCAGCCATATTCTACTTAATGCCAAATCATGCTCTAGAAAGTACTGTGGATGATTACTCTAAAGCCTAGCTTGGACTTCAGGTGTCGGGCAGTCATTTCCACATCTTACAGGCATTGCTTCTCTGTACGTCAGTGTCCTTAAATGTAAAAAGAGAACTTTGTAAAATTAGCTGACACAGTTTGGGAGGGGCTGAGTAACAATGTGACCATTGCTAAATGTTAGAGACACTTAGAGCTTTCAATTCTCACAACTTTATGAGACAACAGAGACTTTTAAGTATATATTTTTGTACCAAAAAAAAAAAAAAGTTTGACTATATTTTACAGATTCTAAATAAAGGGCCAGATTCTTCTGAAGAATGTGGGTTGACTGAGAACTGCAGGCTGGTGGTTTTGCTCCTCTTTTGTGAAGGTCACCTGCTCCATTCTTTCAGGTTTTTCTAGTTTGGCAGTCTGCACTCTTTATGACCACGGCTGATAGGTACATTTTAACTTATAGTAGCATAAACTAGCTTGAACACTCTGTTGGGAAAGTAACAAGATCCAGTGAGCATAATGAAAGGAGGAATCTTAATGATTCAGAAGGGCGAGGACCAGGTGTGTAATTAGACAGGTCAGGGCTTAGGAGGGTGGAGCAAAAATGGTCTCGATGACGAGTGGGTGCGATCACCATTTCCTCGGAAGAGAAGGGGACAGCTGCCTGGACTGTGACTCTAACTGACACCCAAGCAGCCTGTATCTATGTGTGTCTTTAAAATAGCTTGGCTTCCTTCACAAAACTTAACAGCCCACGATCACATATTTGAAGTGGCTCTGCCCGGTGATTACTGCAGTGAGGCACACACAGCTGCAATGCCAGCTGCAGACAGGTGGCCCTTGCCATATGTCTGCAATTTTTCATTATTTCCCCAACAGTCCATTTCTTTCTGGTTGCATCCAAGTCTACATTTTGGCCCCAGGTTAATTATAAGATAATGGTGAGGGTAGGGGTGGGGGTGGGGAAGCAAAGGACTGAAGTTGCTGTCACTGCCTTAAAGTCAGAGTTAGGAGGAAGTCATGAGTAATGAGTTGTAATCCCACTAAAAAAAGGATTGTTTTTGCAGTGTTGGTTGTTTTGCAAGCATAAGAAGGTAGTTCTGAAATTTCCCGGCTGGAAAATTTGAGATAGTGTATCATCTGGAGCATGGAACATACTGGAAAAATATATGGAGTTTCATTAATTAAGTTCTTTAATTTGATCATCAGCAAGTATTTACCTCTTGTGTATACCAGACTCAAAATTTATGGGTATCTCCTCTTGATAAGTCTTTATTTTTACATCAAATTAATAATCATCTTGATCTGAACCCTACTCTGAAGTTTCTTAAAGGAGTGTTTAAACAAAACTATATGGAGGCAAGACCATTACATTTACACAATAATGACAATGTATATGCCAGATTAATTAGGGCAAGCAAAATGATGATGCATGCAATAATGTGGAGCCTTTACTTCAATTAATTTTTATGAATACATGATTATGTTTATGAATGCAACAGTGTATTTATGAATATAAAAGTAATATATTTGCATTGAAAATAAACAAGAAATAAGGGGAAAATTAGATAAGAAATAAAAATCACTCATGTTCCATATTTAGGGAAAATCATTAATAAAAATTGGCAATACATTGTATATACTATTTCCCACTGAATATTATGTCATAATGATTTTTGATGTTATTAAAAAAACCCTTTGTAATATTTAATGGCTTCATAACATATAATCCTATAAATGTCCCATTTTAGTCATCATGTATGATGTTGCCAACTTGCAATAATATTAAAAATATTGTGATAATTAGCTTTGTGTATAAACATCACCTCTAAATCAGATTTTTTTATGGGATTGTTTCTCAGGCAGTGAACTAATGAACCAAGAGCTTACATGCACCTTTTAAAGGTTTTTGATACTTGTTGCCAATTGCTTTGAAGAACGATTGCATTATAGAAGCTCAAGAAAATGATTTTCTCCAGTTGTCAACTGCATAATATTAACACTACTACCACCAAAAGTTGCCAATTTGGTAGACAAAAAATGGTATCATTTTAATTTGCATTTCATTATTAGTGAGACTGCTTATTTTCTATCTGTAGTTCTTAGTAAATTGCTTGTTCATATCTCTCCCCTAAGCAAAATGTTTTCTTATGGATGTTTATTAAATCATAGTATTTCAGAATATTATTTTGTCATGTATGTTCTTGGTCATTTAAAATTACAGATTATGTTCAATTTTGATGGTAAGAGAAGTTTCCACATTTTGGTGGTCAAATATATTTATTTCTTTTGTGGACCTTTACCATTTTATTTAAAATTATTTTTGAAGTCTACAATCAAGTGGATTTTAGTATAATCATAAAGTTGTGCAATTATCAGCACTATCTAGCTAAGGAACATTTTATCATCCCCAAAAAACAATTCTGTATTCCTCATTTCCTCCTTCCCCCCTCATCTTGTCTCTTATAAATTTGTCCATCATGGACATTTCATGGAAATGCAACCATTCCATGGTGGCCTTGTGCAACTGGGCTTCTTTCACTTGATATCATGTTTTCAAGATTCCCAAGATTAAAATAAACTTTTTCCCCTTCTGACTATGGTTGGGTTTGCCATATCCTTTGTCTTTTTTGAGAAGCCACAGGAACTTAAAATTTGCTTGGCTGTAGTGCATGTTAGCTGTTGGCATCAGTCAATTGGCTAGAAGCTTCTACTGCTTCTTCATACATGAGAGCATTAAACACAATTGGGTACTATTTTGTAAAGGAAAAGCATTACTACAGTAAAGAAGTATCTTTCTAGTCTGAGTTTTAGAGATTAAGAATAAATTTGAAAATTTTCTGAAAGCTTTCCCTACATCTATGGAAATAACTTAATGACTTTTAGTGCTTGACATTCTGATGATAAAGGGCAGGAATAACTATACTATGGTTGAACAATTTTTTCCTTCTCGTGGCATAAACCATAGTCCATTTGACTTGTTGACATATTCCATTATCATGCATTATTGAATTTATTTATGTCTATTGTTTTTTACTATTTTGTGTTCGCCACCTGGATAGTCCATGTAAAGCAGTGGTGTTCGGCTTAGGAGCAAAGAGGCCATGGCGTCAGTGGCTGAGGAAAGCGTAGTGAAGAGAACCACCAGGACAGTGAAGATCTTTGTCACTGTCCCTGCATTTCTTCACATGTCACAGTGAACCCTGTGCTTTACGTGGGATTAGTTTCCCCAGAGGATGGGGATGAGTTGATTGTGATTTTCAAAATCTAGTGTTTGGCTTTATTTTCCAGAAGTCTAGGGAAGTCTTCACACTGGTGGAAGCATGGTGATAGAGTAAGGTGAAGCAACAGAGACTGAGGTGCAGCTCAGCTTTGCCTCAATTCTTTTTTTTCTCTTTATGCTATTTTATTTTATTTTAATTTCATTTTATTTCTGCAGGTGCATCCAATGCTGGGAGAGTTTCCATCTGCCTTTTCCTTCCCTTTCTCTCTTATTCTCATCCCCTTTTCTTCACAGCAGTGAGTTATGGGAGTGTGACCTGAAACAGGCTCTCTGTTAATCTTCCAGCTCTTGGATCTTTTATTCCAGCTCTGAGAAGGAGGGGAGCACCTTATTTTGTGAAGCCTGATCACCCTGCTCCCCACTCCCATCTGGCCCTTGCTAAGTTCATGCCGACAGCTTTCCACATATTGGGAAGGGGAACAGCTGCCCTCAGTACCAGAACAAAATTCTGTTCCCTGTGTACAGTGCTACACACTGGAAGAAGGTGGACGAGAACAAAGGGGTCTCCTTTATCTCTGTTTCTTGGTCCACAGTATGTGATCCTATATTGTGCCAGTAGCGTAGATGAAAGATCACAGAGCCTCTTCGTTATTCCCTGGCCACCTCACAAAATGGCACAATCCAGCAAAAATATTATTTAGTAGCAAAATATATTTTAATTGAAAAATCATATTAAGTAACTGAATAAAAATGCCTACCAGGGACTTTCCAATTGACGGCAGAGTATGTACATTTTGTGAGAGTGGAGCAGCATCTGTTTAATATATTTTTATATAGAAAATACAGGTGTATTTAAAAATGGAAACATGTAAGAGAGTATGTCACAGAGGATAACAAAATATAACACAAAATAAGAAAGGTAAACCCCAAATAACAAGTTTTACTCAATGAAACAAGACCCAGCACCATGTTGGAATTTCTTTGCATCAGTTCCAGGATGCCCAGGATGCCCAGGAAGAGATGATCCTGCTTTGAGGAGAGCTGGTTGGTCGCACATTGGTTAAAACCCAGTCCTCCTTTTCCTGGAACAAAAAACAAAGAGATTCAACAGAAAAGACTGAACTGAGGAGGTGACAGCTCTGTGGAGGCTGATTAAAACAGGATTAGAAGTTTTAGACAGTGGATGATGTGTGATGTTGCTTGCATGGATGGAGGGCCTTTCTTGGAGAAGGGCAGGCTATGGAGCACAGATGTTGGCTTGCGAAAAGATGGAGGAATTGGCAGACCTGAATTTTATTCCTGGCTCTGTCACTAGTTTCCTATAGGGCAATCTTCTTACCTGTAGAATGAAGGCTTTGCATTTTGCAAACCTGAAGGTCTCTTACAGCATTAACAATCTATGATTTTTTACTTATGGAAGTTGCTTACAGCCATTTTCCTGAAGATGCACATGTTGCTCAGAAGAAACACAACCTCTTTCTTACAGATTAAACTATCTGCGAATAACAGCAGGTCAGTCTCACTTATCAGTAGAGCAGGTTACGGGTGGAAGGATTTTAATGGACGTCCCAATGCTGTTCTGCACCAGCTCTTGCTGATGCCTGGAATTTGCTCCATCTGCCAACAGCATTTATTGAACATTGATTTTTGTGCTTCTATTAAGTATGAGAGATAAAATCTTTAGGGTACTCAATTCCACGGGAGAAAGGAGATAGACAATTATTTATAAACATTTATCATTTTGACTTCTCAGAAAAGCTTTCTCTTCCTCCCATTTCAGGGAAATACACTCTATTTTTCTTCCTTCTGGGAATTTGCCAGCCTGATCTCAAGATAAAGGTTTTGCCAAATGAGGCTTCATGTTAGTAGACATAAGCCAACCTAGGATGGCAGCTGACTGTTCCATAGTGGGCCCTTGAATCAACCAGGACTAGTCAGTTCTTCTCCTGGATTTTTTGAACTGGGCCAGCACAGTTTACTGGATACTGTAGTATAACATGTAAAATGTGGGAGCATGAAGCTGTTGTTTCCTCCATGTGAACTCAACAGCTGAGAACAGTCACTCAACAGCAAGAAAGGATGGAGCAGATATGAGCCAGAGCATGAGAGGAGAAGGTTCAGGAGACTTTCAAGTCCTCAGTCTCATTTTCTTGATGCTAAAAGCCATTCTACATCTCTGGATTCCATACAGGGTCCTTCTATTGTGGTAACAAATTCTCTTCTCTGATTACGCTAGTTAGAGTTGCAATGAGATAGTCTAAAATGGGTGTCTTAGAAAAATCGGTCATAGTGAAGGAGGAGACATCTGCCTAGTCCCCTGGATAGAAAATGATCTTTTCTGGGATGTGGGCTATGCCTTTCTGCTTAATTTTTAATAATAATTCTTAGTTCCTTTATCAAATTTTTGCATTAAAAAATCTAGAATAGATTTTCTTTTCCTTATTAACAGGCTTTTTCCCTCCACAGGTAATCTAATATTTGCTCTTCCCCTGGTCAAGAAAGCTCCTATGGGAGTATTGATATTGAGGACCACACCACCTCTGGGTTTCTTTGCTTATCTGGAAGATGAAGAAGTTGAAATATGAAGTCTAAAATTCTAAGACTGTGATAAATATTTCCTTCTCCTTTTTGTCACTATCATTATTCCTTAGATCATTTTTTTCTCTCTCCTTTCCTTTTTCTCTCCTTGCTCCCAAGAAATTGATTCATTTGTTTTTCTTTTTCTTAAATTCTTTCAATTCTACTCTCAGGTAAAACAGTCACCTGTAATCTTGGAAGTTCATAAATATACCTGTACAGTCCAAATGTGCTCTCTGGGGGGTTCAATTTTCACTTGATTTTTCTTCTGCACAGATGACACAATATTGAGTTGATGTGAGGAAATTCATTGGCACAATACAGATTTTTTTTCTGTCAGTTAAGCTTGTATTTAAATAGATATTCATCTTTGCAAGCTGATATTCCAACCAAAATGAGAAAGGGAAATATTTTCACTTAGCTGAATTTCCCACTTTAAAAATTGAATATGGAAATATCCATTTTTAATGATTCTTACAGACAGAAATACATTATAAATTTAAGTGACATAATACAATGATACATATTGAAAGACAAAATAGAGCTGATTCATATCTCGACACTGAAATATTTGTGAGGACAATATTTTAATATTGAAAATATTTTATTAATGATATGTAATATGCCTAACATTTTCTGTGCTTTAAAAAAGTATAAATCTTGGGCCTCCCTGGTGGCCTAGGGGTTAAGTCCAGTGCTATCACTACTATGACTGAGTTCTATCCTCAGCCAGGGAGCTAATCAGCATATGGCACAGCAGACCTCTCCTGTCTTACCCGCAGCTCCCCTCAGCAGTGTATTTCAGTCAGTTTGCCTGTTCTGACCCCCACTCTGTCTCTGGTGAATCCTCTCAGTCCCTCCACCTCTGGCCTACACCCCAGTTCATCTATGCAAAAAAAAAAAAAAAATTAACAAAAAAGTTTAAATCTTGAGCGAAGAACAAAGCTGGACACTTCATGCTCTCTGATTTCAAACTACATTACAAAGCTGCAGTAATCAAGAGAGAATGGCATTGGCATAAAAACATGCACAAATCAATGGAACAGACTAGAAAGCCCAGAAATAACTGTATGCCTACATAGTAGCCCTCTTCTCAATGTGGAATATGTTCCAAGCTCCCTGGTAGATGCCTGAAAGATGCACATTGTACCAAACCCTAGATATACTATGTTTCCCCCCATACATACATAACCTATTACAAAGCTTAATTTTAATTAAGGCACAGTAAGAAATTAACAATAATATAGAACAATTACAACAACATACTATAACAACAGTTATATGAATATGGTTTCTCTCTCAAAATATCTTATTGTATGTAATATTTTTGGACCATGGTTGACTGCAGGTAACTGAAATTGTGGAAGGAAAAATTGCAGATAAATGGTGACCACTGTATATGCCAATTATGACAAAGGAGAAAAGAATATATAAAGGGGAAAGGATGGTCTCTTCAAGAAATGGTGCTGGGAAACTGCCATGTGTAAAAGAATGAAACTGGACCACTATCATGGTACAAAAAATTAACACAAAATGAATGAATGAAAAATGAAACTAAAACCACAATATTCCTAGAAAACAATATAGCCGCTAAGTTACTTGATGTTGATGTTGGTGATTTTTTTGTACTTGACACCAAAAGCAAAGCCAACAAAAGCAACAAATGGGACTATATCAACTAAAATGCTTCTACACAGTGAGCAAAATCAACAACAAAATGAAAAAGCAACATACTGAGTGGTAGAAAATATTTGCAAATCATATATCTGACAAGAAGTCAATATTCAAGACCTATAAAGAACTCATGCAATTCAATAGCAAAATCCAAACAATCCAATTAAAAAAAGGGTAGAAGAGTTGAAATAGACATTTTTTGAAAAAGATATACAGATGGCCAAGAGTTACATGAAAAAATGCTCAACATCACTAGTAACCATGGAAATGCAAATCAAAACCACAATGAGAATAACAAGTATTGGTGAGAATAACCTTTTAGAATAACAAGTATTGGTGAGGATGAGAAGAGGACACTGATACTATTGGTGGGAATGTAAATTGGCATAACACTACAGAAAACAGTATGGAAATGCCTCAAAAAATTAAAAGTAGAACCACCACATGATCCAGCAATTTGACCTCTGGGTATTTATCCAAAGAAAAATCCAAACAAAAAAACCCTAAAAGTTATAGTCATCTCATGTCATTGCAGTATTATTTGTAACAGTCAAGATATAGAACAACCTAAGAGTTCACTGATGGTTGAATGGTAAAGAAATTTTGGTGTATGTATACAATGGAATATTATTCAGTCATAAAAAAGAATGAAATCTTGCTATTTTATGAGTTGCTGGAACTTGAAAACATTATGCTAAGTGAAATACAAATCAGATAGAGAAAGGCAAATACTGTAAGAGCTCAATTATATGTGGAATATAAAAAGAAAACCAAACAAACTAAAAAACAGATATCAGACTGGTGTTTGACAGAGGCCAAAGAAGCAGGTTTGTTGAAATTGGTGAAAAGACACCAAAGGTACACATTTCTTGTTATAAAATTGATACATCATGAGGATGTAATGTACAACATGATGACTATAGTTAATTATACTAAAGCTGCTAAGAGTCAAGTTTTAAAATTTCTGATCACAAGAAAAAACTTGTAATTATGGATAGTAAGGTATCAATTAGATTTACTGTGATGAGTATGTCATGCCATATCTACAAATATTGTTGTCCAACTGAAACTAATGTTGCCTGTCCAATTTGACCTCCTGCCAAAAAAAAAAAATCTGAATTATTTTTAAATTATTTATCTTTCAATTTATTTTTGTGATCTTTTCTCAGCTATGTTATTTATCTGGTGAGAAATGAGAAAGAATTTGCCCACAACTTTTTACAAGGATCTTTTGTAGTCAAATAGAGAATATATACACTAAGAATATGAAACAAATGTTTTGACATTAAAATAAACATTTCTTCATCAAACTCAATACTACCTTTTATTGTAAAAGTAATCAAGGAAGCAATGAACATCAATAAAACATTATTATGATTATGGCTTTTTTTACATCCTTGCATATGAAGGACATAATCTGCTGTTCAAGGAGGCAGTTAAGTAACTTGTTTAACCCTTTTTTTCTGGTAGAAAAATATGGAATGCTTCACATATTTGAGTATCACACCTGTGCAGATGTCATAACCTTTCATGTATTGCTCCAATTTTAGTATATGTCCTGTCAAGTTCAGCACAAGATTATTTTTGACATAACACTGTTGTTTTTTTTTTTTATTTGTCGTTGCTTAACTAATGTTTCTTTGCGCTAGCTTTAGTTTGGATTTAGACAGTGTATCTCAAAATGGATATTTTTGGATGAAAAAATGCTCATTCTCAGATTAGAGATACCTTCTGGATCTTGGGACAACTTAACTTGAATTTCCAACTTTTCTATGATAGGTGAACATTAGCTTTGGCTTTTCTTACCTGGAACAGTCGTGTCCTGTCCAAGCCGAGAGACAATGACATCGGTTTGGTCTTACGCATTTTCCACCATTTAAGCAGGGAGACTGGCAAACGGCTGGGAGGAGAAATGCAAGTATTTATTTAATCAGTGCTTAGCAAGTCTGAAGATGTCCATGAAGGCAAGTAGAATAGGATTTGCCTCTGATTCCACGCTATTCACCACCATGGCTCACAGACTGATTATGCATCTCTGCCACTGTGCTTGGCCTCCTGTGGTGATGTGGAACTACCTCCCTTTTTCCTTCCAACCCAGGCAGTGTTTCATATTTTAAGCCCCCAGTTAAGTTCTACCTGCATTTGAAACCTTTGCTGATAACTTAAGGTTCATTGATTTTCTTTAATCTTTTTTTATCTTGCAAGCAATTTGACACAGACTGTTCTGTGCTATAAATTCTTCATACACTCAATTAGAGTGTAAATCTCCTGGAGCTAGAACTGAACTCTGATTGAGTTCTTATATCAGAAATGAACCTTATAGAATAAATCAGGCACATGGATTGTCAAAAATAACAAATGAATCAAAAGCCCTTTGTGCTTTCTAGGAAACTTGTTTCATGGCTTTTACCAGCTTTAATTGAAATTACAGAACCCAGAGGACAGTTCAAAATTAGCCCTAGATGAAACCCCGGTGAACACTAAAAGATAAACTATATAGACTAGTTTATAGACTAGTCTCATAACCAAATTCTTCATCAGCATCAATCTATTCATTCAAACATCTAAGGATGCTAAAAACCTATAAAGACTAACAGCAGCAAGATTAACATGTCAAAGGATAAGGAGAAACCTCCTATGGGAAGAAAATAAAATGCCTCTTTGGAAAAGGCTGAAATGAGAAACATTTCCACCTCATTATGTCAATCTCATTATAGCTTGGAAAGGTAGGCATCCTCAGATGAGAAATTCATCTTTGGTGAGAGATGGAAAAATGTTACTTTTTCAATCACTCATTCATAAAATTTTGGGGAAATGCCAGCAAATAGCAGGCACTTGATAAGCACTCATGGGAAGAGAGAGGACCAGAAGTGAAATTCCAATCTTTTGGTTCCCAGGGAGCTCTCCAGGTGAGTTAAGAGTAATGCATATATTAGTACTGGGGGTGGGGGGAAGGAAATTAGGACACACAGCAGGATTAAAAATAATAAAAGCACAACCCAATAATCTAAAACTAGTTCTCTATAGATTCTGCTTGCTCTATACATTGTGATATATATTATATATCATATATTGTAATATATATAAAAATTAATATATGTTACTGTTTCAGGAACATGTTGATTTAGTGGTGCCTGGCTGAACTAACAAATCAGTCACTATTTTTTCTTCCCTGTCCATTAGCTTGACATATCCCTCATAATATGAGTCCCCGCAGTATTCCATTCTGTGCCACCTTTTCCTACTTTGTGTCTTCTGCGTGGTCTTATTTTCCCCATGAATGTATTTCCATGCGATTTACATGTCTACTTTGAAGCATCTTCCAGCTACCTATCAGAGCTCGCCTGTGTGTTAGCAGTGTCTCAGACTCAGGCTATTCATACTTCCCCCCACTTTTCTCCATCTTCAGATCTGCTCCTCCTGGGCTGTTTATCTTGGTAAATGGCACCACCTTCCACTCTGGGAACCAAAATGGAAACATCAGCCCTGACTCCTTTGAGACCTTTATTCTCACAATAAATCTATAACCACGCAGCACTGATTTACCTCCTAACTTCTCTCAATTTCATCCCTTCTGGTTATCACTGCTTCCTACTTCATTACCTCTTGCCAATTCTGCTTTGGCAATTTTCTAACTAGTCTCTCCAAAGTCTTGCTTTCTGCCATATCCCATACTGTTGCCAAAGGAATTTTTCTAAAAGAAAATCTGGGGTCTCTCCAGTGGCACAGCGGGTTGAGCGCAGCGCTGTGAAGCTGTCCGCAGCCACTGCAGCGTGGGTTCCATTCCCGGCCGGCCGGGGAGAAAGCCACATGGCGTGGCAGACCTCTCCTGCCTTGCCCGCTGCTCCCCTCAACAAAGTCTTCAGTCCATCTGCCTGTTCTGCTCCATGCTCTGTCTCTGGAGAATTCTTTCACCTCTCACACCTCTGATGTGTACCCCGGTTCTTGTATAAATAAATCTTTTAAAAAAAGAAAATCTGATCACATGATTTTCCTACTTAAAATTTGCCAATGTTTCTTAATTTGGATCTGCCCATTTTTATAGCTTTATTTCCAATCCCATTTCTACATTTCTTTGGTTCTCTCTTGCTGAACACACCTGTATTACACCTCCATGCCTTTGGCAGGAATCATCTTGCGGTGACTTCTCCTGCTCTTCCTCTGACCCAGTGCTTGTGAAGCCTTTTCTGAGTGTCTATCCTAGGTGGGTTTACTCATTTTCACTGTTGTCATAGCAACAGTGAATTCAATTAGCCTCTATCTTTACGTGCTCTAGTTACCTATTTACACACCATTCTGATCTCTTCTAGATTAAATTCTGGAGGGCAGGCGCTCCTGTTTTATCCTCTTGTATATGCTTTGTACTCTCGGGGTATAAATAGGATATGTATTGGGGCAACTGTTATATTAAAAAGAAAGGGACACTATTAGGCTCCATGTAACTGAGCTTATTTTAGTTAGCAAGCTGAGGAGCTACAAGAAATACAAATCAATCAGCTCAGCTCAGCTTTATACTACACAGCTCTAATGTCTGTAGAAATGGAACGTTAGAATGTAGGACAGGTCTTGAGATAAGAAGAAACCAACAGGCCTTGCAGGTTGGAAAATGTTTAAATAGGTAGAGAGAAGAGGGCAACCATTAGCAAATGATGAGAGATGGGAGGGAGAAGGGACTTCTTGGGCGGTGACAAGGAAGCCATCGCTGCAGGGTGCAGGTATGGTTGGTAGGTTAGGAAAGCAGAATGATGAGGTGTGCAGAAACCAGCCTATGTAGCACCTTGGGAATCAGTCAGATGAATTAGGGCTCGATGTGGAGACAATAGGCAATCCGAGACATTTTAGGTTCTGAAATAGGGCAAAGACACAGCACAAGTGGTACACAATGTTAGTTTATAAACATAGAGGGGAAAGTCAACCAGTAAGCTCTGGGAGTGATCCCAAGAAGAGATCTTTTACTAGCTGGCGGCAGTGGAGGTACAGTAGGAGGCAAGGGATACTGTGTAGGAAGAGAGAAAGTGTGTTCATACTGATGACCTCCGCTGAAGCAGGGGAGAGACAAGGGTGCCACTTGTGGAGATGAGGTGGCTGGAAGGGACAAGGCTCGTTTGCAGGTGCTTTCAATATTGTACGCATGATAAATGTAGATAAATATCAAAGTTGATTTCTTATAAAGAAATTGTTATAGGGCAGCCCCGATATAAAATGGGGTGCCTGACTGTGGGTCCTCACCCGCGTGCTTAAAAGGACTTATTAATGTTTTACTGCAGGCACACGCAAAAGGTTAATAAAAGGTTTATTTACAAGGGAAGGGCAAATGAGGAAATGTACAGCTCAGGGAGAAAAGTGGGAGACAAAGTTTTAAATGTGTCTTACCCAATTTGCCGATTAGGAATTTCAAAATGGCACTTTGAGAGCTGGCCGCAAGCCAGGAGCTGTGAAGCCAGGAGGCGAGCGACAGAGCGAGAGAGCTCAAGGCCCATGTGTTTGGTTTTTATACCAACCCTGGCTGTTTAACTCCACCCTCAGGTCCCAGTCACCTTTCCTTTGGTGGTGACGGGATTTGTCTTTCCCAATGTCCTGATGGCTTTAGTCTGGAGTGGGGGTGGAGTCCACAAAGCCTGTATGGGATTAGCGCAGGACATTTTTTCCCCCTAACAAAATGTTATATCAATTATTTTAAGAGTTTCAAAAACATGCTTCAAATTTAGCCTCCAGTATATTTTTCCTTTTCTACATTCATGACATAGGTAAGTACACATCTGATTTTGCTTGTGACAGTAACTTTCTCATTTCCCAGGTTTAATTATTAATAGTCCCCCCCCCTTTTTAAAAAAGATTTATTTATACAAGAACTGAGGTACAGAAGCGAGGGAGGGTGAGAGAATTCACCAGAGACAGAGCGGGGAGCAGAACAGGCAGACGGACTGAAGACACTGCTGAGGGGAGCAGCTGGTGAGGCAGGAGAGGTCTGCTGCACCATATGGGATTTTCCCTGGCCGGCCGGGAATCGAACCAGTGCTGCAGAAGCTGCGGACAGCTTCACAGTGCGGTGCTCAACTTGCTGCACCACCGGGGAGGCCCAATAGTCCCCCTTTCACAATGTGCTAGTTGGAAACTAAATTACATGCTTATCCCAGACTGAGAACTCATGACAAGCACCAGTATCAGTAAGTGTTCTACTTTACATTTTGCCCCACAGGGGAGGTGGAACAGGTATTGTTTAACAGGAGGGATGGGTGTGTATGTGTGTATTATTTAGTATTACTTAATACTAAATAAACACAGCCAGTTCTATACTTTTTAATACTTGCCTAAGCATTTAGGTAAAGCAAAAAGTTAAAAACCTGTCATTTTAAAAATGATTGATTTGCTGGATATTTACTGAAAAACCTATCATAGGCAGGCACTATGCTAGGAACTGGGGAGACAGAAATCATGAAGATACAAGCCTTCCTTCAAGCAGCATATAACTTAGTGGGGCTGGGGAGAGGTCATTTGCTCAAGCATTTAAACAAATAACATAGTACAGTGGGGTAAAGGCTATACGTGAGATAAACAAAGTCCCTTAAGGGGACATATTTGTTTTCAGTCAAACCAAACAAGGTTGGGATTTTCTTTGGTGATAAGGAGCTATGTCTTGGATGAATTTTTTTCACTTTGACTTATGCTTATTTAGAGCCTTGTTTTTTTCTTAACAAGGTTAAAACTATTAATAATGGTTAACTTTCTAAATAATAGTTAAATTTTAGTAATTTAGCTTTATGGAAATTAAAAGAAATATTCTCCTGAATCTCTGCATAATATTTTCTCTACATCCTGCAAAACAGAGCAGATGACATGAGGAAAGCTGGCATGGGACTCGACTGGGATGCTCTTCTGGGGCACAGGAGCCTGAAAGGTGATGATGGGGCAGCGCACAGTTTAGACCGAGACGGCCGACCAAAGAGCCATCTTCAGGAGATCCTGAGAAACTAGTGCTCTGGGAATCTGAGTTCCTTTCAGCAGTGTCCTCTAAGGCTACACGAGCCCAGTCACCAAGAAAACCCAGCCCAAGAGGAAGCTCACCTGTATGACAGCGGGAGCCGGTCCAGCCAGGTGGGCAGTCACACTGATAAGGGGCCACACAGCGACCACCATTGAGACAGGGGAGAATGCATATGGCTAGAAAGGAGAGGAAAGGGATTTCAGCAAAGTACACACTCACATCCACAAGCTCAAAAACCACTTTCCAGGAGGACTAAAACCCTGTATGACCCACTGTTCTGTTTATCAGTCAGGATCACTGGGGAAAGAACCAGGAAAGCAGTAAGCCTGGACGCTCAGCCAGGTGGATGGGCTCCAGTGCCAGACGGGCTCTCTCAGTGAGGACACCCGGGAATCTGGGAAGTGCTCTGCGTTCTTCACAAACTAAGCAGAATGTTCTCCCCACATTACTGCTTCAGATTTCCATTACAAATTACATAAAATGCTCTAAGAGGGTTTGGCTGCCTGGAGGCACACTTCATCTTGGATGAAATGTGAGATGGGCTGTTCTGTGGGCTGTGTGGGTAACACTTGAGCGGTCATGGCCAACTTACCACTCCTCGGAGATGAGACCTGAACGAATCAGATCTCCCCCACATCCTCCATGGCAACCACTCCTTCTAGAAATTACTGGATTCTTTAAAGAGGCATAGTGTGCTTAAAAGGATTGAGACATTCCACTGCCTTGCTACTCAAAGTGTGGTTCTCAAACCAATAGTGTTGGCGTTACGTAGGAGCTGGCCAGAAATGAAGACTTCCAGGTCCCAAGCAGCTCTGCTGAACCACCACCTGCATGTTAACAGCCCCCCAGGTGTTTTGTAAGCACATGAAAGCCCTGTCTGATACAGGAGGGCAGTGTAGGGGCAGGAACGGAAATGGAGCAGGATCTCTATGATCCCATGCAGATGGGGTAAAGGAGTGAGTCCTTGGAGTCCTCAGTGGCTTTTGCAGGCTTTTATTGGGATTTACCAGGCACAAGGCAGGCAGGGGTGCCGGGGGCTGGGAGGCTGGCAGGTCCCCCAGCAAGTCCTCACTCTATCTGGGCTCTCTGGCATTCTCTCTGCTTCTCTTCTCTCGGCTTCTCTGCTGCTGCTGGCATCCCTGTGACACCGCCCTTAAAAGCTCAGTCTCAGCCCAGGTGAATCCCATCTACCTATGCCCACACCCTACTCCAGGTGCCCGCCATCAGGCATGCATTCAGGACCACAGGGTTCCATCATCTATCCTGATGGCGGGAGGGCAGAAAAGCCTGATACTTTTTACCTTACCCTACAGGCGGGCCATGTGGTTGGGTGTACCCCAGCATTGTTGGGGTTCCCCAGCATAAAGTTTCCTCAAGTACTTTGATTCTTAGCATCACAGCAGATCCAGTAGGGGAGCTCTCAGAAGGAGGGAATGAGTGGGAAGAGGAAGAAGAAAAACACAATTTTTTTTTATCATTGTGAGATTACTCTTGATGTGTAGTGAGCAGTCTCCATTTATTCTCAGTATGTCTCCATCATGTTTTCCTTTATAGTTACAGGGAAAAAAGTTTAAGAATTTCTTATAAAATGCCTGATCATTAGAAAAACTGATATCGTCCAAGGGTCATCACATGAATGACTCCTAGTGGTTTACATTACAACCTGCCTATGAAACATGAAACCATTTTATCCTCACATATATTTTACGATATTATAGAGTAAGACAAAAGTATCAGGCTTTTCTGCCCTCCCGCCATTAGGAGAGATGAGGGAACCCTGTGGTCCTGAATGCATGCCTGATGGCGGGCACCTGAAGCGGGTACACCTGGGCTGAGAGTCTGAGTTTATAAGGGTGGCGTCGCGGGGATGCCAGCAGAAGCCGAGAGAAGAAGAGAAGCCGAGAGAAGACCAGAGAGCCTAGATAGAGTGAGGATTTGCCTGCCAGCCTCCTGCCCCCCCCAGCACCCCTGCCTGCCGTATGCCTGGTAAATCTAAATAAAAGACCTGCAAAAGCCACTGAGGACTCTGACTCCTCCTTTACCCGGTCTGCTGGATCAGAGAACCTGCCCTGTGTCCTTCCTGCCCCCTACAGATATTGAAACATAGAAACACTTAAAAACCACTTGGTGGCATTCTGGAAGTTGAAATTCAAATGTATTTTTAAGAGGATCAAATTTTTATATTAATTTAGCAACCATGTGTGGACATAGCAGTGCCAACTTTATTTCCTTAATTTGGAAAATCTATTCTTAATGAGAAAGTGAATGGTGGTCTGCGAAGAACAGCCTTATGCAGTGCCATGAATTTATACCAATGGCAGCAGTGAGAGACCCTGAAAATGGGCTTGAGATAAGAAAAGTGAATCCTGGAAAACCCTCTCATACAAGCTCCTTCCCAAAAAGATTCTTGGAAATTTGCATGTGGACGTGACTTTGGTGGATCTCAATAATTGTGTTTTTGAGGTCAGTAATATTCTAGATCTTCTGCAACTGATTGACATACTCAGATCTGCCCTGTGCACTGTCCGGTTTACTACAAGGATGGATTCCTGCACCAGTAAAGTCAGTTCCTATTAACTCCCCTGAGTTATTAGCTATCAGGACTCAAATCAACTTTGAGGACAGACTCACGCTCTTCACAGAGGCGCCCCATCCACCCGTCTGGACAGGAACAGGCATTTGGGCGTTGGCAGATCCCTCCATTCTGACACGGAAATCGACAGACCGCTGGAAAAGAAGTAGGAGGGGTCAGGGATGTAGGCAATTATGGCAGGTGGTCTTCATAAAATAGGATTGCTCATTCAATACAATTCAGTATTCCTTGATGAGAGCTTTAAGAAAGTAACAAACCTGAACCTCAAGAACGAATTTCAGTATATGAAGTGTGGTTGTTACATTTCACTTTTGATTTTTAATAATTCCTAGAAGACTCATCACATCTAGATGTTCACTGTTTTCCAACATGCTCTGAACCTGACCTCAACAGTTTCAGAGATGATTGTTTTCTCAACTGCAATACTCCTTGCTCTTCCCTTTGCCCTTTTGCATGCTAAACTTCCTTTTATTCTTCGAGACCCAGTACAAACATCTCTGTGAAACATTCTGTAGGGTAAGGAAAATGTCAGGCTTTTCTGCCCTCCCGCCATCAGGCCATCCTTTCCCCAGGAGGGGCAGCGCCAGGGATGGTAACCTTCAGGGCACCGTCTTGGTGCTGAAGTCTAGTCTGAATTTCTGCAAAGATTTCCAAAATCCAAGGCGAGCTGTGGTGCAGGCGCCTCCTCACTGTCATTTCCCCAAATGCGCCTTCACACCGGCCTCAGCGGTCAGGCCATTTTCCAGTCTCACCGCGTCCCCACGCCTCACCCTGAGGCAGAGCCGGGGCGGGCAGCCACCCAGCACGCGGAAGCCCTTCCAGCCAGCTGAGCACCGCATCACCAGGGCAAGCGGCTGTGGCAACGGGCCTACCCCGGGAGCGGCGGGATCGATCCCGCCCAGGGCGCCGCCCAGCTGCACAGTCTCTCCTTAGGGCGCGCGCCCTGCCTCAGCTCGCCTGAACAGCTCTGGCTTCCGAGCAACCGCTGGGACAACGGGGAAGGGGTGGGGGTGCGCAGGGGTTTGCTCCAGGAATGATTCTTTTTTTAAAAGCCAAAATTGCCTTACTGCCAATTAGGTATGAGCAGGAAAAGCTTTAGTGCAACTGCTTGCTGCAAAATCACCCACAACTGCTTCAGCTTTCCTTTTCCCTGATTTTTCTGAACATGAGCCAAGGTTAGCCATTCCTCTTCTTCACAAATATGCCTCCTCCTCTAAATCTTGCTGTCTGCTCCTTCTCCTGTCCTGCCTTTCCTGCCTGACCTGAAAATGCTAGTATTGCCCAGGGTGCCTCATTCAATATAATTCTCATTCATCTTATTTCTGTACACTCTGGCTCCTGTCTTTGACCCCTATGGTTCCAACATCACATTCACAAGGATATTAGGGGCAAACCTCACCTAGCTCTCCAAGTATATACTAACATATATCCTTATATATAATCTCAGCATACAGATTAAACATTTATCCATATCTATGAAATCTCAAGCATATATATTAAGTATCAAGAGCAATATATATAATTATATATAATTATACGTACAATTATATATAATTACATGAATATTTTATATGTATGTACACACACACACACACATAAAACCTCAAGCATTCTTTTCACTATGATTTCCAAAGACATTTATCCAATCCTTCAAATCTCATTTGGAAAAATGTGTTATTTAAATAAATATGCCATTCTCCATTTCCCCTTTGCCTCCATCCTGAATGCCCTTCTTTTCTGTCTCTGCTTGGGTAATGAACTCAAGTCACGGTTTACCTGCTCTGGTAAGCCCTCCCAGATACACCACCCATCCACGAGGAAAGGTCAGTTTCCCCACAATGGACTTTCTGAGCAAGCTCAGCAATCTCTCTCATACTGTGCTCCAGCGCAGGTTTTCATTTTGGGTCCGTGCATATTTGGGTGCTCTAGTGGACTGCGAACTTTTGTTTTTTTGTTTTTTTAAGATTTATTTATTTATTTATTTATTTATACAAGCACTGGGTACAGTCAGAAGCGCAGGAGGGTGAGAGAATTCACCAGAGCGAGAGTGGGGAGCAGAGCAGGCAGAAGGACCGAAGTACACTGCTGATGGGAGCAGCGGGCGGCAGGAGAGGTGTGCGCACCATGTGGGACCCTCCTCCAGTGGCCGGGGAGCAGCCAGGGATCGAACTGGAGCTGCAGAGGCTGCAGGGAGCTTCGCAACCCAGCGCTCAACCGCTGCGCTACCGGGGAGACCCTGGACTGCGAACTTTTGGAGGGTAAGAACGCCCAGGCCTAGTCGAGGTCTTGGCCTGGAGCATCTGCTCAATGTGTGTCTAATGCTTGAGTAAAGCTGGAAAGGGCCTCTGGAGGCATTGCTGCAGGATCCGCTCTGTTTCAGGACTGGGGATGAACACGATGGCTCAGGAGGGGTAGAAGCAAACTAGGGAATTCTGAAAATATAGTTATCACAGTCTTAGTGATTTGGGGATTCAGGGGAGGAGGGGACTAAGGAAAATACACCTTCTAGAAGGTTTCAAAATGCCCTTGTTAGGGTGGCCTTCAATGGTAGGTCTTTGGTGCTGCTACTGCCTCTTGATAGCTTAAAACCAACAGTGAAGAAATGAACAAGACGCAAACAAGCACACGGCCCTCTTTTTGACTTCTGGCTTCAAGTGAAAGCTGGGCTATTCCTTGAAGATGCCACTTCCTTGGAAGCCTGCTCATTCCAAGGCTGCACATCAACTCCCATATGTTGATGATAGATATCACTTCTCATTGGTGCTTCCAGACAGTTCCTGTTCTCTTGCAATAACCTTTGCCTTTTCGAGGTTCTTGCCATTCATTTGTTGACATCCTCAATTTTCCCTGCCCCAAGTCATTAAAGATGGACTTTTTTACCGCAAATCCAAATCTGACTACTGTCCATGTGAACAACACACACAAGGACATTATCCTTTCAGTTCTTTGGTAATATCTGTCTTGTCTGCTAGTGTAGTTCCTGAGTTTCAGGAAATATTTATAAAATGAATGGAATAATTATGATTTGTAAAAAATCATATTTTATTAGAAGAGTGCAAGTTTTAGAAAGACACTTTACTTTTATTTACTTCTTTCCATTTTGCAGAAGTTCAAGCATAGAACACTGCACTGGCCCTCACTAAAGATTTACTGGGAGCACACAAACTTCATCCTTGCATTTGCAAATTCAGTTCAGCAAGTGAAGAGACAGCAGTGCTCATGAGAACAAGGAGAGCTCATCTTACCAGCACCCAGCACAGCAGGGATACCATGGGTTGGGTTCCCCTTCCCTGGGATCACCCAGTACCTCTTCTCTCAAACTCTGTCCTCTGTTGAGCTAGCCATCCCCCATGGGGTTCAGGGACTGCCCAGGATGTGGGAGCTGGAATTTGTGTGGAAACACCTGAGAGCTCAGGAGGTCCCACATGGCTCAGACATGAGCCAGCTGCCCCATCTTCCCACCAGCCAGAGAACACTCCTGAGACTTGCCCAAATGGCCTTGATTGACACAGGAAGTGACTGTGTTAGCCCAGAGTTCTGTGTGCAGCTTTCAAAACTCAAATCCATAAAAAAAAAAAAAAATCAAAAAATCCATAAGGAAAATGGGACCCATAAAGTTAGCAGATGTGAAGAAAAAATTTAAAGCTAATGAAAAATAAAGTAGCATGCATACTCGTCGTTGATGCTATCAACTGTCCAGATGCATTTCCCTAAAGCTTCATCAAGAAATAGCCATTCAAATATTTGCTTACCTCTGCAAATAGGAGGTGATGTCCAGGTTCCATTTTCTAGGCAAACACTCCTTAGGGAACCCTCCAACATGTATCCACTGTAACATGAGTAGGTGATCATGTCCCCATACTGATAATGTATGCCTCGAGCAATCGCATTGTCTATGTGAGTTGGTGGGCCACATGAAATTTCTGTAGGAAAACAAAACAACAATTAAGCCTGTGCTTAATAGTCAGCAGATGGGAGAGAACACAGTCTCATCTCTAAGACTAGATTCATTTAAAAAGCAAAGATGAAATATCTGAAGTTCATTTCATCATCTACATAATATCTAAAAGGTACTAGGAACTGAAAGCATAGCCTGTTGCTGTCAAGAAAAATCAGATGTACAAGATCAAAAGTTTTGTCTTCTGATTCAAATGTTGAAGGTGAGCTCTTTTAAACCCAAGGCAAGAAGTCTGTGGGAGACCAAGGATGAGCTATAGTACCTTTTCAAAGAGATGACTGCTGAGAACTTCAATGCAGGAGACTGATCAAATTAGGAGAACCATGGGGATTAATTGTAGCCCATCATTTTAAAGTAAAGAGGATTATGTAATTAGTATTGCACATTCCATCAAGGCTGTTTTGTTTGTGCCTACAACAGTACCATGGACTCTTGATACATGTTTGAAAAATGAGAAAATGAAAGAATATATCCCCTAGCCTACAGATATATGTTGTGAGGAGGTTTATGACATTCAAGATTTCACATTAGTGTTTCTCTTTATAAGGTTGTAAAGCAATGGCTCTGTCTTTGGAATGTGTGAGATGGAATAATAATTCTCTCCTAAAATGACAGGTATTGTATATTTTGAGAAAAGTTTTTATAACTAATTTTACTTTGAGAATTTTAGAAGAAATCTTGAGATAACTAGATTTATTGAAGGGTGCCAACACGACAAGGGCTTGATTAGAGTCAGGTCTCTAACCATCATCCACTTTGTATAAAGTCTAATTTGGGGTACATCTTCAAGACCTGGCTTATAAAAGGTTACTTTGTGGTCATAATACTACTAAAATGCGTCAATTTGTATGATCTTTCAAAATTTTCCTTTTCTTCTAAGGTAGACTAAAAACACTACTGTAATCAGTCATATATTAAATGTGTACTAACACCTACCATGTATCAGAAACTAGAAAGAAACAAATGAAGAAAATGCTGTCCCTTTGCTCAGATAACTGGAGAAAGACAAAGACACCTATGATTTAAATTGAGCTGTATTAGAGGCTTGGCTATTGTTCTACAGAAAAATTGAGGTGACTGTAACTCATTATGCTCAGGATCGTCAGGATACAGATCAAAGTGAAAGTGGCATTTTGACCAGGCAACAAAACAGTAGATCAGAAGAAAAGAAGGAGCAGCAGCAGGGGAGCAGCTTGGAGACAGACACAGTGAGGTGGCAGTTTACACGGGTGACTATCCAAGTGTGAAGTCACTATATGGGAATCACCTGGGGTTCATATTAAAAATGCAAACTTCTGAGGTTTCCAGTATATGAGTCTATTTCTTCCATACTCTCCCTGGGTGATTTTCTCATGCACACTAAATTTTAATTACTGATTTGTAGGGATAATTACGAATATGGGTGAATAATGAGGAGAATGGCTTCCTCAGGCAGGATATTTTGCTCAAAGCTAAAGACTTCCTGTCTAATAGAAAATGCAAAAAAGGGATTGAGGATAACAAACAATAGAGGAAACTGTCTCCTCTCCAAGGCAACCCCTATCCTCTCAAGAATACTGAGGAACAACGAAGCATGCACTGCAGGGACATTTGTAAAAAGTGCATGTCTGTCCTTGCTCTGGTTTCCAGGGTCCTGGGTAGTGAGTCTTGGGACGCCAGTGCCACTGTGGGATATCTGGGCAGAATCAGGCCACCTGACCTGCTGCAGTTCAGGCTGGTGCCTTTCAACCAGACCAAAGGGTCAAAACTTGTACATACTTATCTCTTCCCATTTCACTAGGGGTAGACTGCTTAAGATTTTGGTACCTAAAACCTAGCTAAAATTACAGTACACACTTTCCTGAAATGAAATCACTAGAATAAACCACAGTAAGCTGTGAAATTGAAAATTCAGGGACTTGGGTTATCAGTGGAACTTTTCCTATTACGACATACTGCTAATACATAGCAATTCATTTATTCTTCAGAGTAAACCTATAGGATGGGTATTATTGGTTTGACTGGTTTATTACTAAATGAGAGTCCCAAGGTTGAAAGAAGGTAGGCAGTAGCTTAAACATAGACTTAGAAAGTTTTGTAGATAGCATTCAAACTCGGGTCTCTGATTCCAGAGTCCCCATGGCCTTATTAGGCATAAATCTTATCTGCATTGGAGTGCAAATGTTTTGAAGATGGAGCCATTGTAGACATAATATTTTTATACTATATAGCTCAGTGCCTTGCATCTGATTAGATTCAGTGAATATTTGTTAACTGGTCTAAAAGGGCATCTGAAGGGCAGGATGTGGGGCAGGGGAGATGCTTTAAGTGTATGTTGGGATGTTGAGAGTTATCACAAGGTAGCAAGAGATGGTCCAGATTAGGTATTAGGTATCAACACAAGTTGTGGTTTGCGGACCAGCAGCAGTGTCATAAGTAACACGTGGGACTTGTTAGAAATGCTAAATGAGACATTCTGGGGACCAAGTCCAGCAATCTGTTTTAATAAACCTTCCAGGTGGTTTTGATGCAGGCTCCCGCTTGAGAACCACTGTGGGATATTTTTGTATTGCAGTATCTTGAGGCTACTAGTGGGTAATGTGAAGATTCTCACAATGTGGAGAAAAGTATGTATTTTAAATAAAATAGCTTGCTTATTCTTAAAAGCGCACATTCTGAAAATCTGTTCAGTGAAACCTGGCTAGGTAGGTTTTAGCCAGTTAGGTTCTAGAAAGTTATTTTCTTTTTATATTTGGAATTCAAAAATCTTTTTTAAAATTTTTTAAGGTTATCAACACAGACACTGATGACCATGATAAAGCAGAGATCTAAATATCTAAAATTAAATTACTTGATTGGAAATACCCCACAAAGTTAAGAAGACATTCTGTATTCATGCAATTGAGTGGATCCCCCCTCCCCTACCGTGGACTTACTGTCACACTTGGCACTTGTCTGTGTCCATGTCTCATCAGGATTGCAGGTGATGACGCCCTCTCCCTGGAGCAGGAAGCCTTTCCTGCACTTGATAGACACGTTCTGATTGACATAAAACTCCTTCTCAGAAAGCACAGCATTCTCAGGAATCACAAAAGGTACTGGGCAAGGATTTGCTGATAAAAAGATAAGAACATGCTTACCAATATGTTCTCTCTTAATGTATTTCTTTAAGGGCAAAGCATGAGTGCAGTAGGACTGGTGTTCTCAGTAATAATAACATAATACTTAAAAATACAGAGCATCAAGCATTAAACACTGACTTATGTTACATCCACATTAAATTATCTATAAGGATAAAATCAGATAAGATCTCAAACCACCAAGTCATTCAACCACTAATACATGATCCTAAACCTCTAAAATGGCAAATTAAATAATTGAAATTATGGCTCACCACATCATTATAGTTTTTTTTTTTTTTTGATCAGCATTGAGGAGACAAAAAATGTGCTAGAAATCAGACTGTATCAAAATTCCCTTAATATTTGAAGACTATTAAGAACACAGTGTAAATGTGTCTTCTTGTCACTTTATTCTCTTTTACTGGACATCCTTCGGAAGGATGCATGTAAGAATCACCAGGCATTTTTAACTAAATTAAATATGATTTAGATCCACACTACAATCAACTATAAATTTAGAGTTTGCAAGGCATATTGACAAAGATGGATACTTTCTACATGTGTGAAGGAAAAAGAAATGATTGCATAAGGATTTCTTGGTGCAAATGTGTGACACATGTCCCAACAAATATTTCAAGCAATTTCCATTTTTTTTTGATTTTCAAAGGGTACAAAATAAATAAGCAAAGTCGGCATCAGCTGAACCCCAGAGGTTCAGTTATGGTATAGGGATACTTTAAACAGTAACCGGAGCTCTCAATTGGTACTTTGCTTATGAATATATCACTAGTTTTCATTCCAGTGCTTATAACTAGTTGTGTTTATATATTAGTTATAACTATCTGTCATTACATATACTTTATTAATATTGCACATGAAACATATTTTCTTTACCCCTTCCACATCTTCAATCAAATCTACATGTATTTATGTCAAAATTTGTTCATTAAGTAATATTTTCTCTTAATGCTTTACATTTATAATTATCTAAGGAATCTGAAAAGAAGTTAATTGGCAGACAGAATATGTTTAGTAACTCAGGTTGATTTTTAAGATACTTTCCAGAATTTGGTGGATATGCCTGGATTGCTTGCTCTGAGCCAATCTCGTTTTGTGAAGTTTTCTCTGTTTCTGACATTTGGGAAACTACTCATGAAACTGAATCTGATTAAAACCTCTCATATGGTACATATACACCATGGAATATTACTCAGCATTCAAAAAAGATAAACACATGCAATTTGCAGCAACATGGATGGTGTTGGAAGGGATCATGCTCAGCGAAATAAGCCAGAAAGAAAAAGAAAAATACCAGATGGTCTTACTCATAGCAGGAATCTAGAAAACTTAAATAAGGGGCCAGGAAAAAGAATAACTATAAGAAAGTAAAAATCAAAATCAACAAACAACTATGAACCAGAGACACTGTATGGGGGGTGGGGGGCGGGGAGGGGAGGTATTGGAGTCAAAATAAGGGAGTCGCAATTGTATGGGGAATATAAAAATAAAAAAAAAATTGCATGTACATAAATGAAAAAAAAAAAAAAAAACCTCTCATAAAGTGAACACACACGTTTGCAGAGAGGAGCTGGGTGGCTCCAAGTCCCATGTTCAGTGCAGTATGCCTTAGACACCCCTTCAAGACTGTAACCTCGGTTGCAGGAATATACCACGCTGGGGCCAGAAGTAGTGTTTTCAACTTCAGCTTTCCCATTCAGAAACTCAAGTGGAGCTTCGCACTTGGCATCTAAAGAGAAAAAGGAAAACCTCAGATTAGATGCTCCTCCCCATCTCCTACACAATTTGCTAGAGGTACCTAATGCACCATGTGAAATATTACAGCCTACTCATGTCAAGACACCCACTAAAGGAGAAAAACCCCAGCACGAGTAAGTTTTGGGTTCATATAGACAGGCAATTAAAGGCCAAGCACTTTCCAGACATTATTAAATTTAGTTCTTACAACTAACATTGACCAGATAACATATAGGGCATCCAATTAAATTTGAATATCAGATAAATAGCAAATGTATATTTAGAGTACTATGTCCCAAATATTCTGTGGGACACATTTACATTAAGAATTATTTTAAATTCCTGTTATGAGTGAGACCATCTGGTATTTTTCTTTTTCTTTCTGGCATATTTTGCTGAGCATTATCCCTTCCAGCTCCATCCATGTTGCTGCAAACTGCATGAGTTTATCTTTTTTGATTGCTGAGTAATATTAAATCTGAAATTTAAATGTTACTTAGCAGGCTGGTTATTTTTTTTCCATTTTCAGGGTTTTTTTTTTTTTTTGACTAAATATAGCAACTTTAACTTACAATAAATTATATGAGGATTTTGTTCCAGCGAGAAAAGTCATTAAGAGGGATGTATTGTGAGGAAAGCAGCATCATCCTTCTTAGAATCTTAAAAAGTGGGTTTGAGTCATAATTTTATGATTTTTGTGAAAGTAGGGGATGGTCTAGTGATCGATTATGGCTGCACATTGTTAACAGCCACGAGAAGCTTTTATGCCTAAGGTCCTGTGCCAACCTTGAACCAGAACCTCAGTGTCATTGGCCTTGCTTATGGTATTTTCTTAAGAGCTTCCCAAATGATTCCTGTGCTTACCTAGAGTTGAGAGCCACTGGATAAGATGCTAACTGACTCTCTGGACTTCTTTCAGCCTGTGGAGTATACATATACTAGGTCATGTACCTTAATCTTTACTGTACCTTGGAATGTCCTGGAAGCTTTAAAAATACATCAATGAGGGAGAGGAGCACAATGGACTATGGTAGAGGATTGTGTCTTGGTGGAGGGTGTGATGTGGTACCAACACCTGAGGGGGTGATCCTATACCTCTAAATCATACACAATGTTGTATACCAATGGTACCTCAATAAACAAATGAAAAAAAAAAAAACAACACATGGATGAGGGATCCTATCTGCAGAGATTCCAACTTAACTAATGTAACTGGGCAAGCTCCCTAGGATATGCCAATGTGTTGATGGCTAAAATGATGCATTCCTGTGACGTGAGAGCTGTTACTCAAAGCTTCCTAAAATATTTTTTATTATAACATTTCTACAAGATTTGTAGAAATAAAAATAGTTATATAGCTTCCATTGAGTTCAAACATATTATATTCCTTAAAAGATTCAAGATTCTGGCGCGTCCCTGGTGGCCTAGGGGTTAAGTCTCAGCATTATCACTGCTGCGGTCTAAGTTTGATCCCTGGCCAGGGAGCTACCCACATGGTGCAGCAGACCTCTCCTGTCTCACCCACTGTTCCCCTCAGCAGTGTATTTCAGTAGCTCTACCTGTTCTGCTCCCCACTCTGTCTCTGGTGAATCCTCTCACCCCCATGCCCCCCACCTCTGGCTATACCCCAGTTCTTGTATGCATAAATCAATAAAATAAATCTTTAAAAAATAAAATGAGTTCATGCAAAATCCCACAAAAGATGTGAAAATTCATTTGACAGCTGTGCTAACTTCACTTTAAAAAGTTGTCAGTATTGGCCTGTATTGTCACCAAAAAGCAACAACTCTAAGCTTCCTAATTTATAATTATTTGGGGGAGGACACATAAAAAGAATGCAAATAAACTTAATAGTTAACTAGTTTCTAAACAAAATATTTGCCATTCCAGAGTCAATAATCTTGTACTTTATTCCAATTTAATCATTAACTTCTACTATAATTTTTGATTATTTTATTAGTTTAGTGTCCTTGAGCAAAAGCCTATTAAAGGTTCTCATACAGTTTGTGGTTGTGGAACCAAACAAAAATTTCTTAAGAAAAATTTATGAAACTGATTTACAAAGGAAGAGTGGCCACATTGTTTGGCAACCGCAGTACCATTTCCGGCACTGCTGAGGGTGATGGGACTTACGTTGGCACGTTGCTACCCCTCCACTCCACTCTCCATTCTCCTGACACACACGCTCCCCGTTCCCCTGTGAACCAATGAAGAAAGGTCATTGACAGGATAATAACCCTAGAATGAAAAGATAATAAAAGAATGCAAATAACATAACCTTAGCTGTGAACTTGAATCTCTCAGCTCTGGAATGATAAACAAATTCATCAGTTTTAAGGACTAGGTTTAGACTTTCAAAAATGTTTGAAACAAATTACTTAAAATTCACTCTCTGGCTGACTGCCTTGATTATGATACAGACTTTGCTTTCTATTTAACTGACATCAATTATAACCAATAGCAAAGAATGATGACGAAGTATTTGACATTTCAAAGAGGTATATTTGCTTAGTGTATTTTAAAAATATTTTGAATTGAATTTATTTTTCAATATCTGAGAGGCACAGCAAAGCATATTGCATTGGTATTTTTAAACCTTTGAACATGAAACATGAAACGTGCCAACAAAGCTTACTGGTACGAGGACTGGATTTTTCAACAATGTCATTTATCCATTAAAGATAAACTTACCCTGTGAATGATCCAAGCATTTAAAATTTTAAATATTTTGGATAAAATCTTTCTAAAATTAATTTTCTGTCTTATTAAAAATTATTTGTAATTATTATTCTTAATATACTTTCTATCTATTCTTCAATATCACATAACCCTTAAGGACAATGTATGCTGTTTGACCCCACAGTTGTTGTAGGGATTATGGAGGTAAAATGTTGTTTTTTGATTTCTCAATATAATTTTCTGAATGTACTTCCTCCTATCATTTACTGTAATCATCATTCTTCCTATGTTAACACTTTCCCATGTTTGAAATTCCTAATCTACTATGGAATAATAAGATAAATAAAATTTTGCAATGTTATATGTTTAAAAAAAACTAGGTTCTAGGCAATTCAGGGGTTTGACTAGATCAAATACATAAAATTCAGCATAGGGATTGTCTCACTTTATTTTCATTTTTGAGAGCACTTTGGATATTGTGTGGGAGTTCTGTCCTAAATCGGCAAGGTAGCTGAAAAGAAGCTATTCTCTGTACTTTTTTTTTTAAATCTGGTTTCACAGGTAAGTTCCCTGCCCTTATTTTTCTATACAAAGGTATTATATTTGAGTGATCATTTTAATTACGGGTAAATCCTTACTTGTAAAAATTCCACTGACACTGATATAAAGAAACTGGCTTTTCAAGAAAACAATTGGTTTTATAAAATTAAGTGCTGCCTTTTTAAAAACTCTGTCTTGGGCATCCCTGGTGGCACAGCAGTTGAGCGCTGGGTTGCGAAGCTGCCCGCAGCCTCTGCAGCGCTGGTTCGATCCCTGGCCACCAGCGAGGGTCCCACATGGCGCGTAGACCTCTTCTGCTGCCCGCTGCTCCCCTCAGCAGTGTATTTTGTCAGTCTGCCTGTTCTGTTCCCCGCTCTGTCTCTGGTGAGTCCTCTCACCCTCCCGCGCTTCTGACTGTACCCAGTGCTTGTATAAATAAATAAATCTTTAAAAATAAATAAATAAAAAATAAAAACTCTGTCTTATGAAAAATTCAAACACAAGAAAAATAGAACAGTAGAAAGAAAAGTATAGCAAACACACACAGAGCCATTATCAGGTGATGTGATCAATTCAAAGCAACCCTGTTTTATCTCAGCCCCTTCCCCCTTTCATGAACCCACATTATTTTGAATTAAATCTCAGAAATCAAATCACCTACCAGTAAATATTTCAGTTTGCACCTCTACAAGTTAAGGGCTTTAAAAACTGTAACCACAATAACATTATCACATTTTAAGAAGCAAAATTTCTGAGGGGCCTCCCTGGTGGCACAAGGGGTTAAGACGCAACCTATGAAGCTATCCGCAGCCTCTGCAGCACGAGTTTGATCCCTGGCCAGGGAGCTACCTACATGGCACAGCAGACCTCTCCTGTCTCACCCACTGCTCCCCTCAGCAGTGTATTTCGTCAGTCTGCCTGTTCTGTTCCCCGCTCTGTCTCTGGTGAATCCTCCCACCTCCCACACCTCTGGCCTGTATATTTGCTTAAGTTTGGTATCACTTTTTTTCTTAACAAATCTTAGTACTCTCACATAGGAACAATCAAGTGTGAAGCATAGAAAACCCCCAAGTACATGAAACCATTACATGACGATCCTACCTTAAAAAAAAAAAGTCTTTTGAGGAAATAAAACAAGATTCCTATGAGGCTAGTTCCAACTTTCATGAGCCTACCTTATGACAATTCTTTGACTGCATGGTCAGAAAATGGAACCTACCCTCTTTAAAAAAAAAGAAGCAAAATTTCTGTTCTAATTTCTAATTGCTGCCTAACTGTCATAATTTACTTTTTACAATTCATTTCAATCAGGGCCAAAATCAGTTCCGCACACTGAGATTGGTTTATCTCATAGGTACCTCGTTAAATCTATAGGTTCCTCTTTCTCAGTTGATTTATTCTCTCTCTGATCCTCTTTTTCTCACTTGCTATATTAGTCTCAGAAACTGGGAAACAGGGTTATTTGTCCTGTAGTTATTTCCACAGATAGGATTTTGTTGATGTCATGTAATAGATTCTTCTGTCTTGGATACTAGTGGTTGGATTTAGAGCCTTGATGAGATTCACACTAATTATTCTTTTTTGGCGGTGGGGGAGACTACGTCACAGATGAAGTTGTATTTTCCCACCCAGAGGCACATAACATCTGGTTGCCTCTATTTTTTTTCTGCTATTAGCACCCATGATGATGATAACCTAAATCCACTAAATCATATGAGTTGCAAATTCTGGAACTGAAATGCTATTATAAATTGATTGGAAGATTTACATAAAGGTAAACTTGTTTTCATCTATTACTTGGGCATCTAGTCATCCAGGTAGCATTGAAACAATAATTCTTTCCTTTTTATTTGGTTACAAAATAATGTGTTTTTTCATGAGCCAATACTAGTGGTTACCAACCAATTTTTTAAAAGGATTTTTAGAGTCTTGTATCATTCAAGACGTACATGCATAAAGTGTTTGATTCCACTGAAGTTATTAATTACCCTTACTGAATGCTGACATGGGTTCCTGATCTATGCGGCCTTCTCCAGCTGGTCTCTGAGTGCTCAGTTCCTAGACTTTCACAGGATCCCTCTTATTCCATAATACATGATTTTTCTAGGCTAAACTTTTACATTTCTTGTCCAAGATCTAAAATTGGTTATTTTTGCAAGTAACTGGACATTAATATTTTTTAAAATATTAATTCTATAACATAGCTTGGAGCGAGAGCAGTTGCTATAATAGCTCCCTGAATTTTGTAGTTAACATTGGGAAGTTTCTGAAAATTTTTAAGATAAATCATTTACTTCCTCAAATTGAGTGACAAATATACAGTTTGCTGTATATTTGCTTAAGTTTGGTATCACTTTTCTTCTTAACAAATCTTAGTACTCTCACAAAGGAACAATCAGTGTCAAGCATAGAAAACCCCCAAGTACATGAAACAATTACATGACGATCCTACCTTTAAAAAAAATCTTTTGAGGAAATAAAACAAGATTCCTATGAGGCTAGTTCCAACTTTCATGAGACTACCTTATGACAATTCTTTGACTGCATGGTCAGAAAATAATGGAACCTACCCTCGAAATTTAACATCACTGGCAATGAATACTTAGGCAAAACCTACATTTAATACTTTGGCAAAACCACTATAACAATACAAAAAGGAATTTCCTGAAAAACCAGAAGACAATATCATGTAATGTAAAGCAGTTCCCTTAAATGTCAAGCTTGATGATGTAATTATACTTTTAGCAAAATTGACTGCAGCCTTCATTTTTTTTTTTTGTTTTTGAAAGCCAGTGTTTTAACAAAATTAAAATGGATGAAACTTGAAATATATGGGTTAAATTTCTTAACACTTTTACATAGTTTGTAAAACAATCATGGATTGTTTTTATAGATCATATTTGTTTTTTTTTAATTAATAAATTTTATTTTTATATTCCCCATACAATTGCAATCCCCCCATTCTGACCCCAATCCCTCCCCTCCCGCCCCCTACCCCCCAAAAAGTATCTCTGGTTCATAGTTTTTTGTTGATTTTGATTTTCACTTTCTTATAGTTATTCATTTTCCTGGTCCCTTATTTAAGTTTTCTAGATTCCTGCTATGAGTGAGACCATCTGGTATTTTTCTTTTTTTTTTTTGGCTTATTTCACTGAGCATGATCCCTTCCAGCGCCATCCATGTTGCTGCAAATTGCATGTGTTTATCTTTTTTTGAATGCTGAGTAATATTCCATGGTATATATGTACCATATCTTGATCCAGTCATCTATTTTTGGGCATTTGGGCTGTTTCCAAAGCTTAGCTATTGTAAATAGTGCTACTATAAACATAGGGGTGCAGGTGTTCTTTGGAATTGATGTTTCTGTGTCCTTTGGGTAAATACCTAGGAGTGGAATTGCTGGATCCTGTGGAAGCTCTATGTTAAGTATGTCCAGAAATCTCCACACAGCTCTCCATAGTGTTTGGACCAGTTGACTGCAGCCTTCATTAAAGTAAACAGGGAGACCAAGTTTTGCTGATGGGTTTTTAGTATTACAACTTGGGAATGGTCTTGAGACCTACTTGGTATTTGGTTGGAAATGCTCTGAGGGTTTTTCAGACCAGCCTGCCATGTGGGAACCTGGCATCTCATAAAGAACCCTATAAGGTATTTGAGCCTATTGTTTGAGGAAATCCTAGCTTGCACACCCAATGGTCACCTCCCAAAGTGACAGATGGATTTCCCTCTTGCAGTGTATAGTTAATAGGAGGCAAAAACTGGTATGTGGTCAATTGAAATAACTATCAATCTTATGACTTTGATTTTTTAAATTTGAGACATTTTGCATTTTACAATTATGTCACCTTAAGTATTTCATGTCGGGGTACAACTGAATAACGTTAAAAACTAAGTCCCCACTCTTAACCCAGCAGGCAGGTTTGGAAGACTGTAATTGATAGGGGAATGGAACGGGCTGCCTAACGAACAAAGCCATAAAATTGACCACCATGACCGGAAAAAAGAGCCCAGTGCCAAGAATGCAGAAGCAGAGGCCAAAACATGTTTCTGTGTCAAAGGCCAGCAGCAGAGAGCAGACTTCCCAGCAGTGAACTGGTGCAAACTGGTGCCCCCAGTTAGAAAGCCCTTGAAAACAGAGAGCCTCAAATCCTCCTTAGCGTGCAGACTTCTCCCATCTCTTCCACTGCTCCCCTTAGCAGTGTATTTCAATAAATCTGCCTGTTCTGTTCTCCACTCAGTCTCTGGTAAATTCTTTCACCCTTGCATCCCAGGCCTCATCCTGATCTCCTCACAACATTATTGGCACAAGTGTTACAGCATAAAGTAACAAAGTATAAAAGAATCTTTTACGACAAAAATTAGTGACGCTAATTGGTACTGATACTAAAAATATGCCCAAGTATATTGGAAGACAAGGTAATTCTAGTTCCACAATCTGTTTGATTTACCTCTAGTTCATAGCCAGGTTCACATTGATAGGTAATTGTGCTTTCAAAGCTGTATTCATTGCCAAGCACAAATCCATGTTCTGGACTTTCAGGTTTCCCACAAGAAACTGGACTGCAGGATTCATCAGAAAATGGTGGCTCCCAGCTGCCATTGAGCTAAATAACAAACAGCAAATCATAAGGCACATTTAGGAGTATGAATCAAGAAGCAGCTACCAGCAAATTTGGTAGCTAAATAATCCCTAAAACAAGAGTAAAAAAGGCCTAGAGTTTGGGCCTATTTCCACTACTTATTATCTATGATCTTAAAAAATACACATTAATTATTAGATATCCTTAGCAGTCACTCCTAAACAATGTCAGACACTTCTTAACACATTAGACAATCATTTTCTTCCTACTGGAATCCATTAAAACCCCCCAAGAGTATGATTTCACTATGGTGCCCAAGGACTGGATGGTTGATACATCTAATCTATGACTTTTACCAATACACCCTTATATTTCACACACTTCTACATTTTAATTTAAAGTTTATGAGAAACAGCAACTTTTGGGTTTATCATTCAAAGTTTGAAAAGATGGCTTCTTTTTCTTTATTCCAACATAAATACTTGAGAGCATTCTATCATATAATTTGGAGTGGGTCACATAGTTAAAAAATAACAGTTATTATATGTATATGCATATACGTATGTATACACATGTATTATTTATATATTTCCCTGCCACCATAGTTAGAGTTATCATTTTTTCCAGTCTTCTATTTGGTTCATGCTTGTGTGGATAAATATACAAATAAACATGTATAGTATATATTATTATAAATATATTTAATATAAGCATATAATGTATAACTCATATATACTATATATATTACACATTATAAAGAAGACAGAGAAGCCCACCTGACAGGTTGATATGTTGACTCCCTCATAGGTGTATCCTTTTGCACATGACACAGCCACTTGCTTATTCACAGTGAAATCGTCCCCATGAACTAGGATGTGTATCATGTTTGCTGGCAGGGGACATGTTCTAGGACTGCAGGAGATTGTCTCAGGGAACCAATGGCCATCTTTCTGACAGGTAAATGTGTCTATATCTGTGTCCATCATATAACCTTCCATACAGCTGCAACAGGAAAGCAAAAGTAAGTGCCTTGAAAGAAAGTTACAATATACTAGGTGATCTATTCTTGGATTTAAGAAACTGTTATAAGATATTTGATATGATATATCAAACCTGATTCAAATGTTAGGTGGACAGAATTGCTATGCAAAAGCACCAACATAATGATAAACAGCTCAATCCTTAGTTATTCACCCTCAGGATTAGCCATGACTAATGTTCCTGTAAGTATAACTGATGTTATTTACCTTCATTGGGATACTATCATTACTGAATTTTTATTCTAAAAACGGTTAACAGTTCAAGAGATTCTAAAGAGCAAACCAGACTCAGATACCAGTAAGAATATAATTAACATTTATTTGGAATCTACTTTGTGCCAAACACTGTTTGAGGTCCTTTACACAGGGTATTTCTTTTAGTCCCGATTACCAAATATTATCGTGTAGCAGTAATATGGGTGTTTGACTCAAATCAACCTGATTCTAAAACTATGATTTTTTTTAAGTTTGCATTTATTTATTCAGCACCTGTTCCATATCACTTACTAAATTTCAGTCATTACTCTAAATGTTCATCTAACTCTCATGTCAACCCTAAGAATAGGTACTATTATTACATTTATTCACATTTTGCAGATAATGAAACTGACACCACACAAATTAAATAATTTCCCTGGGAAGTGACTGAGCAGACATTCCTACCCAAGGAATCTCGCTCTAGAGTCTATGCTTTTCCTACTACGCTGCCCTGCTTTTTCATTAAACCATTTAATTTACTAACACTTACTAGATAGATATAATTTTTAAATTTAACAAATCGCAAGGCTAGGTAGGAGTCAGGGGTTTGGTAAACTGACTGAAAGATGATGTAATCAACACACCGTGAGCATTAGCAAACAAGGAAGTCTTGAGAAGATGAGATTGTGACATTTCAACAGAAATTTTAAAATGGATTTCAAAATCAAGAAGTAATTTTTGTTTGTCTTTTCAGAGCCTAATCCACTGCTCCTCAGCTTTCTTATCACTGACCATCTCTCCTACGCCTACTTCCTTTAGCATTTAAGAGAAAATGAAGGTAGGGCTAACATGTCCACAACAGAGTTCTTAAGAAGAGTTGTTGAATTATTAATAAAATGTAAGAAGCCAATATGGGAAGGATAATCCATAATTCCTCCAGAGATGTGAATAAAATCAAAATTGACTTGGAGGGGTAAGAGATCTTTGACCATTACAGTATTCCTTCCAATAAATATTTAATTTAAAGAATAGCTCCCTATTTTTTAAAAAGATTTTATTTATTTATACAAGAGCTCGGGGACAGGTGAGAGGATTCACCAAAGAAAGAGAGAGGAGAATAAATAGCTCCCTATTTCTATTGAGCAATGAGAGTGTATGCTTTTTGACCTGAATTCTTCAGTTTTTGCCTTATTTCCCCAATATTTGATTGCATGAATATAAATATAAAAATATCATAAAGAAATTGGCCAGCATCCTGTTTTAAAAAAAGGCCTTGTGACTTAGCAGATACTAAAGCTCTCTGGAGGATCTTGCTATTTTATGAAGCTCAACAGAATAAGATAATCATGATAATTATATCAGGAACTACAAGCTGAAAATGTTAGAATATAGTTTACGGACAAAGGATTTCCACATAATTATGGGTAGAATAAAGCCAAGCATTAACAACTTCAGCTTTTAGAAAACAGTTCAGAGATGGTGATTTCTTCTCAATTAGCTAAAATTCTCCCTTAGCACTTTTCTTTTCAAAACCCTCCTGCCTACATTCCAGGGAGATTGTAGAGCTAAGAACTTACCTGATTTTCACTTTACTATCATAGGTGTATACCTCTCCAGTAGCGATGGCATTGGTGACAGACGGTGGAGATCCACAGGACAGGGGCTCACAGACTGGATAAGGCTGGCTCCATGTTCCTTTCTCTGTACAAACCAGATCTGAACTGCCTCGTATGACATATCCAGATCTGCAGTTGTATGTTATCCCCTTTTCTTCCAAAGAGCTGCTCTCACTGATGAATGCGTTTGGTATCACTGGAGGAGAACCACAGAGAGCATGCTCACAGCGGGGGAAGCCAGAGCTCCACTGGCCATTGGCTTCACAGGTGATTTCAGAAAGTCCCAGGAGTTTGAAGCCTTTGAAGCACTGAATCTGGGCTGCCTTTCCACAACCAAAGTCTGTCCCATTGACAGCTCCATTTTGAATTACTGGTGTGGAACACTTGCAGGGTAGGCAGGAAGGTGGGCTGCCACTCCAGGAGTTATTGGAGAGACACCTTCTTGAAGGACTTCCATGGAGCTTATAACCAGGAAAGCACTGATACTGTATGTACCCCCCATGATAGAAGGAAAATCCATTAGGGAAGCCATGGGTCAGATCCCCAGGAGACCCACAGTTGACAGGTTTACAGAGAGGAACCTCTGCATCCCAGTTACCATCAGACTGACAGGTGAGTTTGGAAGCACCATGCAACATGTAGCCTTCCTGACAGTGGAAAACCACTTGCTTCCCAAAGCCATAGTCCAGGCCTTCCATCACCCCATTTGCCACCTTTGGTGGGGAGGCACATCTGATAGGCATGCAGGTGGGTGTGGTTCCACTCCAATTTCCATCAGCAAGACAAACACGGTTTCTGGCTCCCTCAAGTGAGAACCCTATATTACAAGTATACTCAACCTCTTTTTGGAATGTATACTCATTTCCTTTCACCTGGCCATTGGCTGAGACTGGGGGTGAACCACAGTCCACAGGAATGCAAATTGGCTCATTTTCATCCCAATTTTTATTTTCCTGGCATGTTCTCTTCTCAGAGCCATTCAATACATACCCAGGATTACACGTGTAATACAACACACTCAGAAATGTGTAGTTGCTTCCTTTGATGGACCCATTCATAATTGAATTGGGTTTTGGGCATGAGATGACCTCACACTGTGGGGAAGCACCACTCCACTCTCTATTCTGTAGACAAAGTCTTATGTTGGAACCCACCAGAATGTGTCCAGGTTTGCAGTTATATTGTACAGCACTGCCCATCGTAGTCTCTGTGAAATGCAAAAAACCATTTTCAGGAGCAACAGGCAAGTCACATTCAATTGAAATGCAGGATGGTGCACTGCCATTCCAAGTTCCATCTTCTTGGCAGGTCAGCGTAGGGTTCCCCAAAAGTTCATATCCTGGATTGCAGGTATATAAAACCATGGTGCCATACAGATAGTTTGCTGAAGGTGTAGCAGAAGATCCCTTTGTGCTTTCCCAGGTTTTAGTCACTGCTCCCGGATGATGAGGTGGGTGAGGAGTCAGATATGGGACTTCCATCATGTCTTCTTCTTGATCAAAATATCCCTGACCATCACTGACCTTAGTAGAGTCTCCAAAATCTATGTGAGGAGGGAGACCACAGTCTATGGGTACACATGTTGGGATGGAGCTTGACCATCCTGCCTCTTCGCAGGTCTGCATGGCATGACCAGTGACCTGGAACCCAGGGAAGCAGCTGTAGATGATCATGGCACCATAGCTGTAGTCTGCACCTTCCACAAAACCATTATCAATGGGTTGTGGGGGATCGCAGTGGATGGCACTGCAGGATGGGACATCCACATCCCAATCACCTGTCTCTAAACAGGTCAAGGCTTTGGGACCTTCCAGCCTGAAGCCTTGGTCACAAGAGTATGTGATGGTTTGGCCATAGTGTAGGTTTGTGTAGGAGAATTTGCCATTCAAAATCTCTTTGGGCTTTGGACACTCAATGGGTTTACATGTTGGTTTTCCTCCAAGCCAGTGACCGTTTTCTCCACAAAGGGTGGTAGTATTTCCCACCAACTCAAAACCTGGCTTGCAGGTGTAGAGAGCAGTGCTGAGATAGGCGAGACCTTGCACATCAATAATGCCATTGAGGATCTCCTCAGGTTGGGGGCATTCCACTGGAACACATTCTGGCAGTGGAGAGCTCCAGGTACCGTCAGCTTGGCAGAAGGTGGAAGGATTTCCCCTTAGGAAAAACCCATCCACACAAGAATACTTGACACTACTTCCAAAACGAAGAGCAGAAGAAGGTGCAGGGACACCAAAGGAAATTAAGGGAGGTGGGAGGCAAAGAACCATCTTACAAACAGGAAAAGAATCATTCCATTGCTGGGAGGGCAGGCATTTCAGTACAGAGGGGCCCTGTAGGGCATGCCCTTCCTTGCAGGAAAACATTACCACTCCTACCTCCATTGTCAGCTCCTTCAATACCAGCTGGTTCTCCAAGAGGGGTGGCTCTGGGCACTTGGCTGGCACACACTTTTGGTTTGGCTTCTTATTCCATTTGCCAGATTTTTGGCATGTCCAAGAATTATCACCAATGAGCTCATAACCCTCATTACAGAAAAACTGAACCTTGGACCCTACTTCAAAATTTTCTCCTTTCATGTAGCCATTCTGGAATGGGGGAGGTTTCCCACAGTTGAGGGGGATGCAGGACAGAGGGGATTCACTGTGCCAGTGGCGATTGGCTTGGCAGACAAACACAGGGCTTCCAACCGACTTATATCCTGGATTGCACCGATATCTCACTTCACTCTCAAAGATCCGGCCAGTGGTATGCTGCATTACAGGGAAGAAACAGTTAAGTACAATTTGTACCACAGCTAATATAATTAACAAAATACACTGAATAGGAAAAAAAAAGAGCTATACTAAAATGCCTACATTAAAATGAACTCATTAAGCATAAGCAACTGAAGATTTATGTTTTTTTTCCTCTAATACATCCACTGTATTTTTTAACAGGTGAAAAGGAGATTAAATTAGGTCATCCCTGCAGCAGAAATGTTTATTGCAGTGTGGATCCCATAAGAAGTGGAAGATCAATTCTCTAAGTCGATTGATGAATCAATAATAAAAATTATAAATTACTTGGTAAGTTTAAAAAGTCTTTCTGATCAAGACTGCGGCAATGTTGTAGTTGCTGTGATTTGTTTTAATCACAGAAAAGGAAACACACACACAAACCTAACCTATAATTCTATGTTAATGTTGCTTGATCATAAAAAATAAAGCAAATGAAACATTTTTCATAGTGTCCTAAGACTACTGTCAAATTTTAGGTTCATTTTTAACATACTTAAAAAAAAAAAACCTACTATTATAACATGAGGGTGGAAGATAAGAGGCAATATTTCACCTTTTGAGCAAAAACTTAATATTCATGCTCTCAACATTCATGTAAGTAAGTGTCCAATATAATAATGGGTCATTTTTGTGCAGTTCAAGAAAAGAATTAGTGTTGAAAACTGTGAAAAGATGCCTAAGATCCTTCAGTTGTAATGGTGTTGGCTAGCTCCCATGCTATAGTGCACTTCTTGGATTTTGGACATAATTATTTCTTTTGTTTACTTATTTATTGCTTGGGTACCCCACGTGCATGTAAAAACCATGCCACCACGGACCTAATCTGCATCGTTAAATACTAGATCTCTAATGCTTAACTGGCACTTAGGAAACCCAGACATAGTTGTTAAGTGAACAAATGAAGGCTCCTTAGCTACAATATCCACCCTCTTCCAACAGAAAGCTAATACATACAAGTCCAAGTCTCAAATAAAGGCCTTTACTGTCCCTTTGCTGTTGTTTGTGAATATAAAGGAGAAACACACACACACACACACACACATCCATTTTAAAATGGATGTATATTTTATAGAAATCAGTCTAAATGTAATCCAGAGAAATCTATTATCATTTCTAAGTTTGTGTGTGTGTGTGTGTGTGTGTGTGTTTTAAAGGAATGATGAGAATATCATCTGTTTAAAATGGTCCTTAATTTGGGGGAGCAGATTTTCATGAGGGACTTAATAAGAAAATGCATGTTAGTGTGAAAGCAGGAACTGTGTGGGTCTGACTTAACCCTTTGTACATCATGGTGAAATTACTTGCAGGTTGACTAAAAGAAGACTGTAAAAAACCACATCATAGTGAATTAATGGTTTACCCTATCTTTCTCTCAAACTGAGAAATGATAACAGATTTCTCTGGATTACATTTAGACTTTGATTTCTATAAAATGTACATCCATTTAAAATATCTTCTTCTATAAAGCAAAACAGCATTTTGATCTTTTTTAAAGATTTATTTATTTACTTATACAAGCACTGGGTACAGTCAGAAGCGCAGGAGGGTGAGAGAATTCACCAGAGCCAGAGCAGAGAGCAGAACAGGCAGACTGATGAAATACACTGCTGAGGGGAGCAGCGGGCAGCAGGAGAGGTCTGCGGGCCATATGGGACCCTAGCCAGCAGCCGGGGATGGAACCGGCGTTGCAGAGGCTGCGGGGCAGCTTCACAGCCAAGCACTCAACCGCTGAGCCACTGGGGAGGCCCAAGCAAAATAGTATTTTATTAAAATAGTTTTATTCTAATTTCATAGTTAGGGTTAAAATGTTGCTACAAATTGCTTCCAATGTCTATATGCTGAAAGGAAGTTGAATTTTTTTTTAAAGATTTATTTCTTTATACAAGAACTGGGGTACAGGCCAGATGTGTGGGAGGGTGAGAGAATTCACCAGAGACAGAGTGGGGAGCAGAACAGGCAGACTGAAGAAATACACTGCCGAGGGGAGCAGTGGGTGAGACAGAAGTCTGCCTCGCCATGTGGGCATCTCTGCAGCTGGCAGGGATTGAACCAGCACTGCAGAGGCTGCTGACAGCTTCACAGCGCGGTGCTCAATCACCTGTGCCACCAGGGAGGCCCAAGGAAGTTGAATATTAAAAATTCTCAATGTCTATCAAAATGTCTCCAATATTGACTACCAATTGATTTAGCTACTTGTGTGTCTCAGCAATTAACCTGTTCATTGCTCCTGCTTCCGAATCTCCAGGTAGCCTCAGTAAGCTGGTCCTAGAAATGATGAAAGCCACAGACTGCTTGCTAATCAATATCTTACCTCCAAGAAGCCATTCTCAATCTTAGGCGGGTCATTGCACGACACAGGGTGGCATGTGGGAATGGGGCTACTCCACTGTCCTGTGGCTTCACAGGTGCTCTTCTTTTCCCCTTTGATATAGAATCCCTTGTTGCAGCTATAAGCCACCATGGCCCCAAAACTGTAGTTTGAGCCACTTGCATAGCCATTCAGGATGCTCGGTGGCTCTCCACACCGCACAGGGATGCACTGGATGGACATGGGGGAAGGGTTCCACTGTCCACCTCTCATGCATTCAATCTTCGCCGAGGTGTTCAGTACAAAACCTTCCATGCATTTGAAGGTCACAACTGAGCCTGCGGCAAATTTTGCTTTGCTCACAGATTCCAAAATGCTGTAGGATACAGATGGGGGTTTTTCACAGAAATGAGCTATACAACGGGGCATAGCTTGACCTTCTGGAGGAACCCACTTGCCCTGGGCATTGCAGAGGAGTTGGGAATTGTCTGCCAGACTGTAACCATCTGAGCAGTAGTAGAATGCAATGTCTCCAAATAACCGATGGGCAGTCTCTGGGGAGGCGTGTTCCACATTGGGGGGCTCATCACAGGACACAGCAAGACACTGCTGGTTACTCGCACTCCACTTGCCACTGGCCAGGCATTCAATGGTATCAGGTCCAGCCAGCGTATAGCTGTGAGATTGGGAGAAAGGAACAATCACTAGGTGTAATATTTGAGAAAGGTATCTGCATCTTCTTAGGATGTTTAGTTTTCAAAACCTTTCCAACCATGATTTTAGTTCTATTCTTCATTCTATAAAATAGTAGTTACAGTTTGAAACTGAGCTTATTACTTGAGATATGGAAATATAACTTGATATTAATATCAATTAAAGCTTGTTCAGAAAGGGAAGTGGATTTAAGATTTCTGCTTTAATTTTGAGGAAATCTAAAAACTGTTAAACATTTCTTTCAAAATAAAATAATCAGCTATGATCCTGTATGAGTCTAATCAAAATAGGAACCTACCTGTGTTTAAATGGTTTTAGTTGGTTGATTTTATCACTAGTCCTTGAAACAAGCTATTTATGTTGATACCACATAGGTAGCCTACATATAACTCACAGTTACACACTTAGATTCAATGGACTTTAAAACAGCAGTTGGAGGGCTTCCCCTTCCCCGGTGGCTCAGCAGTTGAGCGCTGGGTTGCGAAGCTGCCTGCGCTGGTTCTATCCCCGGCTGCTCCCCGGCCACCGGAGGAGGGTCCCACATGGCGAGCAGACCTCTCCTGCCGCCTGCTGCTCCCCTCAGCAGTGTGCTTCGGTCCTTCTGCTTGCTCTGCTCCCCGCTCTGGCTCTGGTGAATTCTCTCACCCTCCCGCGCTTCTGACTGTACCCGGTGCTTGTATAAATAAATAAATAAATAAAAATAAATCTTTAAAAAAAAAAACAGGAATTGGAATGTTAATTTCCAATATTTTCTAAATTCTGAACAATGCGGTTAGTGTTTCAAAGTTGTGTTCTGCAGTAGCTCTGCTAGTCTACTAATATGAATGCATTTATACATTTTGCTGAATAACTCTGTCTTTCTTCAAGGTGTTAGCTCATCTATGATGATAGATTGATGACTCGCAAAAATCTTAAATTATTTCCAAGTGCTCTCTCATGGAATAGAACAAAATACTAGGATTTGCAGTATTAGAATAATTACTTTTGAGTCATTCATGTTTTCATTCTCATTTTTACTGAAGGGAAAGAGGATGGCATTTTAAAGGAATATCTAACATTTGATCAATCCATCATTTTGATGCTAATTAAAGGTAAAGGGAATAAAATAACTTGGCACCTAATTTATTCAGTTTAGACATATTAATTACTTCATTTTACAGATGACTGAAAGGTGGTTTACATGGGCTCAGAATGATGGTTTAGACCTGGCAGCAAGCACCAGAATTGGAAACCAAATTTGGTTTTTTGGATTCTGCCACAGCTTTTTAAATGAGGTAGGACAGATCACAGTTTGTGGGTGTCCTGTTTCCACAGGCTCTGCATTGCAGGCATTAGTACACATTATATGACCCACCCACCCTCCAGCAAAGATTAAGTCATTTGCTAGCGAACATTTCTCCCGAACTCCCTTTTAGAAGCAGAATCTGTGATTACAGTGCAATTGACATTCCTTTACTCTGTAGGCAAGATTTTTGAATCTATTGGGAACAGAGAGAACAACAACAACAAAAAAATGAGGGCATCAGCAGAGATGCAGCCACTTCAGTAGGGCCATATCTCAGGCATTGGTCAGAAGTGGTCTCAAAACAAAGGCTCAGAGCCGTCCCCAACAGCTAAGGGCAATCTCTAGACAGGTCTGCTGCAGCTCACTGTTTTGAATAAACTCAGTTCTTTGTATAAGAATCTGAACCTAGCACATTATTAGATGACTCCTGTCTTAGAGGATCCAGAACTATATAAAAAGACAAGGAACTAAAAACATAACATTATTGTTAAAAACCCACTACTCCAGGTTCGAGTGCTCAGTTTTGACTGTTCCTGTGTAGAAGTGTTCTGGGTGCAAGTCCCACATGTAAGACCCCTGATGTTTTACAGCACAATTTAGCTCCTTTGCACACTTTGAACCAGACATTGTTATTTTCATGAGCCCCTTGAGAACCTTGATATTTCATTGGCTATAGTTCATAGACAACACCTGAGTGACGCCTGAGTTACTGGAATCCATTGTGACATCTACAAAATTCCTCTTTTATTGCATGGAGTCTGCTGCTTTGGGGCAAAAGCATTTGCCTCCAGAACCTTTCTTATTCCTCAAATCCTCTTAAGGACACGAGAACTGTGATTTGGAATTTGGCAGCACTTTTTGTAATTTGGCCTCTGACTCTGCATCATCTGGAAAATCTGCACCAATTACTTATCCCTAATGGAAAATCATAGCAAAGCTCCCCTGTAAAGTTACGAATATGACCATTAAATATATATAAAAATTTGAATAATGGGTCTCCCCGGTGGCGCAGCGGTTGAGCGCTGGGCTGCGAAGCTGCCTGCAGCCTCTGCAGCGCCGGTTCGATCCCCAGCCGCCAGCGAGTGTCCCACATGGCATGCAGATCTCTCCTGCCGCGCCCGCTGCTCCCCTCAGCAGCGTATTTATCAATCTGCCTGTTCTGCTCCCCGTTCTGGCTCTGGTGAATTCTCTCACCCTCCTGCGCTTCTGACTGTACCCAGTGCTTGTATAAATAAATAAATCTTAAAAAAAATTTTGGATAACAATTTAAAGAATGCATTTTTGATACTATTCACAATTTCTTAGAACCCACATTCTCCCTTTTCTCTGACCTAAGAGACTTTTATTTATGACTTTCTATGAACATACTGTTTCTTATTAAATAATTCTTATTTTTATACAGATTTATTTATTTATACATATAAGAACTGGGGTGTAGGACAGAGGTGGGGGGGTGAGAGGATTAACCAGATACAGAGTGTGGAGCAGAACAGGTAGATCCACTGAAATACACTGCTGAAGGGAGCAGTGGGCGAGACTGAGGAGAGGTCTGCTGCACCATATATGTTAGCTCCCTGGTCAGGGATCGAACTCATTCCACAGTGGCTGTTGATAGCTTGATAGCACTGTATCTTTAACCCCTGCAGCACCAGGGAGGCCCTTTATTAAATAATTGTTAAGGGCTATACTATGTATGAGAGTCACTCTATTACACAGTGCAATGCACAATTCACTTGTTTCCATGTCTGCATCGATCCTTCCCCTCACCCCCCACCACCTGGCCCTTTGTAGGTCCCTTCATTCCTACAGTGGTAAGAAAAAAGATGGCTTCTAACTGTAGAATGGGAAGGGGAGGAAAAACCTCACAGATGAAATGGCTTTTGAGGGGAGTCATGAGGAAAGTAGAAAAGGAATCATTTTGGGGAGAAAAGTAGCATGAGCCAAGAAATGGGAGTGTGACACACCCGGGGCCTCTGGAAACTTACAGTTATGAATGGCATGTGGTCCCCTGAAAAGGAAGCAGTGACATCACCCCAGATGGTGATGGTTGATGGGTGAAGATGTGGCAGGCACAGATGAACTGGAAATGGGTTCTGACAGCTCCTTTGACAGAGATATTAGCAGACAAATGTCACCAGAGCAGAAAATAGTTTATTAACTGGATGACCTAAAGAGTATTGATTAATAAACACAAGCTGGTTGGTGTTTTCCTATTTCTTGCAGTGTTGCTGCTTGAAAATATCCAAAAGTTTGTAAGCAACACGCAAGTGTAGGGTGGGGACTTGGGTCTTTTATAGGTCAGGCCGATGTTTCTGATACTATAAGGTAATATTTAATAATGATAAAATGGGAGTTTCTGCATGTAGGTGATAAAATTTGCACAAATGGAAAATTGCACAACAGCCAGTGTGAAAACATTTGGAATTCTGCTGAATGAGTCAGTTAATGACTCATTCAAAGGGTTAATGATCTTCTAGAAACTCCTTTCTCTAGAAATAGAAAGGAAATAAATGCTTATCTTTTGATGCCATGCACACCTGAGTTTGGTGTCTTTCCTCTGCTGTAGTTTGCTCTAGTTCATGTGCCAGTGTGCATTCTGTTCTAAGTCTTACATGTCACAAAGCCCTCAGACCTGTTGGAAGAGTCTCAGCAAAGAGTCTCTCTCAGAGCGAGCAGACTTAGAATTATGCCCATTTGTGAAAAAGAACAGACCAGAGGCTGAGTTGGCTGAAGTGTCTTTCTCCCTACACCTTCACTTCCAAAGTTTTAAGCAAGCCATCTTAGGAGGAGTAGAGGATCATTTTTCAATAATGGAATTGTGTGAAGAGGCTCAGATCCCAAACTGAAGCCTCCCTTGTAAGCTCTAATGACAGATTTGCAGGAGAGCCTCGGGACTAAGTGATCAATACTTGAATGGCTGGTATTTCAGAGAAGCAACACACTGAATAACTCAAGAGCTGGAACTACAGCCAGTGCCTTAGATTAGACCACAGCCAAGCTGGGAATAGAGGTTTACGGAAAAGAAATATCTTCTAAAATACAGTCAGTCGTTTAAGATGCTAAAGAAGAATGTATTTTCTGAATGATAAAGAGGAATTAATTGTTACTTAGAGTATAGATATAATTATAACTGGGTTCTGATCAAATTGCTGCACCACTTCAATACATTAGTCTGAATGTGTATTAAGATTTCTGGGGGACATATTTCACCTGGTTATTTGTTTAAAATAACATTTAGAAAATGACAAAACTTTGTATAGATGATATACAGACTTACAGAAAGAAAGTGAAGAAGAGGGAATATTTGAAGTGAAAATGGATGAAAATATTCTAAAACTGGTGAAAAAATGAATTCTCAGATGTTAGCAGTACAGTGAGTCCTCAGCAAGGCTGACAATAAATATGCCATTAGTTATATCACAGGGAAACATCAAAACAATACAGACAAATCTAAAAAAAAAAAGAACACAAGGAGAAAGACATCACTTATAGAAACTCAATTAGAATTTCTCAGATTCAATACTACTAACATCTTTGGACCAGGAAATTTTTTTGCTGGGGAGCAGGAATGTTCTATACATTGTAGAATATTTAGCACTATCCCTGGACTATATCTACTAGATTTATTGGTACCTTCCCACCAATTAAAATACCAAGATTGTTTCTGGACATTTCTCAGTGTCCCTGGAGGGCCATGCTGATCCTGGTTGAGAACCACTAAATTAGAATAATGATGGAATTCTAAATAGCAACATTAGAAGTCACAAGGCAAGGCAATAGTACTTTAATAATGTGATTTTCATTACTCTGTTGCTTTTTAAAAGTAAATCTTTTTTTGATAAAATAAATAGAGTTATCATTAGGCAGACACAGAACTCTTGTTATGATAGAATAATTTTTGAATAACAGAAACAAATGCTTTATGAAGAAAAAAGTCTCTCTATGTGTGTGTAGATAGATAGAGTGATCTTTAATGTTAAAACAAAGAAGAATTTGGGGGAAGAGTATAGTAAAATGTTATTAACATCTATCTTTGGGTAATATTTTAAACCTAGCCTTTTATTTTCTTGAGTTATGTGGTGGTGGTACATTACCTTTTTAATCAGAAAAAACCCAGAAGTTGTCAATATCTAGTTATAACTTGGAACATTTATGTTTAATAAGGCTTCTAATAAAGATTGAAATGAATAGTCTTAAATAGTCCATGCAGTTCATTAGGAAGCATTTTTTAAAAGTTAACTCACAGCGGGGAGAAGGGACCCTCCAAGCTAACTCCTGCACTATTTCAAAATTGAAGACTACCTTTTCACTGTAGGTGTTAAGATATGGGATTCCTAGCAGTGAGATTTATGCAAGTGTTTGACTCTTAAGTTTTATACAGGGAAATATCGTGCCACCTGCTGGCAGTTCTGTATCTGTGGGCTAATCTTCCATACAGGCAAAATGAACTTCAACTTTCAAATAGCACAGCAATTGTGTTCTCTCCTCTGTGCTCTAATCATCATACTAAGGGCAAAGTTTGTTGAACTTTTTGAGATTTTTCCAGGCTGGTCCATATATTATATCATTCCCCTGCTCACACAAGTATGAACCTTTAAGGAACTCATTTTATGTAGGAGGACAATGGAAGCCCAGAGAGGTTACACCATTTTCCTGAAGTCACACAGTAAATGAAGGACAGAGCTGAGACACAAATTCAGAAAATGGTCACCCTCTCTGCTGCTACCAATTGTGTGAAAAGTGACTGGGTTGAACACGGAGTTGAAAGCACTATTAATAGTGAAAATACTTTCTGAGGAAGCATGGGGAAAAAATAAGCAATAAATGCAAGTCAGATGACCTGAGATCGAGTTATTCCTCAATTCTTCATTGCCTGCTTGACACCCTCAGAAGATTACCATTCCCAAACCAGCTTCCCTTTTCTCTGCACTTCACAGGGGTTTCTGTGAGAATTATAGGAGATGATGCGTACAAAAGAGCTTTGTAACTTCTTCCTGGTTTTTCTAAATTCTCAAATTTTAACTTTGAATTAAATGAAATAATCAAAGATTAAATGAAGAATCAAAAATGCAATGACCTGAACCTTGTTATGTTTTTACTTGCAGACAGGACTCTTTCCTTGTTAACTTAAATTCTTGCCTTCTGTTTTGTGCAAGATAAATCCACAAATGCCTATTTAAATGTGCTTTTTGCATCTTCCGTTAGAGTATAAAGGTATTTCCACTGCATTGCCAAATGTCTATTGTTCAGCACCTAATCTGATAAATTATTCTAATTCCAGGAAAACATTGTTTCCACAGGAGAATAGGCTGCCTTTTGGCTGTCAGAAAACAAGAGCATAAAAGCTTCCTTTGGCTTTGGTTGCCAGGAAATCGAAGACACTCTTCAGTGGAGTCTGTGTCTGCAGTCAGGGAGCTCTGCCCCCCGGAGGATCCCACCTTTCCTTTCCCTTCCAGGCTACTCACCCTTCTTTGCAAGTGTAAGTGACAGTGTTCCCAAAAGTGAAGTTATTCCCAGCGATGACAGCGTCTTTGATGGCCGGTGGCTCCCCGCAGAACACAAGATGACAGGTAGGTGGCGCTCTGTCCCAGCTGCCTGCCGCTGTGCATTCCATGACAGGAGGGCCCTGTAAGCTGCAGGGAAGAAAGAAGCCACTAGTTCTGTTGGCTATTTACTTAAAATAGGTGTACTCAGAAGAGAACAGGGGGCGCTTGAGAACTTTCAATGCATACACTTTTTTTCACATTTTATTACTCTATATAAAAACAAGGGAAAACTAAGCAGGCTGTAGGTCATTTAGTGCAATGGTTAGGCTACAAAAACTAAAGTAGGCTACAAAAACAGTGCAAAGTAAATCATCTTAATGTGTGCACTGATGGTATTGTAAGGTGAACAGCAGAATAATAGGCAGGTGAGAATCCAACAATAAGGGGACAGATTCAGGAAGTCAAGGTAACTGAGATCAAAGGGCACTGGGGATCTGAACTGTGTTGCTCCCGGTTTTCTGGCTGTTGATTTCACAAATCCCGGATTCCTTGCTAAGGTTCATCTACCTTCACTTGCCAACTGATTCTGAATGTCCTTTTATTCCATTTTCTGTTCACTTTAGATCCTGCTGATCAAGTTTCTGATGACAGCTTGACTCTTTTTAAACACACACACTTGCACACACATCCAAAATTAACCTCTCATAGTACTAAGGATGCAGGCCCTTACCTTGCAACACTTTTTACAACATCCCAACGCGCAATGTTGAGTATAAGCTGGACAAGTTGTTAACCAAAAAAAAAACCCCACAAATCCATCACAAAAGCACTTTATTAGGTATTGGGTTGTGCTTCACAAACACTTTCAGCTTTCATGTCAAATGTCTGAAAGTGGGTTAGAGCGTGCAGAATATTTCCCTGGTCACTTACTATTAGCTGAACCTCAGGAAGCATACAAATTGAGAATATTTTTTACATCGAAAAACTTGTATTGAAAATCAGCCAGTCACATATAAAAGAAACCTATTGAGTAAGTAACGAGTAACAGGGCATTGCAGGAAGCTTGGCTAGTGGAGAGGGGAGTTTACCTGTATCCACTCTCACATGAGTATGATGCAGTAGAAAGGTAGGTTAGCCCACTCAAAATATATTTCCCGTGATTTATGTTTTTGGGGCTTGAACACTTGACCAGTTCACATATGGGAGGAGAATGACTCCAAGAACCACTCGCAAGACAGGACGATTCTTTCTCACCATCCAGAGTATAGCCTTTATTACACCTAAAGCAGGTAGAGGAAAATTACAGACAATAATTTGCTTAATGTTACACTATTTTATCTGTGTCAAAACTGCCAAAAAGATAGAAAATCAAGTCCTATTGGAAGAATTCTTTTCTCCTATTGACATAATGCTTTGGAATTATTTTTTTTCCTCAAGTTTGAATTCTGTATGTCTTCACCTTTGCTGGGTGATAAACAGAAGCAGTGAGGAGCTGGTTTGTGTCATGGGTAGCTGCAAAAAGAAACTTCTTGGTGTAGAGTGGTGTGACCTGAGATGTTAGGTTTGGAGTCAAAGCTCCAGGATATTCATAAGCTTGTGGGACCTCATTCTCAGGGCTCCTCAAGGAGGCCCCACAGGCAATAACAGGTTAATGCTCATGGGACTTAAGGATCTAGAAATGACTACCATTTTCATACTACACATAATTCAATTACCTGCATTTTAATAAAAAAGATCCTCTGGGATTCTTTTCCCTCTTTCTCTTCCAGTGTTCTATCATTGCCAGCATGTTCTCAGCAAATTCTAAACTGCAGTTTCAGGCCTTAGACACTTACCGATATATCACTTTACTGCCATAGGTAAATGCTGCCCCATCGATGTCACCATTTTCTGGAGTAGCTGGTGCACCACAGGAAATAGCTTAAAGGAAGAAAAACAAAGAGCATTGATTTTTTTAGCTTGTGTGTGCAAAAATCTCCCAAAGCTCAGGTGGGCAGTTCCAGGTTTCTTGTCATGTTTAAATAAAAGCCCACTGGTTGGGTTTTAAATACAAAGGATATTGACACTACGTAACACTTGACATTTCTCTACCTTAAGGTTCTAGAGTTGCCAGACACCACAAACATGGGGCACTTACTAAACATACCTTCACAATAAGGCATCATCTGACTCCATTCTCCAGACTCTAAACATGTGATTTTGCTCACTCCCATCAGCTGGTATCCTTCCTCACACGAAAAGGTGACTTCAGCACCCACTGTGTAAATCTCACCGGAAGAGTGACCATTTTCTGGATTTTCTGGAGCCTTACACTTGATAGGTTCTTGAAAGAAAAAAAACAGTCTTTGTGGGACAATAAGTGGCTTCACACAACTATGGAAATTCTCACAGCAAAAGAGTTTCACTACTGTTCACAGTGTCAGTTAAATCCTGAGAAAAGCCTTTGAAGGGAGATGCTTGAAGCCCAGGGAGACACTGGCCATCATACAAGATCTATTTTACAGGCATTTAAGCAATAATGTTTTGAAACAGCAATACATATATAAAGTAAAGGGCTGTGATTTGAGACAGAGAAAAATCCCAAGAGTTATACATAATAAATAGATCATGTTTCCACTAAAACACACACACACACACACACAACTATACTAACACCAACAACAACATGTCAGTGAGTTAGACAATAAAAATGAGAAACAAGCAAGGAGAAGGCAGGAAATCAGCTGTGGTTAAACATAGAACATTGGCTGTTCATGCCTACATCATTCTACTCCCAAGCTGAAAATTTGTATACTCTTCAAAACCAAATCACAAAGCTTGCCTAGGGAAAAATCTGATGAAGATACATTGCTTCTCTTTAAAGGATGAGTAAAAATAGACAAAATTAAAAATAAAGGATCTTTGCAAAAATATGCCTGGCCAAAGAGAGGAGGACATAATCCTAAAGTCTCAGAAGAAGTATTTATCTTTTCCATATGCCTTTTGGAGTTGAAGGTATTGTCTTATTTTTAAAAACAGACATTTAAAATAGACACATAAATAGAATATATTGAAATGGGATTTCCCAGTTATACATAGATGAGTTACCTGCACAGCTTTTACCATCTCCTGTATAGGGTGGAAGACATGAGCAAATGTAGGATCCGTTTGTATTCAGGCAGGACGCATGCTCGCTACAATCCGACCCAACAGCACATTCATCAACATCTAAGATGAAGAAGCTTACAATAGTAACCGTGATTCCCTTCTCTCATGCAACCCCTTGTTTTCACTTTGAAATCCTTACCTATCATCTTGTCACATGTTTTTATCAAATTTAAATATAATACTTATAATCACACTCAAATAGACAATCAAGGCTATTCTTTCCCCAGTTTATAGGTGGACAACAAACAGTGATAAAGACACTCTTCCTGTTGAGCCTGGCGGAGATTTGAAATATTGTTTGTTCCTCTGTGGATAACTACTTCCTCACCAAGCCCAGAGTGTTCTAGAATGAGGTGTGGTTAACAAAGGGATGCCACATGTGAACTCCTAAAACTTGGGATATCTCCTGTGAAGCTAGAATAAACCCACAGAGCAACTACCAAGGTTTTGCTCACCAAGGCATGAAGGTGCAATGCCATTCCAGCTGCCATTATCTGTGCAGAACATCCTGGAATCCCCCAACAAGTAGTAGCCAGTGCTGCACTGGTAGGTCACCGTGCTGCCAGCGTGGAAGTCCTCGGCAGAATAAAAGCCATTCTCCAATGGGGGAGGCACTCCACAGCTAATACCTGTGATATCACCAGGAAGAGCAAAATGACATGAGGAGCAAAACACTCCAAGAACAATTCATTGTAAGCTATTAGTTCAGTTAAGCATAACTTTAAAAAAAAAAAACCCAAGTTGTGGAGAGCCAACCCACCAGACACTAAACAACTACCAACTAGTCAATATCCACTAGGTGCTGAGGTGATAGTACTGAGCCAAACAGACAAAATCTCCCCTTTGTGGAACGTACTATCTAGTGGAAACAGAGAAACAAGAAACAGATATAATTTGTCAGGTTGGGAACAGACTGTACCCAGAAATGTCCCTGATTACCCAACCTAACACAGCATTCTGGCTTCCCAACCAGCCCTCTCACTTTGTTTTTTGTTTTTTTTTTCTTTTGAAAGATTTATTTATTTATTTATACAAGCACTGGGTACAGTCAGAAGCGCGGGAGGGTGAGAGAATTCACCAGAGCCAGAGCGGGGAGCAGAGCAGGCAGACAGACTGAAGAACACTGCTGAGGGGAGCAGCGGGCGGCAGGAGAGGTCTGCACCTGCACGCCATGTGGGACCCTCGCCCGGCAGCCCAGCCGGGGATCAAATCGACGCTGCAGAGGCTGCGTGCAGGCAGCTTCGCAGCCCAGCGCTCAACCACTGCACCACCAGGGGAGGCTCAGCCCTCTCACTTTGTAATTCCTTACCCTACTTAATTTTTCTTCATAGTTTTTCCAGCCTTCACTACTCTTTTTTATTATACATAAGTTATATTTCATTGTTATAGTCAGCCTCTCCGACTACAATGTAAACACCATCAAGAGAGACTTTTTCCCTAACAGCTGTATGTTCAGAATTTAAAAATTGTTGAATAAATGAATGAATGGAGGTTCCCAACTTAAGAGATCTCTTCCTGTTTTCCCACCAGCAATGACACACCCCCCTTTGGACTCCAGCCCCCAGGGTCTGTTTTCATTCACACAGTCCCTTGTGCCACGTGGGGTGCATTCCCAGGTGGTGATCACTTGGATCTTCAAGCCCCACCTCCCTTACTGGGCTTAGCGCAATTCATTACCCAAAGGAGGTATTCCAAGAATAGTTGCTATGGTTGCTACTGTGCAGTGTCTAGCTTTTATCTAGCATTCCTGAAAAGTGTTCTTTTCAGGAGCCACCAAAATGCCCTCAGCAAAGGCAGCTCACGTTCACAGTGGGGAAGGGGCTGCGTCCACTGTCCTTGGTTCAGACAGTGCTGCACGGGGCTGCCGACCAGCTGGAAGCCTGGGTCACAAAACAGACTGATTTTGGCGCCTGGTTTTAAGTCTGCTGATGCAGTTCGCAGGTGAGGCACGGATCCTTCCAGACGTGGACAATCTGAGGGCAAAGGACACAGTACACAGCTCATCAGCACCGTAGTAGCAACATCACTAGGTCAAGAGTTTCAATCTGGTGGTTGTACTAACATTTGAGTCACTCTTTTGACACCAAAGCAAGAGAATGAGCACCCGAGTCACTAGCAAGCAAAATTACCTAGAAAAATCTATTGGAGTCAACCAACAACCTTCCCTCTTTCAGCAACAGGAAAAGAGAATATTTTAAGAATTTTCATTAAATGTCCTTGAATTCTAGGACATCTTCAGGACCTTATTTAATTATATTTCACTTTAGGCTACAGTTTTGCACATTCAGGGTTTGACTATTCAGTGTGTGGTTTGTAAAGTACAGTGTTTTCCCCCTTGTCCTAGAATGGTGAGCAGGAAGTACAGAGATGAGATTATCCCACTTCAAACAGGAAGCCAGGTTTTGTGACCATTTTAAAAATTAACAAGATCTCTCCTCTTATCCTATTTTCCTAATCTTATTTTACCTTTGTCCAAGTTTCCTCCGCAGGTAGTTTGTACTCTGTGATACAGAATGCATTTAAGTCTTAAAAAAATAGAAAGTTTAGATGACAGTAGGGTAACTGAATTACTAGTTTAACAGTAGATTGACTGGCACACACTATTGGAACAAGAGAAAATTCAGAGTCATGTCCTTCTGCTAGAAAACTCGACTAGTCAAGAGATGGCAGAGTCTATAGAAGAGAGAAATTCTAACCCGAACAGAATATGCTCTTGGAATCGATCTTCACTTTCCCCACAATTCCTGGCAGGAAGTCAGGCCAGGCTAACACATTTCCTTTCATGAGCTCCTCTGGGCATGAGCTAGCCAGCAATTTCACCTGGAAGTTGAAAAACACATATTTAGATAAACCCCATTTGTGTCCGTAGCACAGAGTTATTATATCTTAGTTTAGTTCTATTGAAAACATTTGCCAAATGTTTAGGGGGAAAGGAGGTGGAGGTAATTAGGGTTTTGTATGATATGGTTTTATGGGTAATAGAAAAGTTCCTTTCTCTCTCTCTTTTTCCTCCATCACCTTGCTCCCGCCGCCCCCACCATCATTTCATCCCTAAATTCATTGCTGTCTGAATTACTGAAAATCTTATGTATAGAATTTCTTGTCTAAAGCCTTGAAGTTTGTTATGGCGTCATAGAGGTTTCCCCTTTCCATTCTCCCGTATTCTGTTTCTGAACTAGAAGGAAACTGAGGCTTAGACATTTTCCATCACTATAACAATCAGGGTAAACATTTATCCAGCCCTTCCTTTGTGCCAGGCAATACCACTATACATGTAGGATTTTGCTCAATCTAATCAAAACTGCACTCTGTGGTTCAATTCATTTATCTTTCATAATAAAACTGAATCCAAGAGAGTTGGAGAATATGTTTAAAATCATCACCACTGGTTTGAGGGAGAACTGGGATTTGAACCCAGGATAGAGCAGATTAGCTTTAACCACTATCTTATCTGTTATTCTCTATGTATGATCTTGCGTCAATCCTGAATTTGTGCATTGATCTCAAAGGGAGTTGAAGTACAATTCTCTGTGATCCTTTCCAGCTCTTAAATGATGAGATTTTATAAAATTATCATTTCTGATAAAATTTAAATCCCTCATGAAGAAACCAAAAAGAGATTCATTGAAAGTTACTGTAGATAACTTCAGCCTGCTTAGTCTATGACCACAGCATCAAATGATATTGGTGGTAAGTTCTGAAAACCCGGAGTTACAATAGGATCGTTAGGCTGTTCACATTTTCACTAGGTTTGTACCTTTGTATCTCATTACTGTCATACACTGAAAATGCAATTGACCTGCTGTGGAGACAGGACATAGTCCCAGAGGTTGAGCTGGCTTATGGAGCCCACAAAAGACTCAGCTGGGTTGAATCCCTCTCCTTTTTTGTCTTGCTCTTGCCCAAGAACTAATGCACCACCACCTAAAGAGACAAAGAAACAAGGAAGAGAACTAGCTTAATGAAAGCACAACCATTGTGAAAGCATCAAGGACACTGTTTTTAAGTTAAATTAGCCACATTTACCACACTTTATTAATAAGGACAAATTCCATGTCTTATAAAGCAACTTAAAAAAGAAGGAGATTTAGAATATTATATTGGATTTATAAATATTTAACTATGAAACTATATGCATATAACATGTCAACAAAACAGGTAAGTCCTATTTTGTCTTCTTTCTTCTAGGCATTACCCTGCATGACAGATTAGCATAACTGTTTTTCTTTCCGTATTCTTAAGCCTACAATGCTCAAATTTCTATCACCAATTCTAAGGAAACTTCTGAAATTGCATGGGACCACCCAGTTGCCAAATCCAATAGAAACTTTTCAATAGTCCCCTCTGGTGACTTCTCCTTGTCATCTCTTTCTATTGACTGTTTCATTCTATGAAACTGTCCTTCTAGGGATGCTGGGTTTGTATTTGCCTCTCTAGTGCCATCTTCCACCCATCTCTACTCTGATTTGTGCCTTCAATAGTTGACAGCTCTGGACTGACATGATTTCCTTGTCCTTCTGACTTCTGTTTGTGTCTGGCCAATGGAAAGACCATTGAGGTAAGAAAGTGGGATGAGAGGAAGCTAACTTCCTTTCTCCCAGGCAACAGATTGGAGGTGGCTGCTTTCCTCTATGCATTGCCTGGCTCTATGCAATGAATCACTGGGTAATTTCTCATCCTCACCATGGTTTCCTTAAATTCTAGCAACACTTCCACTCCTTGTCACGTCAGGTTCACCTCCCATGACTCTCAATTATTGCGAGCCATGGGGTGTTTTATGATCATATTTTGGTGGTTTTAACTCCACCCATACCTTTTTAAATAGTCTGTTCCATATAAGCTCTCCAATTACCCTCACCTGTTTCCTCTCAGGAGCCTGACTAAATCCACTTGGATCTCATGAAAGCATCTTTGGATGCTTGGACCTCTGCTCATTTTCAGTCTTCCTTCTCTACCTGCCTCATAGGTATCGATACATCCATGATCCCACCCCAGCCTCTTGTCTTCTTTCTTCAACAACTCTCCCTGTGATGTCATTCATGTACCAGCCTATGCCTGCAGACCCCTCTTTTATGGTTTCCCAAACTCATCCTTCTGTTTTAAATTAATGATTAAAAATTAATACTTCCCTGAAAGGTTAGGTCAATTTTCACCTGACCAGAGTATCCATCACACTGAATCCTTGTCAATCGTATCTTAGCACAAAAAACAATTCATTGAGGTCCATCAATTATAACTACAATATCTATGGACTCTAATTTATTCCTACTGCTGTGGTCAATCAGCTCCTTGGGTGGTGACTGTGACAGTCTCCTTGTTTTATTTTCCTATTCCTTTATGGTTTCACTCTTCTATCAGGGTTTAATTAATATAGAAATGCTTTTTTAAAAAAAAAAACACTTGCAACTATTCATTACAAAAATATCAGAAAAGAAAATAAAAACTCTCTATGATCTCAACACTCAGAGAAGACATAGTTGAAAACAAAAACATTCTAAATTTAACCCAAAAAGAAACCACCACCCAGCTCACTTGAAAATGTCACTTTCAGTTGAAACCCTTTTAATGTTTATTTTCTTAAGGGAATTGTTAGCCAGTCCCCTCATCTGGCATACGTCATAGAAGGATCTAGATAAAGCGAACTTATTTTCATGTGCAATGCTGAGAACTCTGGGTCACCTAATACTTCTGCATTCCATCAAACTAAAACTCTGACTTTTTAGAAGAGAATTTGAGTTCTACTTGAAAAAGAGCATATAAGATAGCTATTCATTGGCAGAGCTCCAGCTCATAGATTGTTCACAATAACAAGACAAAAACTTAGAAACAAAACAAACAAAAAACACCAGCAATCACCCTCCTCCTTGGAAGATAGTTGAGAAACCCTGTGTTAGCACAGCAGGCTTCTGGGCATCTTAACATAGATGCTATAAGGTATTTTTATACAGAGAGGCACACAGGGCACCTCGGAAAAGCTTAATAATTCAGTCTGCTCATAGGGGAAGTGTATAAATGGCAGAGACAACTGTTGACCTTTATCTGAATCCAAGGACAACAAAGCAAGCAACTTGATGTTCAGCTAAGCACCACCACCTCCGCGTCTAACACAACTGTATTCACTTTGCTAACACATACCAGGAATGGGTGAACCCACTGAGAGGCCCAGGCCTCCATCGGAAAACTTCCCATCGATATAGACTTTCCAAGCTCCTTCAGTACTTGTCCAAGTGATTGCAATATGGTGCCAACTGCCATCGTTCACGGAGGGACAGTTTGTTATCTTTTCCTTGCCATTCACATAAAGAACCCAGCTGTGAAAAGATTCCAGGGGGTACAGTCATTACTCTGGTGTTGCAATCCCGTCTGTGGGGCATGTTACTATTTTTCTTATTTTTGGCTTGGGTTTTTTTTTTTGGTGGTTAAAATACTTTGTGTAAACCCGTAAACCCACTTTCTCCATTTGGTCACATTTCATAGAAGCAGATCTGATTTACTAATTATACTTTATTGCAGCTCGTTGAACCTTTGTTTGTGTTTCTTAAACCCTGTGGGATAGAAAGATGTCTTAAGATGAGTTGAGAGAAGTCAGCCCAATTTGAGATAATTCACTGTCTATCTTGGAGAGAATGAGTCAGGAATGGAAATATTGAGAGTCATCAACTGATTTCTGTCCCCTAGAATATATGTTTCCTCAGACCAGCAACAAACTGCAGCGATCATGTAGAAAGTAAGTTCTGTTTCTCAGTTGCTAGAACTGTCACATGGTAGACAAAATACCTGGATCCAAAGAAATGAAAAATGGGAACCAAACAAAGGGCATCAATCACAAGGAGTCCCCAAGAACCATGTCACTTAGGGAAATGTCAGAGGTGATAAGCAGATTAAAATCTTTGAAAGTAAATAGAGAAAAAGAAAGGATTGAGGAAAGTGTATCAGGAAGATGAGAATTCGCTGAACACATTTTCCAGCATTTTCTTAGTCCCTGTTCAGAGATGTTCATGAAAAAAATATCTTTATCATATTGTTTCCCCTCTGAGTTTCCCCATTTTCCTCTTCCTATTCTAGGGCAACAGGTAAACTCTCTCTATATTTTGCCTTGGGGGAGGTTTTGGAAAATTTGTTAGATTTTTTTTTTTCCTGAAAGTTCAAATCCACTAAGAAGAACGGGGATTGAGGATGGGGAGATTTCTACCAGCAGAGTGAGAGTCCTATGGGGTGAGGAGAGGAAAGAGAGCTCACGGGATCTCTGAGCCTCAACTGCTCAGCAGCGATAGCCCACACATTTGGGAAGACCCGAGAGGGAAAAGGCCATGGGACACAGCACAGAATCCATCAGAAGTTCTGAAGGGACCACCGGGGCTGAGGCAGTGGACTGCTCAGTCTGTGGACATCAGATGACCTATGGTGGGAGTCCTGCCAAGAATGTGGCTCTTCAGTAAAACCCTGTGGGTTTTTCATAAGTTGAGTGTATCTAAGAAAAAAGAACACTTGGTAGTGAAAGAAAACAGAAACAATTGGAGTTGACATTCCTGACAGCCCAGTGGGATAGGGCCCTATCATTGGAATGAATTGACCCCCCAAAGAGTTAAGGGAATGTCATCTTATGAGCTTGAGTTTGTAGACTGATGCATATTCAATGTCCTATTCATACATCAGCAATGTCACTGAAATCCCCTGGCCTTCAGAGGATGTGAGGACCAGATTTAACTGAGCATTGGAGACGTAGCTCTGCCACTGCCAGAGTGTGAGATTTTGGGGTGCATCACTTGGTTCCTGTGAATCTTTGTTTTGCCCTGTGAAAAATGGGTGCCAGTACCTCAGATCATTGTGACAAGCAAAGGAAGTACTTTGTAAATACTAGCACTCAGTGAGACAACAGGAAAATAGTAAATAGTGAAACACAATACATATTTAAGGTATTATCACTAAAATGTCACTAACAGTCCAAACCTGTCTAGATGATGCACTGGATTACTGTCACCATGGGGCAGCTGACTCCTTGCTCCCTCCTCTCCAATTTTTTATTTTTTGTCTAGAAGAACTGGGGTGTAGGCCAGAGGTGCAAGGGCTGGGGTGGGTAAGAGAATTCACCAGAGACAGAGTGGGGGGCAGAACAGGTGCATCTGCTGAAATACATTGCTGAGGCGAGCAGCAAGTGAGATAGGAGAGGTCTGCTGTGCCATATGTGGCTTAGCTCCCTGGCTGGGGATCAAACTCAGTCCGTAGTGGTAACAGTGCTAAGATTTAACCCCTAGGCCACCAGGGAGCCACCCCCTACCCCAATGTCACTTCTAACTTGTTAAGATCCTAACAGGTTAAGATGCAAAGTCAAGCCTTCCTGACATTTATGCTTACCCATTATAATCAGTCAGAAGGAAGGTATTGTCGCTGCCATCCTCAAGGGCATAGGAGATGGGTGTCCCATAGTTGGTGGTGTCATTGGATTTCATCCAGAATGTGCAGGTGACAGCACGGAGAGAAGGAAGCACACCATCTAGCATGACGTATCCATAGATAGCAGAGACCTCAAAGTCCAGGTTAAAGCCTGTAGACTGTTCTGCAATGAATACGAAAAGTGTGCCTGCTGTGGCACCTATGAGGCATTTCCCCATTTTCTGGGGTAGGCAGTAGGCATGCAGATTCTTGTAAAGAAAGCTCATGTCAGTCAAGTGCAGAGTGAGAAGCAGTTTCAAAATTAAAATCATAATATTTACAAAATATATGACTTTTTTTCCAAATAAAATAATGAGTGAGTGTCTAAGACAGGAAAAGAACTCAGAAGTGAAAGGAAGCTGGAAAATAGTGGAAGAACAGCTTGGGAGGAGAAAGGAGAGGAGCCATTGGAGGTTATGAAAGATGAGAGATACTAATGTATTTCTGTGTTATGATGGGAATGACAAGAGAGCAGAGGAATTGATGTTGCTGGACAGAAAGAGCGACAGCTATGCTGGCAACATTCCACCTCTTGTCAGTGTTCTGGCTCTTCTTTATTTCATGAACAATTTAGCTCCACCCCAAACTTGCATGCCCTGTTTGATAAAACAGAAGTCCTATAGCTAAGAGACCCCATTGCTCCAATGTCCTTATCTGTGCTGTTGAGGTTAATAATAATATACCCAGTTTAACGGATGGCTGTAAAGGTTGAATAAGTACAAAACACTGCATAGTTTTGGGTATACGGGCAGTACATAGTAGAGGTGAAAACAGACAATGTTATTATGTCACATTATTGAGATCATAGATACCTGTTTCACACCTGCTGCCTGAAAATCCTGGCAGACATTTACAACTGTATGAATTCAATTCATCCACACAGGTGGCCTGATTTCTGCATGGATTAGACTGACATTCATTGATGTTTAATTCACAGAGTGGTCCTGTGAAACCTGCTGCACACTGGCACCTAAAAACAAACAAAATTTAAGAATTATAGCCGCTACAGAAAGGCATCAGGAGATGTCTCCATTTCTAATAATGTTGTCTGAAAAGACTTTGAAAACTGTAGTGCTGAAACATTTTCCACATCATAACAGTGCTTTAAAATCCATGATGAGATGTACCTCACACCTATGATAATAGCTATTATTCAAAAGATCAGAAATAATAGGTATTGGAGAAGATGCAGAAAGAAGGGAAATCTTATACACTATTAGTGGGAATGTTAATTGGTACAACCATTAAAAGGAGCAGCATGGAGTGTCCCTAAAAACTTAAAAATAGAAATTTCATATGATTCAGTTATCTCACTTCTGGATATTTACCCTAAAAACACAAAACCACCAATTTAAAGAGATATAGGCACTCCCATATTTATTGCAGCACTATTCACAATAGCCAAGAACTAGAAACAACTTAGTGCCTGTGAGCTGATAAACAGATAAAGAAGATGTGGCATATACATATATATATATATATGGCACATATATGTGTATATGATGTGGCATATATATATATATAGATGTGGCATATATATATATAGTATGCCAACTATATATATGTATATACAGATATGTGTGTGTGTGTGTGTGTGTATATATATGCCACATCTTCTTTATCTGTTTATCAGCTCACAGGCTCACTCCTTTAAATGGTTTGTTGCACATGAAACTATAAACCAGAGGCACACTATGGGGGGGTGGAAGTGAGTAGGATCAAAACAAGAGTGGTAAGAATTGTATGGGGACTATAACCAAGATGAAAATGCATACATTGTGCAAAAATGAAAAATGATGTAAAAAATATACAAAATAAAAAAAATTTGTAAAGTTAAAAAAAATGGTTTGTTACATACCACAGAGACAACATAGTCTACTGATTAAGAACAAGGCAACAAGTTGGCTTCAAAATCCTCGTGTACTACATAGTAACAAGAAGACTTGAGCAAATAAAACCCTCCAAACACAGTTTACTCTGTGTGTATGTGTGTGTATATAGTTGGAATGCTATATATATAAAACTATACACAAACACACACACAGAGTGTATATATATATATAGAGAGAGAGAGTATATATATATATATAGAAAACTATACACACACACACACACACACACACACACAGTAAGCTTTGTTCAGATGGTTTCATTTGCTCAAGTCTTCTTGTTACTATGTAGTAGATGAGGATTTTGAAGCCAACCTGTTGCCTTGTTCTTAATCAGTAGACCATGTCGTCTCTGTGGTATGCAACAAACCATTTTTTTTTTAACTTTACAAATTTTTTTTATTTTATACATTTTCATATTGGATATAGTCCCCATACAATTCCCACCACTCTTTTTTTGATCCTACTCCCTCCGCCCCCCCATAGTGTGTCTCTGGTTTGTAGTTTCTTGTGTAACAAACCATTTAAAGGCCTCAGAATGGAAAACATATCTGAAAATGTCACATGTCGACAATCATGTCATGAAATGGGAAATCTCATATAGTAAGTAGACCCACAGTTTGGTAATATCCAGGAAACTTGGGGGTTTCCAATCCCAATGTCCTCTATGTCCATTTCTAGTTATATACTCAAGGAAGTTACTTCAATCAGAGCTTCAGGTGATGGACAGTCTACTGTAGCCTATCCTTGGGTCAGCATTTAGGAATGGCTGACTTGGGACTCAAAACAATACTCCAGAAAGACTGCAGAAAGATTGAAAATGAAGAAGATAAACATAGTGGAAAGAACCAGACTTAGCCTTTCACCTGAAGCTATTGGCACCATCTTTACAGGTAGCTCCATTTTTGCATGGTTGACTGAGACACTCGTCCATGTTTTTCTCACAACGGGTACCCAAAAATCCAGGTGGGCATTTGCACAAGAACCCCCCAACCTGGTCTTCACAGACTGCATTATTTAAGCATGGACTTGATCGGCATTCATCGACTTCCATTTCACAGTGCAGGCCTGGGGATGGAGAGGAGCAGATTAACTGCCTAAGAAAACCATCAATCAGGGGCCTCCCCAGTGGCTCAGTGGTTGAGCGCTGGGTTGCAAAGCTGCCCACAGCCTCTGCAGCGCTGGTTCGATCCCCAGCCACCAGCGAGGGTCCCACATGGCGCGCAGACCTCTCCTGCCGCCCGCTGCTCCCCTCAGCAGTGTACTTCGGTCCTTCTGCCTGCTCTGCTCCCCGCTCTGGCTCTGGTGAATTCTCTCACCCTCCCGCGCTTCTGACTGTACCCAGTGCTTGTATAAATAAATTAATTAATTAAAAAAAAAAAAAAGAAAACCATCAATCAAGCTGTTGACTTCTTGGAGGATGCTGTTTCCAAAGAAATCAATGTGGACTGCAGAATCATAGGCCCAACAAATTGGCTTGAAATCCATTCTTTAAAGAGGGGTGGCTTTAATAAGTCATTTTAGGACTGCATTTTTTAAAAAATAATCTTACTCTTTTAATCTCACTTCTTTGTGAAACTAAGATTAATAAATATTTAATTGAGATAATGTAAAAAATAAAACTTGAGATAATGTAAAAAATAAAACTAACGGTGAGTTCAAATTTTCTTCTATTTCTTCAATCTTGCCTCTTTCCTTTACTGCACATTTTCTTTATCAATTATATATATATATACTTTTTAACCTAATTATTTAGCATCCATTTATAATGATTTAATATGACTTCTCTTTAGTTAATTTTTGAATGTTTGTCTTAGCATATATTTTTTTTTCTGTCTGTTGCACTTTCTACACATACGCGCGCGCGCACACACACACACACACACACACACACATTTTTTTCCAAACTGTTTTAATGTAAATTGCAGACCTGATGCCCTTTTACTCCTAAATAATCAAAAAGAAGGATTTTATCTTAATCAGAATCAAGTTATAAAATCATAAAATTAACATTAACATATACATGTTAGTAAATATAATCATCTATGGTGCTTTATAGGACTTTAAGACATGTAGGATGAATGGAAACAGCTTACCTACATATCCTCTCACACAGGTGCAGCGATAGCCAGCCAAGCCATCAATGCAGGTTCCTTTATTTAAACAAGGATTAGAGCTACACTCATTTATATTTTCTTCACATAGTCGACCTGCAAAGAATCATAGAAATTTTGAGCTGGAGAAACTCTGAAAGGATTTTAAGACCAGCAGTTTCAAGCAAGCTTTTCAGAGTAGAGCAACTGGAAGTTGTGGCTAAAATCTTTATGAAAATTTTTGCTCTCTTCCAAAAATGTTGAAATAAAGTGTTTTCTTTCATTCTAACTGCAAAATTTTTCTAGCAGAAAAACCCAACAGTTTTCCACATGCAATGGAAAATGACAACCATGAAAGTCTAGTTCCACTTTTGTTTTTTTTTTTAAAAGATTTATTTTCTTTATGCATACAAGAGCTGAGGCACAGGCCAGAGATGCGGGGGTGAGAGAACTCACAAGACAGAGTGGGGAACAGAACAGGCAGACTGACCGAAATACACTGCTGAGGGGAGCAGCAAGCGAGACAGAAGAGGTCTGCTTTGCCATGTGGGTTGCTCCCTTTCAGGCCAGGGATCGAATTTGTGCTGCAGAGGCTGTGGATTGCTTCATAGTGCGATGCTTATGACACCAGGGAGGTCCCTCCTTGTGCCACCAGGGAGGCCCCTCCACTTTTTAGTTAAGAAAATAAGTGTAATTTTGCTTAAAATATGCTTATAGCATATACATACTGTTTGTTCAACTATTTATTGAGTTTGATTCTTTTAGAGTTAAGAGATAAGAATTACACTGTTGGAAAAATTATGGGAGAAATACACTGAATTAAGAAAATAGCTTAGTTTGTTTGGAAAGATGGAAGGACACAACCAAACTTCTGTGAAACTGTTCCATGTTTTGCATGAACATAATCTGAGAACAAAGGATGTAATTCAAACACTCCATTTTACAAACCTAGAAACTGGGAGCCAGAGATGGCTGTGTTATTACCAAGGACATGTACAGAAAGGAACACACCCTGTCAGTCTTTAAATTCAAATACAAATGTACAAAGACTCTTTGAGCTGAAGAGTTCAGGATGCTTAAATTTACAACTCATAGGATTCTGTAACAAGAATTCAATAATTTACACATGTAAGTAACATGAAAATGTGCCAACTTCACTGATAAATGTCAGATTACAAAGACAATAAGCCTCACACATAATTTGCACTTTCATAATGAGCATTTTTATTTTTCACAGTAGAGCCACACAATAAATTGTAGATCTAGTAAATATATATTTTTTGACTCAGACGTTTGGATCTATTCTGCTGTCTGGTCACAGACTTCTCTAGAATTCAGGCCTGGGTGTTTCTGGCTTAAGATGTGGAATTTTAGGTAAAGACATGTAGGGTGGAGTAGCATCATTTCATACTGTATGTGGAATACAAACAGACATATGTGGGAAGGAGAGTAGGAAGGAGATGGGAAAGATAACTGAACCTGGGCCAGAGATTTGCCGTAGATCCAGCTTTTGGACACACACCAACGTGGGTGATGAGCAAGAGTCTGCAGCTCCCTGATTTGGTCTTAGCACCCCTGTGCCTCTTACAATGTAAGGCTAATGAGATTTGCTTCAAGACATACGCGACACGGGTCCTAAGTACATGCTACCTACTCTATCTGATGTCCAGGAGACAAAAATGATCTCGTCCCCCATGGGAGGTAAAAGGCTAACTGTAAAACAGCATGCCGGTCCTCTCTATCTCATAGCTGATTCAAGGGATTTTCAACATTTCTGATTTTGTTTTGATTGTTTAAAATTTTTTCCCATCTACAGACCTTTGAATTACATTTCCACATAAAATGTGATTCTACTGTATAAATCAATGTCTCTTCCCATATGATTAGGACCCTGTTTGCTGTTGTATGGATTCTAAGTAGAGGAATGAATAAGATTTCGTTCCAATGATTACCAGTATAAATGAGGACATTTATATTTTCATTTATTTTATGAAAGCTGCTTTTGGATGATATTAAAAATGGTTACTTTATGGGCCTCCCCTGGTGGTGCAGCATTTGAGAGCTGGGCTGCGAAGCTGCCCGCAGCCTCTGCAGCGCCGGTTCGATCCCAGGCCCCCAGCGAGGGTCCCACATGGCGCGCAGACCTCTCTTGCCGTGCACGTTGCTCCCCTCAGCAGTGTATTTCTTCATCAGTTTGCCTGTCACGTTCCCCGCTCTGGCTCTGGTGATTTCTCCCCCACCACCCCCGAGCTTCTGACTGTACCCAGTGCTTGTATAAATAAATAAATATCAATCAATCAATCAATCAATCAATCAATCAATCAATCTTTTAAAAAAATAAAAAATAAAAATGGTTACTTTAAAAATTTTTAAGGATTTCACTGGATATTAAAATATAGAAAATATGCACCCATATGCTTTTATATATATATTCAGATATATTTTAGTATAATATATAAATTTAGTAAAATAATAATTTTACGAGTTGATACAGGGCTCAATCATTATCTCCTTAATCTCCATACCAATGCTATGAGGTTATTACTATATATAAAAGAGTAAATCATACTGTATTGGGCATTATCAATATTGTAATAGTTATAACTGAATAAGGGAATTGAATGAACAAGATCAACATTTCTAAACTATGCTAAGGGGGGTTGGAAGTTGCAAGTCTCTGATTTAAATAAATATACTTTGACATATATATTAATTTAAGTGAGAGGGAGAGGCTGAATGGTCCAATATAATTTGAATCATACAAGTGCCTAAAGTCTACAATCAGCAATAACTACACACATACAAGCACACACCAGAATATACATAGACACAAGCAGACATACACTCTATAAATTCAGTGAAATACTAAGTAAAGAACTAATGCAGGGCCTAATATTTTTCTGGCACTGTTCTAGAGTTTACAGATTTCCTCTCATTTCCTGGTCTCCATTTTTAAGTACTAAGAAACAGCTTCAGGAAAGTAAAACGGCGTGTCCACAGTCACACATCAACTTGGCCAAGATGAGCACAAGTCTGCCTATTTTAAAAACCTCAGGCAATTTCATACCCCCAAATTGGTATCTTAGTCTACTTATATAATAGCATGTGAGAACACTTTCCCAAAACATGTAATTGTATTTCAAAGTATGCCTCTTCAGTATATTTCTAATATCCTATGAATGAAGCCTAACAATACATTTCAAATTTACCTCAGTGATGAATTTTTAGCTTTACTGAGTTATAACTGACATTTAACAATGCATAAGCTAAAGGTGTACAACATGAAGATTTGATACACACATATATAGTGAAATGATGAGCATCACAGTGAATTAACCCATCCATCACCTCATACAGTTACCATTTTTTGTGAGAACTTTGAGGATTTATTCTTCCAGCAACTTTCCAGTATATGATAAGGTATTTTTAAACTACAGTTACCATGCTGTACAGTAGATCTACAGACATTATTTACTTATTTACCTTAAGTAAATAAGGTAAATTTAGTTAGTACCCTTTGACCAATATATCTCCATTTCCCTCAACCCCCAGCACCTGGAAATCACCAGTTTAGTCTCTGTTTATGAGTTTGGTACTTCAGAGTCTACCTACAAGTGACATCATACAGTATCTGTCTTTCTCTGATTTATTTATTTCACTTTGTGTAATTCCCTCAAATTTCAAATTGTTGTAATGGCACAATTTCCTTCTTTATTAAATCCTTGAATAATCATATATACGATTATGACATACATTATGATATATAATACACATACATTATATATACGATAATCACATATATAATGGAGGAATGTTTTATATATATAATATTGTATGATATATACATAGAACTTCCATTTCCTTTATTCATTCATCCATCAATGGACAGTTTGTGTCCACATTCTGTGTATTGGGAATAATGCTGCAATTAACATGGAAGTGCAGATAACTCTTTGAGATGGTAATTTTCTTTCCTTTAGATAGATACCTGGAAGTGGAATTGCTGGGTCATGTGGTAATTGTAATTTTAATTCTTTGAGGAACTTCCATACTGTTTTCCAGTATGGAAAACCAGTTTACATTTCCACTAACAGTGCACAAGTGTTTCCTTTTCTCCACATCTTGGTCAACATTTACCTCTTGCCATTTTGATATCAGCCAGTCTAATAGTTATGAGATGACACACATGGTGTTTTTGATTTTTGGTGATGAAATTTCAGTAATTCCAAGGTTTATAATGTAAAAACCAAAACTTTCCCCTTACCTGTGTAACCGGATGGGCATTCACAAATGAACTCCCCAACTTGGTCTTTGCAAATCCCATTGTTAAGGCATGGCAGGGAGCTGCATTCATCAATGTCTGTTTCACACTTTAAGCCTAAAATAAAAACCAAACACTGAAGGATGAACAAAGAGAGGAATTAATAGAAACAGAATCAGTGCCACTGGAAGGCAATTATCCCAGTAATCTGTATTTATTGGGAGTGGTGTCAGTAACAAAAATTGAAGTAGTATTTCTTAAGTGCTATTATTTACCTAAGTGTATAGGTATTGTCTCTTTCTAAACAGATTTAATATAAATATATAAGGATTCATAAAAGGTAGTAAAAGACCCTAAGTTAAAAGTAGGGGCAGAAATTGGGAATACTGGAAGATTAGGCAGGAATTAAGTTAATTCCAAAGTGAAAAATATAAAATCATATACTTGCTATTAGGGTCACTTGCTGAGCAGTAAAGATGGGACTAATTCCTACCAGATCTCAGTTCACAAGCCAGTGCCCTAGGGTGGGGCTATACCTTTCCATAGGAAGTACTCAGGATTTCTATGGGTTAGCTCTATTGGAAACCCATGTTCTTTATACCGGGGAGTTTCAAAGTATGGACCCCTGAACACGAGTATCAGCATCACCTGGGAACATGACAGAAATGCAAATTCTGAAACCTTCCCCAGACCTATGGATTCAGAAATTCTGGGGTTGGAGTCCAGCAATCTGTTTTTACAAGCCTTCCACATGATTCTGATGCACATCAAACTTGAAACCACTGTCCCTTTCTCAACTACTATTTATCTAGAAAATTCTTGGACAAGATCCCTTACTTCTTATGGAATGTCAAGACAAAAAGTTCCGTAGAATTAAAACACACACACACACACACACACACTCACACACATGCACACAGGCACACACAAGCTGTAACAAGTGAACTGCCAACACAGCCCTAGGCTATATTTTGTTTTTCAAATTGTTTTCCAAGTTTCCTTTTGCTTATTTTCTGGTGAAATCCTTTATTTAAACACCATTTCTCTCATTAACATTTCATGCTGGGTGCACAACATCTGAAAAAACTGCACTTCCAGAAGAAAACAAGGAATTATATTAGAAAAATTGCAATCTAAGATACAGTTTTTTCCTATCAAAAATTATGTTGCTAGACTGAATTGGAAAGTGACCCAAACTGCAAGAAAATGTAATGCTTACATAATTCCCACATAAGCATGGACAAAGTCACATTGCTTTTCAAAGCACAGTTTATAGAAAGATAGAAACAAAGCAACAAATTATAGCCGTTCACAAGAACTTCCACTAGTTGAAGCAAATGGGAGAAATGAGTTTGTTTAAAAATGCTTCCAATGAACAATCTGTTCTATGTTGAGTGTCATGCATTTAATCTGTGTTAGAACTAAACTTTGAACTTAGCTTGTGGAACTGTATTCCAATTTAAATAGTGAATTATGACATGACTTTTTCATAGAGATGATTCTTCATTCTTCCTCCAAAATGTGCAAAGAAAACTGTCAGCATAAGCTAACGTATACTTCTTCACTCACTGGTTTATCCTATTCAATCAAATGTTTGTGTGTTGATACAACCTAATGTATCTTATAGATTTTTTTTAATATTCCCAAGTTCAATACTGAAGGTCGCAATGATCTCACATAAAAAATTTATTAGAATTTGCATTCCTTTATGTTATTACCTGTATATCCAGGTGGACAGAGACAAACATAACCACGCCCAAGTTGTTGACAGGTTCCACTATTGTGGCAGGGGTTTAAGAAGCATTCATGGAAAACCTACCAGTGACACAAAAGAAATCAATTAGAGACAAAACACTCAATTCATTTCAAAGCAATTTGACCAGGGAGTCAGCAATTTGACATTAGACATCTGGATCCTGTTACTAGGTGAGTTCACTCAAGCTAGCTGAACTGCTGTGTACCTGACAATGGTGCCCGCATATCTGGGTAACACAACATAGATGATACTTGAGTGATGTTCTGGTTAACCCAGCAATATTGCTAAAGGCTGGCTCACATTAGCCTCCACTTGAGCTGTTTTAAAAGTATATGAAGGATGGGCTCAAACCCAGACCAGTTAAATCAACATCTCTGAGACCGGGATCTGTGGCTCATTAGTTTTAAAAGTTGGCCAGCAGATCCTAATCTGTCTCCAGGGATCACAGGCACTGCTCTAGAAGTTTCTACAATTTTCTGTGTCTACCAGGCTCTGTTTCAAATGACTAATGAAACTCTGACAAGTCCTTATGTTTGGATGGGGCTGTAGCCTTACAGGAAGTTGAAGTAAGAAATACAATCTCATTATCCTCCTTAAAAATACCAAAAGCTAAAGTATTATCATGATATTGGGATAAAGTAAATTCGGAATAATGGCTGAATCTACTAAAATAATTGGTCTTAACTAGTCTTTAAAAAACTAATGGAAAACAATTCAGTTATGTTTAGGAGTTATGTTTCTTGATTTTTAAAAATCCATGTGTTATTCCAACTAATGACTTTTTGGGGGGCCAAAATCTGGATCATTTTCACAAAATTGAATAATTCTTCCTGCCAATCAGAAAAGGTCTTATGTAATCCAAATGCCCTTACTTAAATGATGGGTTATACTTGTGTTAAGTGTTCAATGCTAATGAATCAAAAGGCACTCCACATTTACACGTTCTCTATGCCAGATGCTGCTGGGAAAAATTCCAATCTTTAGTGCTTAACACTTCTATTGCTGAACTTTTGGAAAATACTTATTAGAAATCAGAAGTGAATACATTGATTACAGAATTCACAAGTCTTATTTAAAGTTTCAACTTTGGTAGTCATCCTCTATGTGATGTGTGTAATGCCAAATTGTTTCCCAAATATTCCATTAGAGAAAATTTTACACATAGAAAATGGGCTTGCCTGACTGCTGACTTCATACTTCTTTTTGATATGTCCAGGAGAAGCAAGGGGTACTACACTTTCTTCTGCTGCTGAGAAAGTTGAACTAAAACCTAATAAAATTAATGGAAAAACATTAAAAAATCTTATTGTATGGTTGATGTCACCAATAAATATGCTTTCTCAACCTATGGTCTCTATTCTTGTTCTCTTGAAAAACAGAGTCAAGTGACATATATTTTGTTTCAGTAATATTTAAAAAGAGAACACAGAAATGGATACATCATTAAATCCTAGACTCTTAGAAAGATGTTTGGAAGTTATCAAGTTCAACATTTCCAAAATAAGAATCTTTGAGTCATTAGAAAGATCTCAAAAGGACAGTTTAAAAAACCTAGACACCCAAGTGATTGAAACAGTAATATTCAGAATTAATGCAACCACGAGACAAGCAAAAGTATCCAATGTGGGAGTATGTAACAAATGAAGTATGTCCTCTTACTTGAGCAATCTGTGATGGATCTGGCACCAGTGATGGTTGTGGTTCCATAAAAGGGACAAGACAAGCAGAAGGACTTCCCTGGACTGGGTTGGTAGTAATCTTGAGGACATGGATAGCAGGGCATTAACCCAGAGCGAGAGAATTCTCCTACTGGACAAGGTACTGCAAAGGTAAAAACAAATTTGTGCATAGGAAGTGTCACACCTCTATTTAAAAGAACCATGTTAACTTTTGGTTGTAAGAAAGCTCATGGATTTTTAATATATTCACTTGCACATATTAATACCCAGATATATTACCATTCAGATAAATATTTTGTTGTTTCCATTCTCTCCTTATGAGCACACACTAACTTAACAAAAATTAGAATTGGTCATATTGTATTCTGATTTTTCCGCTTAATATTATATCATAAGCATTTCTCAAATCATTCCTTAAATTGATAGGAAACATGGCTTTTTAAAGGTACAATATTATATCCATTTATAGACCATGATGGAGCTAATGTTTCCTCTATTTTGAGATATTTAGATTGTTTCTAATTGTTTGCTATTATGCATAATGCTGACATGAAATTTTCTATATAAACATTTATTTATACAACTGATTCTTTCCTTGGGGTAACAGTTGGATTTGAGTATTGAGCAGTTAGATTTAAAGATATGAAAAAGTAAAAGCCATTAATATATAATGCCAAGTCATATTTAAAAAGTAAATTCTTATAGATACATCAGTGTATATAAAATGTTCTTTCCATTGTGTGCTCATGAGTACTGATAATGATTCTTAATTTTTATTTCAATCTGAAGGTAAAATTGTAGTTATTTTAGCAATAAATTAAGCTGTATTTTTCATGTTTATCAGGTTTTAATTTCTTCTGTAAAATAGTTGCCTATTACTTATTGGGAGAGGGTCTTTATATTTTTTAAACATTTTGATGTCAGTTTGGGTTAGCCATCCTTTTTTGTAAACAATATGCAGTTCAATATTGTCATTTAACCAAATCTGAAATTCTCTTGCCAATAACTGGTGAAATATTAACCAAGTAAGAAAATAGCATCAAACATAAGATGCACCTGGATTCTCTTCAATAAATTTTGATTGTACTAAGGAGATAAAGGAAAGAGAGAAAGAAAAGTATTGAAAACTAAGAAAAAAATAAGGGACCATTTTAGAATTCATACACATTTAAGTTTAAAGTAAAATTGTGCTTACCCAGCACCTCAGGGGAACTTGGTTTTGTTCTTAGCTATTCTCACTCATCACAAGCAGACTGTGGTTAAACTTATTCTAGGAATATTAGGGGGAATGGGGCAGTTACCAAAAGTTTAGAGGCTTTCTGGGAATTATAACTGCTTAATTGCAATAATTTTGTGTTAGACAAACCTCAAGGCTTATTTGGAAAACTGGAGGCAAAATAATTGTCAACTATGAACTTGTTTCACTATAAAAACCCTAATTGCTTTTGTGGTTATAGAGAGAGGGAGAGAAGTTTTTACTGCTCTTTCTTCCAAAATTAGTTTGTATACTGACGAAATAAAAGAGTCCTTAGCAGATTTATTTCAACTTCAATATGAAGCCTTGCTTCATTTTTAGTTTATTTTTATTTTTTTTCCCACTGCTGTTTATTGAGGTCACTGTTATATCTGCTTTGGGGATTATAGGTTCAGAACTCTACAAATGAATGTTTTCACACCTTTCCCACCATCAGTGTCTCCATAATTGTCCACCATGTTTATAGGGGAAAAAATCCGAAAGCTGGTATCAGATAACATAGTTTGAGTTGTAACTAGATCCTAATTGGTGTCTCAACTTTTAGTGAAATATTAAGTTGACAAATATTCCCACAGTTCTTCAGATAGAACATATTTTCATCTGCTGTGATCCTACTAGACTGAGATAAACTAAGTATGTGGAGAAGATAAAAACCTGGAATTCTTAGTATGTTTTCCCCATTCTTCCTTAAGCACTTAGTTTGAGGACTATATCTCCCAAGATATAATGTTACACAAGCCTCTCCCCACAATTGAGAGGACAAACAATTTCTAAAAATGTCATTTTTCAGACAGGGTGCTTGCTCTGATCCCAGGGATAGAGAAGGAGTCAGGCTGACAGTGTTAGAGATTTAACCCAAGTTCACTAACTTTGCTCAGTATTTGTCATTTTTTAGAGGACCCAGCAGTAGCTTGACTTTGATTGTCAGTCCTGATTTCACTGGTTTTCTATTTTATTTTCATTTACATCTTCCAGTTTTGACAGTGCTGGAAGGGATGTAGTTGTTAAAGATGTTAGTCAGAAATATTTAAAAGTTGGAGCGCTAATCTTTTTGTTTCTATTTAATCAGTGGTTCTGAACTCATAGAATTGGCATCACATGAGCACTAGTTAGAAATGCAGATTCTCAGGCTGCACATCAGATCTGTTGCATTTAAAACTCTGGGGGAGGTATCTGCCCTCCAAGCTGACATTTGAGAATCCAAGCGGTTCTCAAAATTTTCTGAAGCTTTATAATTATCTGGGGGAACTTAGAACCAATGTCCAGACAAGTTAAGTCATGTCTAGTAGAAATTGGGCTTCAGTATTCTAAAATACCAATGAAAATGTGCCAATGATTCCACTGTGTAGCCAGAGCAGATAACCAATCCCGCAAGTCTTCCAGATGCAGGGAATGAAATGCCCTAATTCATGGACTGTATTGTTCGAGTTTTAAGGAACCACAGGTAGAGTGTCCTTTCTAGAGGAGGAAACTTAAGTTCTGAGTTTAGATGCCTTTTTAATCATTACTGTGTAAGTCTCAGACCTGGCCTTGTATGTCTTTTATGTTCCTAGCAGCACTAACACAGTGCCTAGATTGCAGGCGTTTATACTTAAATATAGACTGGCTGAATAAAAGGAAACTCTATGAAGAGACAGTTATTTACATTCTTTATATACAGTCGACATACGGTTTTGCTGAAAATATTCCACTCTTCAATGCACAGAACCTAGAGGTTTGAAGAAATATCAATGTCTAAGGCTTTGATAACCTCCACAAGCAGAAATGGCCACGGCTCCTCTTTTCACAGTGGAAGTGTTTTCTGGACATAAGAGGCAGCTCCGGGAACCACGGGCTGGCTGATAACTGTTCAGAGGACACGATTCACAAGTCTCAAGCCCATTGGATGAGTAGGTGCCTTGTTTACACTGAGCTGAAGACAAAAATGTAATGTGGTTACTAACAATAACCTCTGGCTGTGCAAAACTAGCACAGAACAGGATAGGGTTTCTTGCATTTTTTTAATTCATTTAGGACAGACTCAGGGATGCAAAGACACAAGCCACATGCATTGTAACTTACACTTCCCATGCTTGTGCAAACTAATGTCAGACCTCTATGACCGAGCACAATGTTTGTGACACAGACACGTCGGTAAGTCATCATGAAGTTGGAAGCATGCGTTTCAGAAAGGCACTATCAGAGCAAGTTGTAGTGGGGAAACTTGCTCTTGGACAGATTCTTGACTTGGACACTGCTCTCTTGAGTAACAGAAACAAAACCCTAATTGGGCTACAGTCTCCTAACAATGATCGCACCTTTGTCACTTAAATGAGCACTGATTCTCCTGACTCCTCCTACTTATCACTTTGTTTGAGGACTGGTAAGGTAAAAAAGAAAGAAGGCTTAGCATCAGGCTGCATGGTAAGCAGCTCTGTGCTCTCTATTGCAATGGTTTCGTAGAAGAGCAAGAATAGGCCAGACTGCCCGACACCCAGGGCACTGTCCTTTCTTTCTGCACTTTATTCTACTTGACTCTCCTTTTCAACACTGGTCACATTTTTAGTGCATTTCCAATTACTCTGAATGGCTCTGTGGTTTACTTTTGTCACTAAGCAACTGCATTTGCCACAGTGGCAAAGAGGCACAATTCTGAAACTTCTTTTTTCAGGTGTGTCTTACTGTAACTTCATGAAGAAAATACTTCCACCAGGAATGCTCACAGAGAATAGCAGTAAGAATATTTTGAAAATCCTGAATATTTGAGTAGCAAGAGTAGGTGTCTATACGCCCATAGTTATTTATTTACAAGCTCAAGGACAGTTGCCCTCATCATGTTAAGCATTAGTCTCACACAAAGCCATCTCATTGTGGCTAAATATCTTGAAATGCATTTCCCCCAATTAATGTGAGATTCCATAAATAATCCAAGCAAATTGATGGATGTGGATTGGAGATTTGATGTTGGAGTTTAACTTAGTGAGAGCAATGGAATTTTTCTGAAAGGAGAGAAAAATGGACTTTAAAATAGGAGGAACATTCAGGTACTGCTTTATAATTTAGAGGAAGAAAACCACTTTGACGTTTAGAGTTTCATAACTGGAAACAAAATTCATATTTCTAGGGGACTCCCTGGTGGTGCAGGAGTTAAAGTCTCAGCACCATTAAGCTATCGCCAGCCACTATGGCATGAGTTCAATCACCAAGCAGGGAGCTAACCCTCATGGCACAGCAGATCTCTCCTGTCTCCCCTGCTGCTCCCTCAGCAGTGTATTTCAGTAGATCCGCATGTTCTGCTCCCTACTCTGTCTCTGGTGAATCCTCTCACCGCCCCCCTCCCCACCCCTATACATCTGGCCTAGACCCCGGTTCTTATATGCATAAATAAATATAATAAATCTTTAAAACAATACAAAATTCAGATTTCTTCTGGCCAATATGTACACCAAGCTCCTACCTTTACATTCCAAGCTGCTTCTTGAGTGGAGATATTCAGTGTAAGTTCCATCTGGACAGAGTTTGCACTCCAGCTGTCCCTCTTCATCTTGATAGGACCCCATCAAGCAGCTCTCACAGACAGAATGCTCCAGAGAATAATAGGTTCCCAAAGGGCAATTGACTGAAGAAGAAACAAACAGGAAACACTGACTTTATAAAAACCCACAGCAATGAAACACACTCGGGTTCATTATTTCTAAGGCATGGAAATAATAAAGCGTGACTCCAGGTACTGTGTTTATGGGTTAAATTTTACTGCCAGGGGTTTAGTCACACAGTAAGCCTTCTAGAAATGCATTCCTAGAAACCAACAGTAATGAATTCTTTTTTTTTCCGAGAAAATGCAAATTCTTGTTGAGCTCATATGATGGAGGCTGTAAAGTGTGAGCTAGAGCCTCGCTAAACCAGATCATCCTGGAGAACACACAATGAACCAAGAAAAGGCTGGTGCCAGAAAAGGATAAAACAATGATCATTAAGATGTTAATTTGAGGCTTTCAGGTATTAGAAACATTTTCTTTTTTTTTTTTTTTAAGATTTATTTATTTATTTATTTATACAAGCACTGGGTACAGTCAGAAGCGAGGGAGGGTGAGAGAATTCACCAGAGCCAGAGAGGGGAACAGAACAGGCAGACTGACGAAGTACACTGCTGAGGGGAGCAGCGGGCGGCAGGAGAGGTCTGTGCGCCATGTGGGACCCTCCTCCGGTGGCGGGGGAGCAGCTGGGGATCGAACCGGTGCTGCATAGGCTGCAGGTAACTTCGCAACCCAGAGCTCAACCACTGCGCCCCCAGGGGAGGCCCTGGAAACATTTTCTTAACTGCTCCACAGAATGGTTCCCTATACGAAACTGGCTGCTTAACCATTTATAGCATCATTTCTAGAAACAAAAAAAAGGTAAAAGTGTAAACTTAAAACAGGTGAGTTAAGTAGGTCCTTGTCTCTGGCTATAGGAATTACTAGACACTGAAGGCAAGACTGAAGCATCTTTAGACCCAAGGAAACAGGCCTTGTTTCCTTGAGATTTGTTCTACTCTTTGGCAGGCTGATGGTAACTCAGAAATCCTGAGACCAAGAGGAAATATAAACACACTGAAAAAGGCTCTATCACAGTTGGTATTCTTATGGGGAAGACACTTGAAATCAGCACACAGTTGATTCTGAGATGTTCAAGTGTGTAAGCATTACTGGGAACTCACTAAAAATGCCAGTTCCAAGGCTCTGTCCCCAAAGTGTCTGTTGCATTAGTACTGGGGTGAGGCTTGAGTTAAAACACATCTTGTCAAGTATTTGAGGTTTGCTGACACAGGAAGCCTACACTGAGGAGTGGGGATGCAGGACAAGCCCATTTCTGATGTTTATTCCTAGTGTGGAGAAGAGACAAGAGCAGACTCAGAAAGACCATTTTATGAGCCTTAGGTGGCTGCCTCCATCACTCTATGAGCTCAGGCCATTCACTCTATGAGCTCAGGCCATTGTAGTAAGTGTCAAGAAAGATCTCCCAACTGGGACATAAATCCCACGCCTACAGTCTAATGGAGGGCTCATGTCATTTTGTTTAGTTAAGTGTAAAGATTTGGGTTAGAGGAACTTCCACCATCTACAAACAATGATGTAATTGGGAAACAGACTGGAATGGATTCAGACAGCAGTTGTCAAAAACAGAGGTTAAAAGTTAACAGGCAGGGAGGGCAGGAGAATGTGGAGTGACTGCTTCAAGGCACAGAGGGGTTTCTGGGGTGATGAAAATGCTCTGGAACAATGACAGAGGTGACAGTTTAACAACATCATGACTATACTAAATATCACTGAGCTGGACACTTTCAAATGGTGAAGTGGGTTGGTGTCGTTCACCTGAGTGGGACTTCTAGCAACACCACTTCCGGTCTGGATGGGTCAGCCTTACCGGCCTTAGTTTACCTCAGAGATAAACATTTATACCAAGGTAAAGCACAAGAGGTGCTCAGCCAGCATACAGAAGTATGCAAAAAGTATTAGTTACTTGCAGCAGCCAATGTTTAAACAGCTATACATAAAATAAAGATTTGAGCCACCAACCTAAAATAGTTTTCTTGTCGGACCAACAGAAGTTACTTATTTACACATTTGAAACAGGAGTAATAACAGCAAACACCCAGCAGCAAAATGCATTTCATTTCAACATCCCTAATAGTTCTAAAATGACTTTCCTCATCTCATTTGGCCCAACATGCACCAAATATGTGGGACTGCAGGGAAGTCTTACCACACATCCGCCCTCTCAGCACTGAACCTGGTCTGCAGAAGAGGAAAGCCTTCTCTGTTTCCAAGGAATTGCTGTCAGCCACCAGCATTTCGGATGCAAGCTGAAAGGCATACATGGGCTCCTTATTGAGGGTCCTTTTTAGTCGATTTGTGATGGTCTCCAGTGTCTTAATGAGTCGCTGCTGATTTTCCAATTCAAGGGTATCGTTTCTTTCATCCGGTAAAGGCACACTAGCTAGGGTAAACACAAACAGAGCAAAGCATAACACACATGTATGGTATTTCAGGAAGCCATTTGTATTTAGTGTTTGCCAGAAAGAAACAGCATATTAAAACTCTTCCAGGAAAAAGTCAATTCAACCACTGCTCACTGAGTAGCTAGTACATGGACAAAATTAAGAACCATTTGTTTTAACCCTTCTCTCATATACTGGATCTAATCTTTTCGCAGAGTTCTTCATGATAGCACAGTAGATTTCTGTAAAGTCTTTCTTTTGAGCACCAAACAAGGTACTGTTGGGTGAGATGCACAAAATATATCTGTGATATTAAACTGCAAAAATTAACAAGACTTAGGTGACTGTGCTCTCCCAAATCTTCATTTCCTAATAATGGTAACAATGGAAGATTTGAAAAATGGTTTTCCAACCAAGAATTTCACATCAGGCAGTCGATTGATCCTTACCTGTGATGTTAAAAATTAATTTAATTTTGTGGTCAGATAATGGGGGGCTTCTTCTAATCCGTGAAGGACTCACTTTGCCATCACCTCTGGGTGTTTCTCGCACGGTATCCAAGAAGTCATCGTAAGAGTAATCCAGCCTGTTAGCCGCACCCCATCCACCAGGACCTGCATGGTTAGGACAGAAAAACCAAGGCTTCTACTGTCAAGTCTTCACCAGCTTTTAAGTTGTCATGTTAAAGTGTGAATGAAATTGCTTTGACCATTTTTGAAATTGCTCATGATGTACTACATACAGGGTTCTGTCTATAAACTTTCACTTTATTCTATTTTTATTGATATGTCATAGGTTGACAAGACTGTTTCAGGAGTATAACTTCACACCACGACCACCACCAGAGTTATGGCACCAGACACCACTATCAAACTGACTCCCTCTCTACCTGTTTCTCATAACCCTCATCTCCTTCCACTCTGCTAATCACTGTGTGGTCAGAATCTAAGTCATCTACAAGCTTATATTGTAGTTTTCATGTATTTCATATTAAATTTAGATGACCAATAAATTACACCTTAAAGAAGAAAACAAGTATAAAGTTATGTAGGCATTTAAACCATTTTGACTTAGTGGTTAACTATCTTAGCTTTAGAGGTAAATAGAGAGAAAATGCACAATTCTAATCATTCCTATGTCCTTTCAGGGTTTGCTCCATTCTTCTTTTTTAAAATAGCAGCTTCATAAAATTAAATGCACATAAACAGATTTTCTTTTATGAAGATTATTCAAGATTTCTGCATCATATTTTAAAGGTGGGGATAGTTTCTGAAACATATAAGTTAAATGCACATATAATGCAACTATTTTGGAGGGAAATGGATATGTGTGATTCTTTAGATGTTCTTGATATCACCATGATCAACTACCTGGTTTTAGATTGTGGCCTCTCCATATCTGATTATGGCTGCACGATCTTACCAAATTACTTTCATCTTTCTGAACTGCACCTTCTTCATTTATAAATTGAGATAGTTATCCCTACCTCATGACTGTGAGGAATAACTGAAACAACATATATAAACCATCAAGATCAGTATTTGACTTATTCTAAAATCTCAGTAAGTTTTGGTATTAGTATTTATCTGGGCACATTGCTGTTGCTTAGTCATACCTTAAACATCTAATTGTATTTGTATAGGTTTTCCACTGAAGAAAGTTGTTTTTTGCTTAATTTTTCTGAATTCACTGAAAAGTTGTACATAGTAGTTAAAAATAGAAAACAACCCACATTTTCTAACAGGGAATTGTTTATATAAATTTTGGCAAACTGGTGGATGAAATAGTATGTGACCATTAACACTGTGTTAAATATGATATCTAATAACAGAAAAATGTCCTTAATATAATGCTAACAAAAGATTCATGTTTGTAAAATAATATAGACATATATAAATAGCATACATATTTATATATTGTATTACTATATAACATTGAAATAATATATATTCTCAATATTATTAAAAATATATTGGATTTGGACCCAAATGTTGGTCTTAGAGACCATATGCTTAATCATGACACTATGTTGTTAAAACCATTATTTTTAAAAATTTTACTCTGGAAATTCTGAACAGTTATATAAGAATGAAATAAAAATTAGAAGTGTAATTACTGGAAAGGATAATGATTTTGCTAATAAAAGACCCAAGAAAGACAACCGAAATCTCCTAGAAATATTAAGGCAGTGAGCTAAGTGGTCAGATATCCTAGTGAAAAAAAAAACAAAACAAACAAAAAAAACCCCACACCACACTGAGGAATAAGCTTAATAAGACAGTTCAGTCAACATAGAGAAAACATCAAAATCCCATTTGATGGTACGTTACTTGAATAAATTGATTCTTAACATATTCTGGTGGAAGAATATAAATATTTTCCATGTTTAGCTATTTTAATTGCAATTGCAATTGAATGTCATATGGATATATTGCATCTGGTACTTTGTAACTATTATGACTCTCTTCTAAGATATCATATCAATGTGACTTAGTATTCATCCTGAAAAATTTAACCCAGTATTTTGAAATAATTTATTTTATATCCCAGTTTAAAATATCCATAAAGAACAGTGAGCACATCCTGACATATATAATATATATAGTTGATTCATCTTAAAATATTGATAAGTTAAAAAAAGGTAATTTCTCTAGTTTGCCTCCCTCTTCTGAAATTACTTTCTTATTTTGCTGCTCAGTCTTGCAAACTACTGACACTGCATAATTTAATTACCAATTGCAAAGCCATTTTCATAGTCATAATTATATTCAAGGCAATATTTTTTGGTCAGGTCCTCCAGTCTGCAGTCAATGTCATCAGCATCATTACAAAATGATGGGACCTGAAAAAAAAAAAATGAAGAGGATAGAATGTAAATCACACACTGGTGTGCTGTGAATAAGGCCTGTGTCCCCAGGGCTTTGGTGACCCCACCAACAGGGGCCAAGAGAGGGCCCTAGAGCTCTGCACCTTCTTGAAAAAACTGGATCCTCTTCCACTCCCTCCCCAAAGCATCTCAAAGCCTATGGAGCCCCAGGATTAGACTCATACCTCTGTCTCTGTTTATAACATTCACCCCAAGAAGCCCAGGTCTCCTGGGATATTAATTGCCTCTGAGCTTCCACTCCGCATGGGTCTTTTCTCTTCCACTATGTCCCAACCCTCTCCAAGTCCTGGAAACATTTCTCCAGCTCACAATCAGTAAGCAGCAAATACTCTTACATTTTTACTTACTCTCTTCTTCCTTCACTTTTGCTCCCAATGAAACCAAACTTTCCAGTTTTCTTAAATGGAGGTAGAGAAAGTGTCCTCACTCATCATAGCTGTTTTCAGATCATGCTACCTTGCACCTCCCTTAAAGCCTCCCCATGTTGACCTGCCAAATATACCACGTACTGCCCTTTCTTGTGGCCATTATCAGCTCTCAGCTTATCATGCTGCATTGTTTTTCGGTGATAAAATAGAAGTCAGAAAAGAGGCTTCCCTTACACAGTTCTACCACCCTGTGTACTACACCTGCATTTGTGTACTTGTATACTCTGCCATCTTGACTCCTCTCCTTATCTCACATTCTACAGCAAATCTACTAATCCTACTAAACCTACTTTCAGAATATATCTATACCCTAAGCTACCAAATCTGTTATACAGAAGGATACAATATGGATATACCATTTTTCCTGACTTACGATGCTTATTAATACACTCAATATATCACTTTGTGTCCCTATAACCACTCAGAGTCTTAAAATGCATGAAAGGTCATTTAAATGTTGAGTTATCTGATCATAAAAGGATTGCAGTCATATTTAAATAACAGATATTTGTCAGATTTTAAATAATGAATATTCTCAAGCTCTGTGAACCCTCAGTTTTCTGACTTTATGATTTAAATGTTTTTAAAAATTCAAAATGTTTTACTATCGACTTGCTTATCATTCATTCTATAATTCCAAAACCTATGTATGAGAAATTCTTACTATTAGAACAAATTTGGATCACAAAGAAGAAAGAACTCATTGGGGTAAAGAATTTCAATTGCAGGTGACCCAGAGAGACAATAAAAAGATCAACAACATCCTTTAATATATAACAACAAGGATTACTACCGACATACCATTTTCCCCAGGGTGGTCTCAAAGGCTTCAGAGAACTTCTTCAACAGATCCATGTCATCACAGCGAGTTGCTTTATACAGCATCTCAAAGGATTTGAACCCATGATTTGCAAAACGTTTTACTGGAAAATGTTGGAAAAAATAACTTCAATTTACTGTTTTCAAAACAAAAAATTTAACTTTGTATGGAACAACTGTAACTTAATATTTTTACTCTAATGTGCTTTTGGGGACTGTTACAAAAACAAATGATGACAGTTAAAGAAAGTGTCTAGGCATTAACTTATCGTAATAAATCCTGAGCTGAGCAATTACTCAGTGATGAATTTGCTTTGATTTATTTTTTTCTTTCACTTCCAATTGGATTAAAAAGTGAGCATTCAAGGGAATAAGAGATATAAAAATTGTTTTCATTGTGTTGCTGGGAATTTTTAAAATTTCTGGCTGAGTCAAAGAGATCATCTTTTGTATTTATATAAACATATATCTTGTATATGTATATTACATTTCCAACCAACAGACATTGAAAACTTTCTACATATTATGTGCAATCATACTCCTTGAAGGTGTAATATATGTTAGGGACAAATTACTCCTTGGGCCAGAACTTGGATGGCTAGACTCAGCAAGATATTTCAAAATATTCAGTGACAATGCCTCCTAAGTGCATTACTGTTAAAATCCTACTGACTGCTCAGTATTCTTTATTCCCCAAATCTGGAGAAAAGAATGACTCAAATAAGTGGGCTTTACTCTTTATCTGAGGCACTGGCATTTCACCTTCATCTGTAGAACCGGATCAAAGATTCACACCAGAGACTATTTATTCATACTAGACAGTTTATTTTTTATAACAATATATATTTAACATTATAGAAAAGGGGACTTCCTTGTGGCACAGAGGTTAAAGTCTCAGCACTATCAAGCTCTCGCCAGCCACTGCGGCATGAGTTTGATCCCCAGCCAGGGAGCTAACTCACATATGGCGCAGCAGACCTCTCCCATCTCCCCAGCTGCTCCCTCAGCAGTGTATTTCAGTAGATTCACCTATTCTGCTCCCACTCTGTCTCTGGTAAATCCTTTCACTCCCCGCACCTCTGGCTTAGACCCCAGTTCTTGTATGCATCAATCAATCAACCAATCAATCTTTTAAAAAATCATAGAAAAGCTCTAAATCTGATCTAAGGAGAATATGACTAATCTCTCTCATTCCATCACATAGGTTGGTTCTTAAACCTAAGTTCTTCTGCAGACAGACTACAGCTTAAGTTCAAGTTTACATGTCAAGAACAATATGCTGACTAAGCTTTTTAGGTATTTCTGGTAAATAACAATGAGAGTGCCAAGATGATCTTGCCTTTAGTGGGACCTTATCCTACAGTGACCCAATCCACAATTAGACTTCAATGGGCTAATATTGTAAATGGAGGGATGGACATTTATTTATTTGCAAACATTTCAAATTCATGGTGCCATTTTCCACTCACCAAACCTAACACCCAAGTAAAGCAATTTATGTCTGTCCAATGCCTAGAAACGCACAGACAAGCACTCAGATCCACTAAAGAAGTTCAGAAAAAATTTAAAACTTACTAGCACAGTCTGGCCATTCAGTGGAATAAGGAGGCTTCCAGATTCCATCTTCATAAGCACAGTAATACTTCTCAGTCGACCCTTCTGTGAAATCATAGCCCTCCAGGCAACTTAGTGTGCAGTTCACGCCAACACTGTCTTGAGTACAAATGAAGTCCCCATTGACAGGTGTGAATGGAACTTCACAGGGGGAACCTGTGTGGAAAAAATTATATCACTCATTTACAGAGGTCTGAGAAACACAAATTAAATTCTAGGGGTCTAAGCTGAACTTTGAAAAGGATTTCTCCTGTCCACTGCCTGCCTAGGAAATGTGTAGAAAAACGTTCACTATAAATCCCTAGTGTGGGACTACGAGGATTTCTGATTCCTAGCTGGGCACTCTTGAAAGACAATACCTACATGTCATAAGAGACGGTGTCTATTTGATGAAAAGCTCAAAGTATTTCTGACGTGGGGTTGTGGTTTTGCTGTTTTGGGCATTCCTTTCAGAAAAATGAAAATGAGACATAAGATCATATAGCAGATACACGCTCAGAATCTGCACCCTCAAGCCTTCAAAACAGGAACAGAACAGTGACATTTTGTTCTTGTTTACTGAATAATAAATAGGTTCACAGTCTATTTTTTTCCCAAATGGAGCATGGAATCTTCAGCCCTCCTTGTTCTCAGGAATAGTGCCTTGGTGCCTAGAGTTCCTGCTCGTCAGCTACATGTAGGGTCATGCGGGGGGCCTCTCACTGACAGCAAAGGTCCTGGCATGAGGAACATACTGGGAAACCAGTGCCTGCTGAGATAATATGCTTATAGAGATAATATGCTTAGACTGGGGGCCTCCCTGGTGGCGCAGCGGTTGAGCGCTGGGTTATGAAGCTGCCCACAGCCTCTGCAGTGCCGGTTCGATCCCTGGCCACCAGCAAGGGTCCCACATGGAGCGCAGACCTCTCCTGCCGCCCACTCCCCTCAGTGGTGTACTTCGTCAGTCGGCCTGCTCTGCTCTCCACTCTGACTCTGGTGAATTCTCTCACCCTCCCGCGCTTCTGACTGTACCCTGGGTTGTATAAATAAATAAATAAATCTTTAAAAAAATATATGCTTAGACTGGCAGGAACAATGGAGCCCCCCAGGCAACAGCCCCTGCTCACTCCACCCCAGCTTACATCCCATTAATTGGCATGGCCATGCCCTATCTACTTGCCCCACCTTTGTACTCAATGCTAACAAAACAAGCCTGACTTTGGATGGGGCTGCACATGACTTCCAGGTAGCCCCTCTAGGCATCTCACTGTTCCACATGGACTTTGAAACATCTATCCCTCATCCCGCGCCTCCTCCAACACTTCTGCCCCATGAGATGACAAAGGAATGCAATAGAAATTACATATCTCAATTGTCAACTAGATTTGGGGGTCTTGGGAAGAGAGTACCTTTTATGATGATGTGGATGTCACACGTTCGGTTATTGCCTGACGGGTCGGTGGCTGTGTACCGCACCACCGTCTCCCCGTGAGGAAAAAGGTCACCTGGTGTATGACTTCTGGTGATGACCAAGACGGCCCCTAGGAAGGAGAGACAGAATCTCATTCTGGGGTTAGTGCTCTGAAGTCACTTTTATCAGTCACTTCTTTTGCTTTGCATTTTCATTTTCTATTTATACAACCAGCTGGGCATTCTATCTATTTGGCCAGCAGAAATACAAAATAAAAGATGCAATATTTAGACTCAACCGTAAAAATAGTAGATTTAAAAATTTATTAAAACATTCTTGCTAAATAAGTGATTTTCCTTCAGTCACTCAGTCTATCTACACATTAAAATTCTAATTAAGAAACCTATTTAGGGGCCTCCCCTGGTGGCGCAGCGGTTGAGCGCTGGGCTGCTAAGCTGCCCACAGCCTCTGCAGCGCCAGTTTCATTCCCGGCCACCAGGTGAGGGTCACACATGGCGCGCAGACCTCTCCTGCCGCCTGCTGCTCCCCTCAGCAGTGTGCTTTGGTCCTTCTGCCTGTTCTGTTCCCCGCTCTGACTCTGGTGAATTCTCTCACCCTCCCGCGCTTCTGGCTGTACCCAGTGCTTGTATAAATAAATAAGTAAATCTTAAAAAAAAAAGAAACCTATTTTATATTTTTATTATTGTTTACTGGGTTTTAGCAAAATTAATGTGCTTGTCCATTTTTTTAACACTTCCCTAAGAAATTAAAAAAAGTTATAAATGTTTAGGAAATGAGCATAAATACATAGAACTGTGCTAGCAATACCAATCAAATGCATAGTTTATACCTCCAGGATGACGTAAATTTACAGACTTAATGAATTTATTAAGATACCTCCAAATACAACACCTAGCACAGGTGTGTAAGTTTCCACTGAGCACTGAATGGAGAGGTAAGATTAATAATATCAGATTATAAATAAGCAATATATAATTATCCTAGCACTAAAACATGCTATCATACATGACTATTCATTCCACTTAAACAGATAATTGCTTTTCCACTTTCATCCTTTTTAAAATAAAATATAATTTAGTGTTACCCTGCTGACAACACAATCCCAGTGTCCTTACCTGAGTTGTCTGAGAACTGAGGCTCATCCCAGGTGGCCGTGTGCTCCTTCTCTGAGACCTGGATGGGGGGCGGGGATCTGCACCGGTCTATGCCAGGGGGCTCCATGTCTAAAGAACATGTGGTCAGAGAAAGAAGTCACAATTGATATTCAAATGCGATGGAGGAGTATAGATGGAGTATCTCAGTCTACTTGTGCTGGCAGAGACAGAGCCTTGATGCACAGTGGCAAGGCTGGCCCTAGGGCCCCTCTGATGATGAGGTATATCCTATCCCAGATCTCAATTCAAAAGAAAGAGTTGAACTGCCTTCTGCCTGTTGAAGAAGAAATAACAGGTTCCTAAAATCACCTTGAACACACAGTGTGTGGATGTGGTGGGCACTTGATCTGGGAGTTCCACCTGAAACAGTTGAGTTCATCGACCTGGAAGTGAAGAGAATCTTCCCAGATAAGCAGAAGGAGTAAAATAACCTAACCTGTCACTGCAGTGGTCCTCCTCTTAACCAAAGAGTCAAGATGGGGCTGAGATGGCTAAATGGAAGGACCCAGTGAGACACTAACCCCTAGTCATGTGAGAAAAACAAGAAAATGTAGGTTTGGACTATTTCTTTGTCTCTCCCTCCTCTCCTCACTCCCTCTCCCTCTTTTCTGCTCCGTCTTCCTTTCTATTCTTCTTCTCTCCATCATAATTTGAAAATTCAGCTAGTGTCTAGCAAGACACTTGAGTACACACTTTATAATTTATCACGTTGACTCTTTACTGTGAAAAATTTACACTTGGCAAATTCTTGAACCACATTTCCATGTTTAAGATCACTGAATCACAGAAAAACAAATCCAGCAGATTTTCCACGTGACTGGTGAAGTTCATGTTTAAAACAACATTGAGAAAACAATAAAAAAAAAAAACAACTAAGCGCTATGAAATAAGAAGCGATGTAACATTCCTCAAACAAAATCAATTTATTATATTGGGCTTTAAAAGAAACTTGTTAAAATATACCTGAGACAAACAGAGTAATAAGTCAATGTGTTTACAAAGAGCTTAATGTGTGTCAGGCACTAGTTCACATGACAGCTGTATCTTAACGAATTAAAAACTTCACAATGAAAACACCCCCAAACCTCACATGAACCCTGTGAGTTAATATGTTTGTTAATTCTGTTTAAGGATGAAGAGACTGAGGCACAGAGGGGGGCCCATCGTACCATCTTTAAGGGGGAGAATTGGGGATGGATTCAAAGAAACTGGGTTCAGAGTCTGTATTCTTGACACTATAGAGAGCAACATTATTTCTCCATGTATTTTACTTTGGTGGTGGGATCTGTAGCAATTGATCAGGTAATAAATTAACTAAAAGCACCAAGACCAACTGGAAGGTGATCCAGTGAGCCAGGTTAAAAAAATGAAGGCGTAATGTATAGGAGTGGTCATAAGGAAGGAGGGTATGGGCCAGATCTCAGAGATATTAAGCAGATCAAACCAGCAGAACTTGATAACTTGCTGAATGTTGGTAATGGAAGAAGAGTCATGAAGAAAGAGAAGAAAACAAAGGCTAGGCCCCTCAAGGATGATCCACATCCAAGAGTAGGTCTAAGGAAGAAAAGTCAAGGAGAGGTAAAGAAGGATAAAAGAAAAAATGAGAGAACAACTGAAAAAGGCTGGCAAGCTAGGGGAGAAGGAAGTTTTGGTAAGGGGAGTTTGGCTAATAATGTAACAGCTAATGAAAGATTATATAAAATCAGGTCTGAAAGTATGTAGGAGTAACTCTGGAGATGACTGATGAACTTGATGAAAAAAATAGTTATGTGAGTGAAGGAGACACAAGTCTGATTCAGTGACTTTGAGAATACGGCAATGAAGATGAAAGAGGTGTTCACCAGTGGAACTTTTCAAAAGACTCACATAGGAAGAAATCAAATAAATACAACAAGAATTAAAGGGTGTGTAGGTTTCAAAGAGGGAGTGTCTTGAGTGGTTTTCAAAGCCAATAGGAACAATCGGTGGAAAGGGAGTAGCTGAAGATAAAGAAGCCATGTCCTTGGGGGGTACCGGATTATTTTCACAAACATGTCCAAGTAATTTGAAGACTTACCAATAACCTTAATATGGAAAGTGCAGCTGGCTTGGTTGCTGGATTGGTCGATTGCTGTGTACGTGATAGCAACATCTCCAATTGGGAAAAGGTAAGGCGGGGTAAAAGCTGGATGAACATGGATTGACACCTTTTGGAGATAAGTATTTTCAGAGTTAAAGTTGATATCAATAGTACATTTATTTTTTTTAATTTATGTATTATCAGGAAAGAGAAGTGAAAATGACAATATTTTATGTATAAGGTAGAAAGGAAAAAAGAAATCAGGCATGGTCTTTATTTCTTTCCAGACTATTCTTTTTACATACAGTGCTGGGATACATGTGCAATATTGTTTCCTGCTTTTTAAATATAATGGTCCTAAACACTTTTTATGTTGTTACATAAAATTAGAATTTAAGATGACTCTTAAATGTCTCTATAATGTTCTGTAGAATAAATACATGGTAACTTCATTAAGAAAAGGCCTTGAAGGATATTTAAATTGGCCCCAAGTTTTATTGTTGTAAACGGCACTGAGAAAAGTTTTATACAGAGAATTTAAAAATATTTTAATTATGTCCTTATATTAATTTTCCATGAAAAGAATTATTAACCTCAAAGTCACATTTTTGACAGACAATACAAAATTTCTCAAAGCATGGTCACAAGTTACATTCCCACTGACAGCACTTGATAGTGTCAGTATCAAGGTTTCAACTCAAAGTTCCCTGATCTATTTTATTTTATTTTAAAGATTTATTTATTTATTTATTTATCTATCTATTTATTTATTTATTTATCTATTTATACAAGCACTGGGTACAGTCAGAAGCATGGGAGGGTGAGAGAATTCACCAGAGTCAGAGCGGAGAACAGAGGAGGCAGACTGACTAAGTACACTGCTGAGGGGAGCAGCGGGCAGCAGGAGAGGTCTGCACGCCATGTGGGACCCTCGCCTGGCGGCCAGGGATTGAACCGGAGCTGCAGAGGCTGCAGGCAGCCTTCCAATCCAGCGCTCAACCACTGCTCCACTGGGGAGGCCCTCCCTGATATATTTTAAATACTATTACTCTTTGGTAAATCAAAACATATGGCACAGGTCACCATTTTAACTCACAGTTTCTTGATGTTTTATCCAACCATTATATTCTCATATGGTTGCATATAGTCTTTCCTTTTGGAATTATATTTGTGTTCATTCATTTGAAAATTATAATGTGATAAAAATTAATTTCTATTAATATGCTATGCAATAAACATTCTAAACTTTGACAAGTTTGAAATATTTTTTCTATTTCTTTATTTTGATATTTTCTAGTTTGCTACTTGTCTTTTAATGTAGACATTTTAAAACTTTTTAAATACTTTTGTATACACCACTGTATTTTTTAAACATACTTCACCATACAAGTGCTACAGTTAGTGTGAATCCTCATCAGACTCTTTGATGATAACCAGGATAGTAAGGAGGATGATGCATGCTTTTGTGGGCCTTTCAATGGAAAGTAGAAATCCACTCAATACACATGTCACCTACAATACATGTAGCCCAAGAAGTCAGATATGCACTTTTAAAATCAGATTTTAAAAGTTAATGCACAGCATAGCAACTACCATTAATAATCTCTTTTAAGTTGCCGTGACTGTAAGCATATTCACCACAATTATCAGAACAGTCTTATGTATTATGGTGTTGGTGCTGTGCACCTCCCCCACACATATGTCCTATTTGGCACAATTTATATGTATTTACATGCAGATATGAAAATATACAATTTAAGGTATACAGAGATATATAAATATGTATATGAATGCTATATGTATATGAATAATAATAGTATAGGTTTAAGAGGCAGCTAAATTCCTGTATTAATTCCTTTTGTAGCATCTGATGGATAATTAATTCAAGCCACTGTATACACAATACTAAAATACTGTGTTCTAAATAATGCTGGTTTTAGGAAAGAAAAGACTGATGTCATCTCCTCTAGATTGACCAAAATGCAATCATTTTGAGTGCATTTTTTAAAAGATTCATAAATAGAAAATCTTCAGAGCTTAGTAAGAGGCAAATAATTCTTAGTGGATATAACAAGACAACAATTCCTTGGATGAAAAGTTTCCATACCGAAGATTTTTATTTGATTTTTCTGAATTGTAATTCAAGGTTGATCTTTCTTCTATCAGATGAGGCATTAACATCTATGAGTAGAGTATGATCATTAGGTATTAGTAACTCTTCAATACCACACCTATCTGAGTAAAATCCACTTGAAAAAGGATTTGAATATTTGTACAACAAGACTTACCTTTTCTCCAGAGTTGTCTTTAGCTGTCGGGATTTGCCAGGTGACATTAGCAGAGTCTTGCTGTTCCTGAGTCTTGGCCTCAATGTCCTTAGGACATGTGATTTGAGGAGCCTCTATATCTGACTCAGGAAATACACAAAGCAATCAGTATATGGATTTGTAATTCTAAGTCATTTAAGAAAGAGGTTAAAAATGTATTAATGCTTGGTGGCTAATGTTTTACATCCCAATTCTTGACTGATCTGGAATGTGCAACTGATGACAGGATACTTGTTCTCAGCTTGAATTCCTCAGCTGGTACTTGCTGATCTCTTGGTCTCACCTCATCTCTTATGTTCCCTACTGGTACTCACTCCCCATGCTGGAGCCTCTCAATTTCATGGAAGCTCCATGGCCAAGCTGGCCCCTGGGCTTTTGTCTATATTCTTTCATTTGCCTGAATCAAGGCCCTCTCCCCTCTTTACCTAAAGAACACATACTTGTCTTCTATTTCTCCACTTAGACATAAGTTCTTGACACAGGAAGCTCTCTCTGAAGGCTGCCCTAGCCCCTTGGTCCAATTTAGGTGCTTGCTCCATTACATCTGACTGCCCCTTCTCCTTCCTAATCATGAAATTCAATACACAATCATGAAATAGAATTTTCTCCTCAATAGAATCTAAGTTCTTCGAAGCTCAGTATATCTCTTGTCCCATTGTGTCATACACTACCTGGCATGTTGGAACTTGGTAAGTATTTCTTGAATGAAATAAAGAAAAAGAGAAAAATGAATGGTGACTATAGTAGAGAGACACTACACTTGAGAACAAGGCTGTCAAGTAGAATTAATCTGTGTTGCAAAATGTACGATCAAAACAAACAACAAATCAAACCGACGGTATTTTTTGCCCCAAAGTTTTGCAGTGCAAGGTATTGAATCAAACATGGTGACATTGTCAAATTCTTTGCTGATTAATTCTCCATTCTGAGGGAAATCACAGTTAAATCTTCAAATTGCTAATGTTGTTTTCAACAACATCATTCTACTTTTTTTGCTCTTTGCTTACGAGACATCTGATATTTTTACTTCTAAGAACCTTTAATACCTCCTTTTGCATAGCTGTCTGCTCTTGTTACAAGTAAGATGGAGATGTTCTGTAAATTTTATGAATTACAGGTTTCAAAGAGCTGATAATTTGTGGTTTTTTTAAATTAATTTAGTCTTGCCTGCTTAATAGGGGTCAGAAATTCCCCAGATTTCTGTCTAATGGAAAACTTAAATGATTTCACCTCTGACAGGATCTTTGTTTTTGTATTGCTCCTGCCATTATCTAATATATTTTAATTGGATCTGTAAACCTACCATTTTATCATGGGTTTGCAGCAAATGTACAGAAGGACAGTCTCATGCTGTACCAATGTCATAACGTAGGAATGTGGATTTTACCTAACCAAGACATGGGGCCATACCTTTACAAGCAGCTGTTTGTACTCTGGCACTCCACTTTCCAGAGGTGGTGCATCTCACCTCTTCTCTCATCCCAGATAAAACGAATCCTTGGCGGCAACTTAGCTGACAAGTCATCCCAGGTTTGGCTGGCTGCTTGCCACAGTTGGGAGGGAATATAATGACACCCTTGGGCTTCTGGAAGATGGAGCAGTGGCGCTCTACAGTAGATAAATGAGAGACTGTCACCAGTATTCCCGCAAACTGAAAATACCACACATTCTCTTTACCAAAATAAATACAATTACATTGCCTTAGAATTGATGTCACCAAATATCTGTATATGATACTAGACATAGAATATGTTGTAAACAATGCCAAATTATATCTCTTTAGTCACCTCATGTCATTTTGCCAGTTATCAAAACCTTGAAAGATTTCTGGCATTTTAATCAAAGCCAACTGTGACTTGAATCATTTTCTTGGAGCACCTTCATTCTGTTTGTGGAATATTACTTTGAGGCTCTGAAGTATAAAATAGCAAATCAGATTCCCTCTTTCATGGATTAAGTAATCTAATCAGCAATCAGTCTGCATCTTATGAGTTTTGGGGTGCCATCTTTAATAAGCACTTTCTTAGAGAAGTTTTTATACCCTCCCTAAAATCAATGTATTATAATTAGGGCTTTGACCCTTAATGTTGTATTTATTGCAGATGAAGAATAGCAGGTGAATCAGGCAGACTATAGGTTAGATGGAAAATCAAGACCAGGACTTAATGCAGGGTGTGTGTGTGTATGTGTTTCTCCCCCATGTATTCATCTGCACACTTGTCTACTGTAGTAGTGACTCTACTGGCAACACTATAGTACCTTTAGTCTGTGTTTCCCATGCAACAATTGCTAACATTTATTCAGCACCCACTCTGCACCAGGCACTACAAGAAGTACTTTGTATGTACTGACTCATTTACTTCTGTGCAACAAGGAGTGTTGTAATTATTTCCACGTATAAACCAGAGTAGAAGGCATAGCAGTAACTTTCCCATAGTTAACTTTCTTGAGGTCGCTGAGCAGATTCATGTGCCCCTAAACACTCCACCTCTTCCCTGAAAGGATTTCTTTCAAATCCCTGTGCCAGGAAAAGCAAATTTGAAACCTGAGAAATTGGTTTGTTTACTCTTGCACAGTATGTGCCATGTGATTGCCCAGATTTCCTGCTCGTCTTTGATCAAGAAGAAAATCAGAGCCAAATTTGTGGTACAAATACAATGACTTGAGGGCTCAACAGCCCTCAGTTAGGGGTGGTTTTTTACACATTAAGAAAATTGTTTGAGGTGAGAGTCAAAACAGACTCACTTTTATATAACTTTTTTTCCCCGATTGAGTCCTGAGATTTCCTTTATTTGAATGTCATATTCTTTTAAAAATATTTAATGTTTGTTTTTGAGCCATTTTTGCAATTTCATTGTTCTGTACATCATTGTACCATGAATGTACTATTTCAATTACTGTGGATTCATAATCTGTCTTAAGATGGTGAAAATAAATTTTCCCTCACTGTCCTTATGTTTAAAAAATGTTCTGTTTTTGCAGAACATCTTGTCTGTTCAATACATTTTCTATCAATTTTTTAAAATGGGAATTTTCAAAGTAATTATGGTTGTTGTTAGAGTTTTGGGGTTACAGTGAGTTGCTTCCCAATAAATTATAACTAAGATTGTGATTTGTCTTTGATGGTTCTACTTCAAATCCACCAAGACTTGCATAATCTTCAAAGCATTACAGAGATGCACACAATAATTTTCAAGAGAATTTAGGATGGGATAATGCTACAGTGACATTATTAAATAGATTTCCATTTTTAATGAAAAACTGGATCCCTCATAAGCAGAGTAGGTCATTCATGGAACCAGGGAAAGAGATGAGTCCCAGGAGTAACATTAATACTTAGACACAAATTCCAGCTTGAGGAGATACTGTTCCAACTAAAAAGATATACTGTGATTCATTATCCCACTGTCAAAGCATCCCTCTTATGGTGATAGATCCACCACATTCACTTCATTCAATTCCATGAAATAGCTGAAGAAGCTGATTGCTTTTGTTTTGGTTTTATGCCAGCTAAGTCTATTCATAGTTTGTGTACCCTTGTAGCTTCTGCTAGTCGGCCAACCCTTGCCAGGCCTAAGTCTTTCAGGACCCACGATATCAGGTATCTCATTGTTACTGAAATGAATCTTTGCTTAACAGTAAATTTCATTTTTCTGTCCAGGAAAGAGTAATCTCTCCTCTGTATGATAACATGAGTTTCCTGAGCTTGCACAGTGAGGGTTCACTCTTGAGCTGTTACTGAATCCCCGAGGAAGTTTAACAATTTTCCTGGTGACATCCCTCATCATCAGCCATGGATCCAAAACTAGATTATACTAAAATAAATCTGAATATCAATTTGGAAGGACATGATCTATTTATATTATCGAGTTTTCACATTGTGAGTACTGGCATATCTTACTTTATTTCCTATGTAAAGTTCTCCTTCCCTTTTTTGGTTATTTAATTACATACTTGTTAGTGGTCTCAGGCAAACTGTATCTGACATACATCACAGATTCGCTGAATAATTATCATCATCATTATTATTACCATAATTATTGTGTCAAGTGTGTATAAGAAGTAGCAAAGTAAAAAAGCTACTGCATTTATCCATGATGGATCCAATTTCAGTAGTAAGATATCAGAACTCTTGATGAAAGACAAGGCAGAAAAATCTTATGATGAAATAGAATTTTTGTGGTCAATGTCAAGATTCAATTGTTCATAATTTTGTCTTTTCATCAACAAGGTAAAGGCAAGCTGTGTTTTTAAAAAACTCTACCCAACTGATTCTAATTTAAAAAATATCATTACCATTTGAAGGTATAAACTTTAGTGATTTAGAAAATTGGGTTCTGTTGTGGAAGTCTTTTGGTTCAGAGAGGAATAAACATATTTGTTGATGTAGCTATACTTCCAGCATCTGTATACCTAGTATACTTATTTTTACTACAAATCAGTTTTTAGTTCTAGGTTTTCACAGAAAACAGAAGAAATCAGAAAGCAAGAGAAATCAATAGCGGAAGGCCCCGTGTCTTCTAAGAACTTACCCACACACCGGGCCTCCAGACCATCCCACTGGCCATTTCCTTGACAGGTGAGCTTAGCGCTTCCTTCAAGTCTGTACCCTTCATCACAGGTCACCAAACATGTTGTCTTATAGGACATTTCCCCTGTAGAGCAGCTTAAGCGGCCATGTCTGGGTTGGCGGAGACGAGGGCATGTTTTTACTATGTAAATAAAAACAATGAGATCACATTTTATTATATAAGGACAGATTTATAATTACAGGTTTAATAATGCCTACACATTGCAAGCAAGAAAATGTCCTTTTCTTAGAACACCAAACAGTAAATAACACACTATTATTTTTTGAGTTAGTACTAGACAATTAAAAGCCTATGTTTTATCAAATGCATTGCCCAAGAGATATCAGTGTGCTTACCTCTCTGCCCATGGGTGGGAAACTACACCAGTCTAAGGGACCTGGCCCTGATGGATGATGTTGACTGTAAATTGGTTGACAAGGGGTGGTACCTACAGCCCTCAGTTGGGCTTTGGCTGTGATTTTCCAGGCCACATTCCAGGGAAGAGATTTCAGGTTCATGATCAGTTTGGTCCTCAGATATCATAGACAGATCCTGGGTTTTTTTTTAATATATATAAATCTTTCCATCATTTTTCATTTTTGCATAATGTATGCATTTTCATCTTGGTTATAGTCCCCATACAATTCCCACCACCCTTGTTTTGATCCTACTCCCTCTTCCCTTTTTCCTGGTCCTTTATTTAGGTTTTCTAAATTCCTGCTATGTGAGACCATCTGATATTTTTCTTTTTCTTTCTGGTTTATTTCGCTAAACATGATCCCTTCCAGCACCATCCATGTTGCTGCAAATTGCATGAGTTTATCTTTTTTGATTGCTGAGTAATATTCCATTGTGTATATGTACTACATCTTCTTGATCCAGGCATCTATTTTTGGGCATTTGGGTTGTTTCCATAGCTTACCTATTGTAAATAGTGCTGCTATAAACATAGGAGTGGAATTGCTGGATCATATGGAAGCTCTATCTTTAGCAGGTTGAGGACTCTCCACACAGCTTCCCATAGTGGTTGGACCAGTTTGCACTCCCACAAGCAGTGCAGAAGAGTTCCTTTTTCTCCACATCCTTGCAACATTTCTCATTGCTAGTTTTTTCAATATGTGCCATTCTCACTGGTGTAAGATGGTATCTCATTGTAGCTTTGATTTTCATTTCTCTGATTACAAGTGATGTTAAACATTTTTTCATATGCCTGTTGGCTATTTGCATTTCCTCTTTGGAGAAGTTTATTTTTAGCTCTTCTGCCCATTTTTTGACTGGATTATTTACTTTGTCTTTGTTGAGTCTCATCAGCTCTTTGTAGGCGAAACATTAGATGACATACACCTCAGCAACATCTTTAAAGACACATCACCCAAAGCAGTGATGGTGAAGGCAAAGATAAACAGCTGGGACTACATCAAATTAAAGAGCTTCTGTACAGCAAAAGAGGCAGTAATCGAAACAAAGAGACATCCCACTGATTGGGAGAAAATTTTTGCACACAACACTAATGATAAAGGACTGATCACAAAAATCTACAAAGATCCTCGGTTTTTTAATGATCCCGGTTTCTGCAAAGCTGCCCAACCTCTGCAATTTTGAATTCTTACGTTTTAGCCTCTAATCACAGCTGTGGATTTTTAGCTCTTTTTTTTCACTCCTTTATTCCAAAACACAGGATGCAGTTCATGATGCAGTGTTAACTTACACATTGTCTTTTTGTTGTTGGTGGTGGTTTTTTGGTTTGTTTGTTTGTTTGTTTTGCTGCTATGGCAGAGATAGCTAATTGCTCACCTAATAACCATTTCCATGATGGTAATAATAGCAATGGGCATTCTAGCTTAGACCTGCTCCAATTAAGATTTCCAATCAAGAGAAGGAAGGAGGAGAGGAAAGAAGAAAGGAGAGGGGGAAGACAAAAGAGGGGGTAAAGGAGTAAGACAAAGGCAGATGGAAGAGAAGAGGAGGGAATGGAAAAAGTGCAGGATAACTTGATGGATAGGGGTAGAGAGGAAGTGCAGAGGAGAGGGGTGGAGCAGGAGAGGTAGGGGGCTGCGCTGACCCATGGAAACTCACCCTTCTAGTCAGATGGCATGCACATTCTTGCCAGGAACAGAGATATGTGGGGGGGGGGGCGGGGAGACAGTTGATTTCTGTTCAATATGCCAAAGGGATTAAATGAAGCAAAGGTGACAGATCTACTCCATAAAAAGGATGGTTTGACAATGGGATGAACCTCAGTAAATCTCTTTATGTAGGCACATACACTTATTTTAATAGCTTATATATATATAATCCCACTACCATTAGGCACTGAGCAGAAAACAAAATAGCCCTACAAATACAGAAGGTTCAGTTTGTTCTGATAGCATTAAAGACAACAGAGTAATCTCTCAAGATTTCTTAACAAGGGCCCCCCGGTGGCACAGCCGTTGAGCGCTGGGTTGCGAAGCTGCCCGCAGCCTCTGCAGCAGCGGCTCGATCCCCGGCTGCTCCCCGGCCACCTGAGGAGGGTCCCACATGGCGCACAGACCTCTCCTGCCGCCCGCTGCTCCCCTCAGCAGTGTACTTCGGTCCTTCTGCCTGCTCTGCTCCCCTCTCTGGCTCTGGTGAATTCTCTCACCCTCCCGTGCTTCTGACTGTAACCAGTGCTTGTATAAATAAATAAATAAATCTTTAAAAAAAAAAAAAGATTTCTTAACAAAATCTTGTTAAGAATTACGTGGGGACACTGGGCAAGATATATTTTTCTTTCTTCCAATTTTGCCAATTTTTCTTATCAAGCATATATTTCTTTATGATGAAGGCTTAACTATGAAATAAAAGAAAAGGGATTTAGGGCAATATAATCAGTACATAGTCAATTGAAGTCACTGATAGAATCTACTCTGAAGGCGCTCATTCAAATTACATTAGCTGGCAGCTCATAAGTATTGGCTGCATTAAATATATGTTTAGGATTGATGACTCCTAAGAGAAAATTCAAGAATTGGATTAGTGATGAAACCATAAACCTGAGTCATTCCATCTTGGATTGTTTAGACTGAAGTCAATTATTGATAACAAATGAATAGCAATATTTTGTCTTTCACATTTTATTTTTATTGAGTGTGTCCATCAAGCAAGCAGAATTTTTATTGAATGTGTCCATCAAGAGCATAGAATAATTTTGCCTTCTACATTTTGTCTTGTACTGAGTGTCCATCATGTATAGCACAAAGACAACTGCCTGAAGTGAGTCAAAGGGGAGTAAAATAAACTCTTAAGAATAAGATGCATAAAATCTGGAAAATCATATTAAAGAACTGCTTTTAGACTCAAGAAATTGCTGAAATAACTGTAGCTTTCCATCCTGAGACAAAAAGGATTTGCAACACATCTCAGGAGTACTGCTAGTAAATTCTAGTTGGGTTTTATCCAGATGCAAATTACATTGTCTCTCAAATGTTAATTTTAATAAATGTTCATTGCTCCTCAGGGTAAATAAAGCATATACAATAATTCCTATTTAGTCCTTAAACATTTTACACTCCTTTTTAATGAAGAATGGCTACATATTTTTACTTTAATAGGAACATATTTTTGTCAACAAGCTGAAAAATTCTGCAATAAATATTTCTTGACTTACATTCATATTAAAGTAGTACTTAAATATTTATTAAGCTTCTTTTTAAGAAAAGAGCAATTCAGTCTTTTAAGAGAACAGTCTATTGAAATATCTACTCAAATTATATGAGAGAATCAAACTGTGTTTAAAAAATGTGAACATATCATTAGTGTATCAGTGTATCAATGGACTTACCAATATGCATATTTATTAGATTTAAATTTTCAATTATTCCCAGAGGTATAGTCAAGATTTGAGGGGATGGGGGAAGACAGACTCTGTGCTCAAGATAAACTCATAATCTAGCAGAGGTGACAGAGAAGTTAATTGATAAAACAAGTGTGGTGGTTTGTAGGGTAACAAGTTAAGAAACCCCCTTATTGTGGGGTCTGGCTGGGTTGGTTAACAGGAGAACTTGCACTTGGATTTTGGGAGGCATCAATGGAGCAGTGGTTAGAGGTCATCCTCTTCAGGCTAAGGAAGTTGGCAACAGCGCACTGTTTATATTTAGGGACTAAGTGTAAAGGCAGAACAATCCAGGCTGTTGGAGCAACTTGCAAAGGATGGCTTCCTGAAAGGGTCATTTCTTCTGGCTTTAGTGTCTGCCGGCAAGCTCAGGAAGGGGAGCTGTGGAGCATAGAGAGTCAGGAGCTGGAACTTTTTCTAAAGGGGTTTTATAACCTGCTTTTCTCATCTCAGAAGACCAATAAGTGCAAAGTTAAATTGTAGTGTCTTCCACTTTCTACCTTGCAGTATTTGGAAGAAGGGGTACAGATTTTACGTAGTTTTTAACTGTTGAGACTTTACAGGAATATATCTCAGAGATTTTCTATGGCTAATTTTTCAGTAAAGGGACATGACTTTTTAGCGTTTGAGATTGCATGACAGAAAACGTCTTCCCACATACACAGTAGCTGTTTGAGTTTTCAAATCTATGGCACAATTCTTTTCTTCCCGAATCCTGGAAACAAACTGTTATCTTCTAGTATTTATAATAATCAAAGCAAGTCTGATTCCCCTCCTTTGGAGGCAATGCTATTTATTTCTAGATACAATTTTGTGTTTTTCTAAGATATTCAGAAACTTCGCTAAGATCATTTCCAGACAAGGATCTGTTCTTAATATCCTTTTCTGGCATTCAGAAAGTGATTTTAAACTGAGTATCAAAGATTTGAATTATTTTTCTTTCAAGATTTCAGCTTGCGGATATATTCTTTGATCTTCTATTAGTGCTTTCCCTCTACTTTTTTATTTCTCCGAATTCTTAATTGAGAAGAGTCTGGTTCCTGAGACTATTCTCATGTCACCTATTCTTCATCATTTATCTTTGAAATTTCCTATACTTTCAGAAGAATTTCTCAGTTGATTTTGTAACTTCTTGATTTGTTTTTTTAACTCTGTCCATGAATTGTATGCCAACCTTTTTTTTTAAAGATTTATTTATTTTTATACAAGAGCTGGGGTATAGGCCAGAGGCGCAGGAGGGTGAGTGGATTCACCAGAGACAGAGTGGGGAGCAGAACAGGCCAACTGACTGAAATACACTGCTGAGGGGAGCAGCGGGCGAGATAGGAGAGGTCTGCCGCGCCATGTGGGTATCTCCCTGGCCGGCCAACAGGAATCCAACCCACACTGCAGAGGCTGCGGACAGCTTCACAGTGCTGCGCTCAACCCACTGAACCACTGCGGAGGCCCTAAATCTTTTTTTCTTAAAGAAATGTTGTTATCCTCAGATTTCTCCCAATTCTTCAAATCCTGGCCTTATTTTAACAATATAATTGCCTTTGAATCTCAGCGATCCATTCCTCATCTCCCTCCCCTTTCTTTCAGATCTTCTTTGTTCAACTTGCTGACTATCTTAATTTTTCCTTGTCATTTTACACATTAAGAACATGGGGACCTGAGTTAGGCAAATTCCTATTTAGGGTTCAGGGTTTGGTAGCTGATAAATGCAAACTGGTTGTTTCCTCAGGTTCACAAATGACCTTGGGGTTGTGAGTGGGTTGGCTTCCCTTATGGGTCCAGGAACCAAAAGAAATCAGAAGACAGCACCCCTTACCCTACTGCAGTGAGGATGATTTGTAGAAAGTTGATGTGCAACAGTTGTAAGATAAGGAAAATCATTCCTAGCAGTGGCAGGGTAGAGGTGAATCGAGGTGCCATTCCAATTAGTGTTTATCCTTATTTGATGTGTGGGACTCAGGTTCCATTTGTGGTGTTGCCCCCTTTCTTGGCATCTCACTTTACTGACTTTCACTTTCTACAGCAAACATCTATTCCAAGTGTAGGCTGGGGGTGTACATGCTCCTGTCACAAGTGTGGTTCCCCAAGTCCTGTAATCACAGTCGCATCAAATTCCCCATCTGACCATCCCCAAGCTCTCTCTGCCATCCTGTCTCAGCTGCTTGAAATCTGAGGTTTGGGGTAACCTGTCCATTTACTTCCCAGGCAGGCCCTTCCTTGGCTTGTCCACAAAAGGAACATAAAAGGCATAGTTTATGACCAGGTTCTCAACTGAACTTAGTAGATCTGACCCTAAACTTCCTATAATTTTTTCTTTCTCTGTGGTCTCTGGTCTATGAAATCCAAAGAAACCAAGAACTTACTGGTCCATTAGAATTTAAATCAAGGAAATCAAGTGTGACAATTGATAAACAGCATGAATGGGCAGCTTGCATACCTCTGCAGGAGCGCTCTGAGCCGGACCACAAACCATTGGGTAGACACAAGAGGATGCTGCTTCCCACCAGGTCAAATCCAGGGTGACATCGGACCCCACAGGCTGCATTGAAGTGGTTGTTGCAAGTGTTTTGAATAAAGTAACCATTTTCAGGAGGCTTCAGGGCAGGGCAGTGGACAACTAACAATGACAGAAATAAAATTAAAAAGTAAAGTGAGCCTTTTCTCTGAAACATCCACTCTTTTTTGGATTTTGTTTCATTAAGAGGACAATTTTTTTTTTACATACAGCTAAATTACCCACAGCATTCCTATTTATTGCATTTGAAATTTCTAAGTACACATTTGGTAGAAGTAGCCTTACATCTCACTCCTATTAGATGTATACTTTAATTTAATTTTAATAATAAACAATATATTTTTATGCTTTAAATTTTTTTTAATTTTCATATTTATGTAGCTACAAGATTTTCTAGTTCTTGACCTTCACATGTCCTTATATATTTTCTTTCTTAATTAAGGTGGCATGAAATAAAGAATAAATAGGGCCAGAAAGGTATGTCTGCTACAGCTCCCAAGAGCAGTAGCCTTCTGTACATATTATAGGCTAATCATTTAAAATTTGATGTGGGGGCCTCCACTGGTGGCGCAGCGGTTGAGCGCTGGGCTGCGAGGCTGCCCTCTGCAGCGCCGGTTCGTTCCCCAGCCGCAGGGGAGGATCCCACAAAAAAAATAAATAAATAAATAAATAATAAAGTTTGATGTGAATAAAATCAGGATACTTAGGGAAAGATTTTCTTTAAATGAATTTATCACCAGATAAGATAAGATTTATTTATTTATACAAGCACTGGGTACAGTCAGAAGCGTGGGAGGGTGAGAGAATTCACCAGAGCCAGAGCAGGCAGCAGAGCGGGGAGCAGAGCAGGCAGAAGGACCGAAGTACACTGCTGAGGGGAGCAGCGGGCGGCAGGAGAGGTCTGCGCGCCATGTGGGACTCCCCTCTGGTGGCTGGGGAGCAGCCAGGGATCGAACCGGTGCTGCAGAGCCTGCCGCAGCTTCGCAATCCAGCGCTCAACTGCTGCGCCACCGGGGAGGCCCAAAACTAGTTCATTTGTTATTCAAATTTATTGGTAAATTTGTGGCTTTTTTTCTTTAGTTCATTTTAAATCTTTTCCAAGTACTAAATTTTTCTGGTTTCATGGTTGCATTATTCTGAGGGTATCAGATTCTTTTTCACTGCAGCAAGTTAGAGCTGTGTTAAGTGATAAGAAATGGTATTATTAAAGGAAAGAATTCCCCAAAAATATGATTAAAGGACTATTAAAGATCATTTTAAATGAATTGGCTGACACCACCAGCATCAACCCCTTCTAAGAGGTCAGCTTTTATATTTCCTATTTGTCAGTGGTAGAAGTCTCACCTTCGCAGGTCTGTCCAGATGCCCGATACCCTTCCCTGCAGACACAGTCTTCAGGGGACGTGCTGCCAGGTGGAGAAGTGTGATTTTCATCAGGACATCGAAGGCAAGTGCTGATTCCTCCTGGCGAACCTTCTGGTTTGTATGTGCCTGGTGGGCAAGCTGTGGACAGACAGTAAGTCAGGGAAGTTCATTTGCATGGTACATCAACAGATAGTTAAGATTTTCAAAAATTAAGTAAAGGGGTAAAGGGAGTATGTATATTTGCATACTTACAAGCTGTTGCCAGGGCCTCCCTGGTGGCACAGGGTTTGCTATCAAACTATCACCAGCCACTGTATCATGAGTTCATTTCCAGGCAGGGATTACCCACATGGCATGGCAGACCTCTCCTCTTTCGCCCACTGCTCCCCTCAGCAGTGTATTTCAGTACATCTGCCTGTTCTGCTCCCCACTCTGTCTCTGGTGAATCCTCTCACCACCCACACCTCTGGTCTACACCTTAGTTCTTGTATGTATAAATAAATCTTAAAAAAAAAAAAAGAAGCTGCTGCCTGCTGATGTGGCTTCCAATCAGCCTGAATCTAGATTCTGACTGAAATTCTCCCCTTTGGGACACTGACAGATCATGGCACATCCTCATCCCCATCTACTCTCTAAGTGTTGTGAAGCAAAGTTACCTCAATAAAAAAAAGCAAACAAAAATATAACAAGCTGCTCCAACAATCACAAAGGTTAGAGAGATAACCAAGAGGTAGGGTAGGGTTGAAGGATATAGTTCATTCCCTATACAAGGTCATTTCTTCAGGACTGGGAGAGCTGTTTGTTTTATGTAAAGCATAAAACTCAACACAGAGCGGCAAGCAAAATGACAAAAAAAGAAAGGACCATGATTTTCTCAGACTCCAAGGCAAAAAATGAATGACATTGCTTTCTATGCTCCCTTTGCACTGACAACGCAGCTCTGAATCTCTAACTCACTCTCTTTAAAGGTACACATCTGTAAAATAACTCAAAATTAAGAATTAAAATGCACAGAAACTCTGGGATAAAGAAACTTGTACTGTTCATTTATGAATTAAATGTAGCATAGTCTCTATACATTTGATTATTAAAAATGGTAGCAACTAAGTAATGTCCACTTATATGAGGAAATTTTATATAAATTATCTCACTTAATCCTTACAGTAATAGTTAGCATTAATAATTATTGATGCTACATTTTAAAAAATCCACTCATTTTATTAGTTGAAGAGAAAATGGAGGCTTAGAGAGATTTGATGACAAAAGTTACCCAGATTGCAGATGAATTAGAATTTTTATTTTAGTAACTAACATAGCTTTAGACATTTTTAATGATGAAAATTCAAAGTTACATTTATCGGTCCTTAAGTAGCAAGTCAAACATTTTTAAATGGTAGCATATTCTTATTCTCATGTCATCTGTTTAAGGTCAGTTTCTGGGTAAATAAGCTTTGGTTTATTTGTGTGTTTTGAAAAGACTTTATTTCTTTAGAGAAGTTTTAAATTTACAACAAAATGGAGAGGAAGATTAGAACCAAGCAAATATTTATATTGTATTCATTTCAATCCATGAAATGTCCTATGCATTTTATTAACATTATCTTTTTTAATCTCCTTAAAAGCCCATGAAGTAACTAATAATATTAATCTCCTCTTATAGATGAGAAAACAAAGGCACTAAGAGGTCAAAGAACTTGTCGAAAGTCACTCCGTGAGTAAGTAGCAGAGCTGGGACTCAAACCCAGATAATCTGGATGCAGAGGCCATGTTCTTTATCACTGCAGGTGCTGTGTCTCAAACCCAGCCTCTTGGATACTAAAGCCTTGTTTCAACCACTAGGGTATGCTAAAAATGTAAACAATCATTTCCGGTAGAAAAGATCCATAATATAATCTCATCATTTAAAAAAATGACCATGCTTCTAAAATTCTTTATAACATCTCAAAACAAAAGATAAAATTTTTCCCATGATATGTGGTAAAAATTCTAGATCTGGAAAAATATGTGACTATTTGAACGAGACATCTAAAAAATTGGTATATTTTATAGGTATTAAGAAAATACTTTGGCGGTCCTCCCCGGTGGCGCAGCAGTTGAGCGCTGGGTTGCAAAGCTGCCCGCGGCCTCTGCAGCACCGGTTCGATCCCAGGCTGCTCCCCTGCCACCGGAAGAGGGTCCCACATGGCGCGCAGACCTCTCCTGCCACCCGCTGCTCCCCTCAGCAGTGTACTTTGGTCCTTCTGCCTGCTCTGCTCCCCGCTCTGGCTCTGGTGAATTCTCTCACCCTCCCGCGCTTCTGACTGTACCCAGTGCTTGTATAAACAAAACAAACAAACAAACAAATAGATAAATAAATAAATAAAACATGCCTCTATTTAAAAAAAAAAAAAAATACTTTGGCATAAAGAAATGAGATATTTTTAAAAGTATCATTAATTGAATTATTCATATTGCTAAATATATATGTAACATACATATATATATATAATCTAAGGAAGAAAATAATAATCTTCACCTAACATAAAAAAAGAAAGGCTTTAAATATCAGAGAAAATGGGAAATGGGTGGAAAGAGATAGAATGTAAGTTTCTCATTTCTTTTCATAAGCATCAATGTGACAAACTGAAATAAAAAATGTAGATTCAAGATAGTACATTAAAAAGTTCAAATAATTAGGAATGGAAAAATAATATAAAACCTCCAAACTAGCAAAAGTGAAAAAGGAGGGGAAAAAATATAGAAAAAGCAACTAAGAATTCAAAACAAAATAACAAACTAAGGTTAGAGAAGTAAACCAAACAGATGCATTATCATAAATAATAATCATAAATAATAATTTAACCTTTTGTAAGATTCAAACCTAAAACAAATCAGACACACAGATTGAAAATGATGAGAGGTATAAACATATTAAATGCTTCAAAAATCTTCATGAAGCAAGTAGATTAATATTTTAATGAGAAATAGAAGATTAATTTGTAGAGATTTTTCTAATCTATGAAAAAATAATGAATACTGCTATAGAAAAGTGGACAAAGAACCAGAATTGGAATTTACTAAAAAAAGTAATAAGAATGACCAATGATCAGAGGCTAATAAAGTGTTTAACCTCATTCAGAATGAAAAAAAGGCAAGTTTATGACTACTTTTATTTATTTATTAATTTTAAAGATTTATTTATTTATTTATGCATACAAGAGCTGGGGTGCAGGCCAGAGATGTGAGGGAATGAGAGCATTCACCAGAGACAGAGTAGGGAACAGAACAGGCGGATCCACTGAAATAAACTGCTGAGGGGAGCAGCAGGCAAGGCAGGTGAGATCTGCTGCACCATGTGGGTAGCTCCCTGGCCAGGGATTGAACTAGTGCTGCAGTGGCTGATGGCAGCTTCATAGTGCTGCATCCCTTGCACCACCAGGAAGGCCCCTTGACCACCTTTTAATTTGGCAAAGCATTTAAAAGGCGATTAATACCCAATCCAAATAGGCATGTAGGCATACTGTTCTCTCCTCCTTTGTGAGACAATGAGAGGTTGGGCACCAAGGCCTCAAACAGAGCTTTTGCTTGACACAGCATTTCAATACCAAGAATTTTTCTCACGTAGAAGCAAGCAAAAATGTATGTATAAAAAAAGTGTGTATAATTGCTGTTTCATCATTGCATAGCATTGAAGCCATACATATATCTAGAGATGGGGGGTAGTTAAATCTAATCACACATCCATCCAATGGGATATTAGCCATAAAAATTAAATTTTTTTTTTTTTTTTAAATGTATCCATTTTTATTTTTTTTTTTTTTTAAATATTAAATTTTATTTTTATATTCCCCCATACAATTGCAAACGCCCCATTCTGACCCCAATCCTTCCCCTCCCGCCCCCCACCCCCCCAAAAGTGTCTCTGGTTCATAGTTTTTTTGTTGATTTTGATTTTCACTTTCTTATATTCATTTTCCTGGTCCCTTATTTAAGTTTCTAGATTCCTGCTATGAGTGAGACCATCCGGTATTTTTCTTTTTCTTTTTGGCTTATTTCGCTGAGCATGATCCCTTCCAGTGCCATCCATGTTGCTGCAAATTGCATGTGTTTATCTTTTTTTGAATGCTGAGTAATATTCCATGGTATATATTGTACACATCTTCTTGATCCAGTCATCTATTTTTTGGGCATTTGGGTTGTTTCCAAAGCTTAGCTATTGTAAACAGTGCTGCTATAAACATAGGAGTGCAGGTGCTCTTTGGAATTGATGTTTCTGTGTCCTTTGGGTAAATACCTAGGAGTGGAATTGCGGATCATATGGAAGCTCTATGTTTAGTAGGTCCAGAAATCTCCACACAGCTCTCCATAGTGGTTGGACCAGTTTGCACTCCCACCAACAGTGCACAAGAGTTCCTTTTTCTCCACAATCCTCGCCAACATTTGTTGTTGCTAGTTTTTTTAATATGTGCCATTCTCACTGGTGTGAGATGGTATCTCATGGTAGTTTTGATTTGCATTTCCCTGATTACAAGTGATGTTGAACATTTTTTCATATGTCTGTTGGCCATTTGCATTTCCTCTTCAGAGAAGTTTCTTTTTAGCTCTTCTGCCCATTTTTTGACTGGATTATTTTCTTTGTTGTTGCTGAGTCTCATCAGCTCTTTGCAGATTTTTGTGATCAGTCCTTTATCATTAGTGTTGGGTGCAAAAATGTTCTCCAGTTGGTGGGGTTTCTCTTTGTTTTTGTTATTGTCTCTTTTGCTGTGCAGAAGCTCTTTAATTTGATGTAGTCCCAGCTGTTTATCTTTCTCTTCACTATCACTGCTTTGGGTGATGTGTCTGTAAAGATGTCTTTGATGTGCAAATCCCGTAGTGTTTCGCCTATATTTCCTTCTATGTATTTTATGGTTTCAGGTCTTATGTCTAGTTCTTTAATCCATTTTGAGTTGATTTTTGTGTATGGTGTGAGGTAGTGGTCAAGCTTCATTCTTTTGCATGTAGCGACCCAGTTTTCCCAGCACCATTTATTGAACAAACTTTCTTTGCTCCAATGCATAGTCTTTGCTCCTTTGTCAAAGATTAGTTGACCATAAATCTGTGGTTTTATTTCTGGATTTTCTTATTCGATTCCATTGGTCTGTATGTCTGTTCTTGTTCCA